GATTCAAATGCTGACTGACGTTTTCACTTTCATTAATTGTTAGTCCATTATGTATACACCGAATTGACGACGGATTTTCCATTGTTCCCCGATCATGACCAGGAGCATACAGCGGGTGTGAACGGTCGACAGGGGATGCTCACTCCTCCATGACACCTGATCCCACCTCTGATCATCAGTCTCAGATGTGCTTGCTCTGCTCCAAAAATTTGTATAGTTTAATAAATTTCGAACCTGAATACTGTTCGTTATCTCCAAATGTTTCATTCGTAAGTTCTTCTGGTATCTTAAATCCGTAGACTTAAAAAGGCGTTCAATTGAACGACTTACCCATTAATTGAAAACATTGCACGAATCATTACAGGAACAACCGACTAACAACATAGTGAAAATGATCGAATAATCTTCCAAGTTCAGCTATAAAATTATATTATAGTAAGTACACTGTCTTGGTATTTAGTTATTTTGATGTCATTGATTAGTTGTTGTTCGGAAATTACTTTAGATTCAACAAAATTTAAAGAACGATAGAACGTCATATAATTGTACCTGGTACCAGGTACATCAGCATCAGCAGGGTCTTACGCGAATTACGTTAGTGTTGGAAATTCAGTTCATGAAACCAGGGACTTAAAACGTAAACTATCTAGTATACAGGTCTCTGTTGCAACCAAACAAATCAAAATATTTGAATTGATTATAAATCAGAAAAATGTATACATGACAATTTGTTAATATTGTGCTTAATGCACAACAACAGAACAGGCCATGTGCTCAAGGATGTTGGTAATTAAAAGGTTTCATAAGCATTTAATATTAATAATTAAATCCAGGAAATGATAATATAAATATAAAAGTTCATGTTCATAGGACAATTAAAATCTAATTACAAATTAAAGGTGCGATGATTCTCAAATGGCACTGCATTATAAAAGAAAGAAGATTTATTGATTGTATGTTGTTTAACAACTATCTCAAGAATCTTTCACTCATATGGAGATGCCACCACTTGGTGGTAGAGAGCTACCAATTTTGTTCACTACTTGGCACTCAGGGCCATTGAACAGGGAAGGATCTTTTTCATGCCAGCACCTACTGCAACAGGTGACCTTGGTTTACATGGTCTAACCCAAAATATCGGTCTCCACATCCAACAATGGGATTCAAACCCTCAAGGTAAGGATTGACTCCTTAGATCGCAACTCTAGAGTAGAAGCTCTAACAATTGCACCACACAGGTGACAAAAAAAGAAGATCTATATTTAGGCCAATAAAAAAAGAAAAACTTTCAATAATTTGGTTAATATGTTTTACGGTGTGACCGTTGGGGCGAGCGCAGTTGTACCATCAAAAACACTCTAAAAAATTGATCAGCCACTTCAAACATCTAATTTTTTGACTACCTGTGACGTCACACGACGTCACGGATAAAATAGATTTGAAAACAGACAATTGAGCGTTAACTTTGAAACTAAGTAGTGCAATTTGTAAAAAAATTGCAGAGTTATTTTTTGTTTCTTTGAAAGATTTATTCAAACTGAAAGCTTTTTATGCTTTACGTTATTGTTTATTTATTTATCTATTTCACGGAAGCAACCGACATGACTTAATTAGCTTATCGTCAAAATTCGTAAGTTTCCGGTGACGTCATTTGCATCATTTCCGAAGGGCAAGGTGAAGGCCGGTGTTGTGGCATGGGGGTATTTTTTTGAATAAGGCAAGGCAAAATCATTTCGTTAAGATTTCGGTAAGAAACAATGTTCCTTTATTTTTTTTACTATTTTTGATTTATTCGCGCAAAGGACATTGGGTAGTGCATTCTGGGAATGTTAAGAGAAATTTGGCTGACTATTACAGTTATATTCAAATCCGAATTTCCTCTGTTCTTACACGTTAGTCTATTGAGCTCGCTGCGCTCGCGTCGCTTCGCGACGCTCGCTGCGCTCGCTATAAAATTAGGAATATTTTAAGTTTGTTCTGACTTATACATGTAGTTGTATAAATACACTTCACAAAATTTAAACCATTTAATTTTTTAAGCATTAAGCAAGATAAAAGATAAAATTGATTTGAAACTAAATTAATTTGGCTGTAAGGAAGCTATGTAAACCAATCTGAGTATTAAATTTACAAAACAAAACTAGAAAAAAATACAGAGGAGGTTTTTGAATTGAGATTACTTTAAAGGGGGTAAATAAATTGCTGTGTAAATATTGTCAATTCACTGATTCAGTGTGTTAAGATAAAGTGAACATGGTGAATAAGTTTTCAATAAAACTTTTATTTATTTTGATTTGATTGTAATTTGTTTTGGAAATTTGACTATAGAATACTAGTAGATTTATAAAGTCATTCAGTATATATTACACTTAGTACCTGTCATTCAATAATTTTAAATATCAAGTTTTACTTTAAGTTATATTCAAATCATCAGATAATATGGCCTATGTTATTTTTAAAAAGCTGTATAATTTGATATAAACCCATGCATGACTAACATTGATAGCACATGTAAGTTTTATGTGATCATGCATATTTGTTTTTATTGACATTTGGCTTGTAAAAAAAAAAGTATTCATAATTTCATTACAAATAACTCTAAGACTTGGATCAGTACAAAGGATGTAACTTTTATTTTTTACCAATTTTGCGATTTAATAAAATCGTGGTCATCTCAGGGAAGATAAAAATGTAAATATTACTACCCTTGAAATATAATCCACCTTATACATGTATAGTATTCTTAATAGTTAAACTTTTCTTGTAAATATCCAACTTGATCTTTATTAAGTTAATCAGAAAAACATGGATATTGATATGATATATAGATGTCTAGCCTACAAGTTTAACTAACAACTTCAGGCATTTATACAGGTTTACTTTCACAGTCAATTGTGTGAGATATGATGTTGTTTATTGCCAAAAAAAAAAAGTAATGCTTGTTTGTAAACATATCCGAGTGTTTTAAATTATGTAGAACATGGTGATTCTGAAAGGCTTCCAGACTTGAAATATATTGAAATAAAGTCATTCCCTATTAGCAAAATGAATAAAATTTAAAAGGAAATAATTTAAAATGATATGTTATGATCATGTTATGGTCAAAGATACAAACAAACAAATAGTGTTTGGAGGCTTCTTGTCTGTAGATTTTTTTTATTGTTGAGACTGAATTTAAACTTTTGCCTCAAATATCATTAAAAATTAACTGAAACAGTAAATATAAGAATACTAGAATAGCCTGAATTTTGTCACATGTTCACAACTGATATTTATAGTACAATGTATTGTAACTTTATGTGTTTATTGCTATCATTAAAATAATTGTTGAGGAAATTTTATTAAGGAACCTCTATAGAGAAACAATAGTAAAAGCTTCCCTCTCTAAAATTACTAAGGCAATTCTAAATCATAAAATGACATTCACTTTTATTAAGTGATAAATATTTCCCTTTGCTGGATCAATCTGGGGTCAACTGGTGTAGTTTACTGTTTTCCTTCTAGAACATTAGTTACATTACCAAAATATATTTTTATGTGGGAGTGTTGCAATTGGAAGTCTATAAAATGTAGATATTCATTATGTTTTCTACATTACAAAAAACATTATGAAAGGTGGAAATAATGTGATACATATCATTTTAGCAAGCATGCACAAATTCCAGTCAAGTGGGTTCTTGTGTTAAAGAATAAGGGTGCTTCATTTTGTTTAGTGGTAATACATGTAATGCGATTTGAAATTGTAATACTAAAATTAGGCTAGTGTATCATGTGGTTGTTATTCCTTTACATTTACAGGCAAGCATTGTGACCCAGGGGCATTGTTGTAGAGTACATAACTGTAATTCAGTGTTAAATTGTTAGTATAAAAACATTGAATTGGGATTCAAAAGAAAGTAAACAATAATGGCTTACCAATGATGTATAAAAACATGCTCAAACTTGAGCTTTTTTGCAATTAAACTGCAGAAGACAGATTAAGTTTTTCATAAGAATATTTTGTTTGTGGTTTTTCTGAAGATAAAATAAATTGATAATTCTCAGGCAGAAATCTTTAAAGGCATCACTTTGTTTTGATCCAAACTTTGATTGTGGTATTACTCAGTTCTTAGGTAAGTCCTCTGCTTTCATGTACATATACTCGTAAGTTACATGTTTATTGAAGGAAATCAATATTTATCTGCATTGAACTCGCATGAAAAAGTACAGCTAAGAATATAATAGGTTGTTAACCTCCATTGAAGATGTGCTCTAATAGCATAAATTCATCCATTGTGAGGAAAGGAATCTGATACTATGAAATGTTAATGTGTAATTTTGAATGCTTTTGATAGATACAATGTATTAATGATATGGTGTGAAGCAAAAGTACAATGTAAACTAGAGGTACTGTGAGCAATGAGCTCACAATGCTTCCCATATGATTATAATGGCAAAGTCCATGTTTTGCTGTGAAGCCCAAAAATGTGTTGGATCAAAAAGTAAAATAGGAGGTGCACAATGGCAATATGTATGGTAAAAAATTGAGATCATAAATTTCACTCAGTGGTATATATTGCGGATAAGAGATGGGTGCCCCAAAGCGTAACAGACAGATGGACAGAAACATTACCCTCCCACTTTTCAAGGGGGTATAGAAATTATATAAAATATGATATATCTCTTGAACATCAAACATTGTCCAGGATGATTCAAAATTAATTCTTATTTCATATTGAGTTGTTTCAGGTATCTGTATTGAAAACTTTTATCACCAAGAAATTTTGAATTGATTTAAAAATTTTTATTTATATTTTCTAAAAATCACCAATGATTTTTTAATCATAAACCTCAAAATGTGGATGCCTCACTCTGTCAAAAATCATTTTACAAAAAGTTTTCAGCATTTTGTAAGACAATAGGCCCCTAGATTTCAGCTCTTTGAAATTGATGTTTTTATTTGTTGCGCTTGAGCGTGTTATCTTTAGGGATATAACCTAGTGAGTAGCACTTTATGCCTCTTTCTCTCTCGGTGTTTACTCGCTGTGAAAGTGTATTTAAATGTGTATATGCAACACAGGTTGTAAATAAACCAACTGTATTGTTTAATTCTCCAAAAATTAACAGTTCCTACATCTTTATGTAATTGAGTTATTGATAATTTGAGATAAACATGTAGAAAAAAAAAATTAAAAATCGGGAGGAAAGCATTCTGTTGGTTAACCAGAGGAAAAAAGAGATGAAAAAGTGTGTACATCATTTTAATTCCTTATGACTCTCAGTATACTTAGGTGTTCTCAATGCTGCTGCTACAGGTAAGAATCGTTTGTTACAGAGTTTAATTAGGAAGATTTTATTTTCGCTTTGGTCACGAGACTCTCGATCATTAACTGCCCAGGGGACATAACTGAGATTTATAGCAAGAATTATTGACCTGTTTGTTGGTATATCATGAAAATAGTCATGTTATTGATTTTTTGTGTTTCAGAAAACAAAATAGTTGTGAATGTTCTAGATAAAACTGTTTTTTGTGAAACCTTTGTTACCTTTGTCAGCACTTACATAGAATTGATTGAGCATAGCCAGTTACTGAATATCAATACACAATTTACTAAGACTGTCAAAGCTTTAGAGTCTTAATTATGGTTCTCTGCTATGCTTCTTCCTTGTTTTGTAACCTACAGTAAATCTCCTGCTTTGTAGTTTTATTCTGACAATCATTTTGCATTATTTCTGTTGAAGCCAAGAAATGATGCAATACCTGCATCTTCTGGCATTCTTTTTCAATGGGAGAAAGCTGTAGGCAGTCTTTATCAAAATTGATTAAGAATACTCGGGGGTAAACACATTAAGGTTAACTGTCAGGCTATAAGTCAATCTTCACTGTCCTTGGTTAATCAATCTCTACAGTTGTATCCACTACTTGATGGTGTGTCGGAATTTCTTATGAACCTCCTACAGGAAAACCACAGAATTTACCCCCTGCTTTTTGTGATTTTGAGGCAAAAAATCAAACAAATTTTCTGTGAAGTTCATATTATGTAGGAGGATAAGTTTTTTCCCCCCAAGTCAAAAAAAATTTATTAGATATTCTAATTTAATTCAATTCTGCAGTGAATTGGACCAGTAACCCAGGCAAACTTATAATGGCAGGCTGGCTGTATTTACAAAAAGTCAATAATTTAATAAATCAATCATTATACTATTTATAGATTAAAAATCATTAGTTTGTAAAATCAATACTTCAACTCTTGTGTATGTTTACAAATGCAAGATGTAGCTGCTAAGCATCTAATTATAATGGTAGTGAATAAGAATAATGATCTGCAGAATTTCAGTGGATTTAACAACAGCCTGTCTATATATCTATCACGCCCCAAGTCTTTGATGAGTTTTATTGGAGGGCTTATAAACTCATAAAAACTTAGCAAGGTTTCTTCTACAGCAATAGGTGTCCCACAAATCTTCCACCTATTGCTTAGACAGTATTGGAGAGGTAAAACTGTAAACCTTGGCATTGTGAATTGTTTGATATGGATTCAGTATAATTGTGCTGTGGAAATGATACTTTGTGTTTATAATGCTTCACACTGACAAAAACATGATGGACCAGACTGGAATTTGAACCCAGACCTATAGTCCATCACATTTTTCTCCCCTCCCATTACATTTGGTGCTGTGCCATGCCTTGGAAGTGACAGGTGAAAAAAAGCCTGGGTTGGTGTCTTGGGGTGGGGGGGGGGGGGCAAAGACGTTAAAGGAGGGGAGAATATTGCAGTCAGCATGGTCAGATGGGTTTGATGGCCAGTGGCCAGATAGCTCATTTGGTAGAGCACTGGGTGGGGATTTGAGTTTGAATTCTGGTTTGGTCTATCACATTTTTGTCCTTTCCCATCTCATTTGTAATGGCATATTCAAGTGTTAGCTTTATTTAGATGATTTGTGATCAAGAAATCATAAATTATAAATTGCTTGACGTTAAACAGAACATCACGTACTTAACAATGAGTTTTTTTTTCAATTGATTGTCCTTTAAAACATACTCTTAAGTGAATCAATATCTTCAATGTGCCCTTCTCTTGAATAATTCATAAGTATATAATGAGCATTGTTTTACAATGGGGAGAAAATATAACTATACTTATATCAAAATCATCTCAGTCAGGGAACATGATCATCAACTATTTCACAAATTTTTTTTTAACTATGAATAAATTGAAACTTTAGCCTATAATCAAAGCATTTGATACGCTAACTTGAACAGTACCACATATGGAATCAATGAACAGTTTAGAAGGATGATTTTGTTTTATGTTGCTTTACATGTAACAATATAAAGTATTAAGTGGCTATGTTTAACTTTAATGGTGTATTTCTGGGTACAGTAAAGCTATATTTGTTTCCTGGTGATGCAAAATAAAGATATATACTGGGATGTATTTATACATTAATTAATATATTGCATGTTGTGAACAATGGATGTATAACTAAGTGAGTGTAGCTTGCTACTGAATTTAGTTATGGTTATGTTTTTGTTTTCTTGGGTAAATTGATTTATAAATGATTTATATTAGGAATTTTATTGCAGTACATATTTATTTTGTTATCTTTTACGTTTTTCAGATGACCATTTTAATTGTTGCTGTAGCAGTTTCCTGAAGGAAGTGAAAATCAGCAAAAGTGGAGCAGACCAGCAAAAACAAGGAATTCGGCATTGCCAAAGCTTTGTCTACCATTTTCAAACTTATGCAAACAGTTGTCATGGAAACAGGATATGGACAGATCAGCTCAGAGACTTCAAATGTGCTGCAGCCAGATGAATCTCCCGATTTACTGGACAATGGCAAGCATAACGTCAAAACAGCCTCCAACGATTCTTTCTCCGAATTTATGACTCGTTGTGCACCGGCACTTCCTAATGGACCAACACTTAGCAGACGGGCAGATCGGCATTACTCCAAGCGCATGCGACGGCGACTTGTGTACAAAAATGGTGAGGTGAACATAACACAAACAAACATACGAAAACGTCGACGACGATTTCTCGCAGATATTTTTACAACTTTAGTTGATATCAAATGGAGGTACAATTTGCTTCTCTTTGCTTTGGCTTTTATTTTGAGCTGGCTCATATTTGCAGTGATTTGGTGGTTGATCTGTTTTTCACACGGAGACCTAGAACAAGAACAACTGAAAAACCCACAACATGTTCCTTGTGTGAAAGAAATGCATTCCTTCACATCAGCTTTGCTGTTTTCGATTGAGACACAGCATACTATAGGATATGGTTCCAGACACACAACAGAGGAATGTCCAGAGGCCATTACTGTCATGATGATTCAGTCGTGCTTCGGGGTAATATGCCAAGCGATGATGACTGGAATCGTATTTGCAAAGCTTTCTCGACCAAAAAAGAGAGCAGAAACACTCATGTTTAGCAAAAATGCATGCATCTGCAAACAAGATGGAGAATTATGTTTGCTTGTAAGAGTGGGTGATATGAGAAAATCTCACATTGTGGAAGCTCACGTCAGAGCTGTAGTGATCAAAAAGAAAATAACTAAGGAAGGAGAGGTGTTGCCTCTCTTTCAATTCGATGTTAACTTAGGTTTTGAGGACGGCAGTGATCGGCTCTTTTTAGTATGGCCTGTGATCATAAGCCATAGGATCAATGAAAGTAGTCCATTTTGGGAAATGTCTCCTGAAGATCTGCATCGAGAACAGTTTGAGCTGATAATCATTCTGGAGGGTATTGTTGAATCCACTGGAATGACCACCCAAGCCAGGAGTTCGTACCTCCCTGGGGAAATTCTCTGGGGACACAGGTTTGAACGCTTGGTCACATTTCAAAAAGAGAATGGACAATATCAAATTGACTTCTCCCGTTTTCACAACACAATGCCTGTGGATACACCCCAGATCAGTGCTAAAGAATTAGCAGAAATGGGAGATATTTTGCAAGATCATGCATACATTGATGAAGTTGAAAATATGTCCCTTTGCTCACAAAAGCAAGATGTGTTTCCAAGCCCTTATGTGATAAAAAGGCATGGAGCTGTTCAAACTGACTTTGACGATGACCTTGATTCAAATGATAGTTCGATTCCAAGTCGCATTGCCACGGAGGAAGCAGATACATTACTTTTACAGCTTAAACATTTGTAACCCCCAGGAATTTCCTTGTCACCCTCAATATTGTTAATAGATGTACAGATTAGTTAAGGATATAAGGTGTATGACATTGTGCCCTGAATGCTTCCCAGTTTGATAGGAAAAAAATTGTACACATGACACGAACTATTTGACAAGGTTTTCAAGTGGTAGGGTCTTTTCTATCTCTTTTAGTGACTCTTTTGAGCTTTTTCTGATCAAAGGCTGGCCACCCTTTGCACCAATGTTTATATATATGTCAGGTGTAATTTTTTTGTACAATTTCTTCATCTTCCTAGAATATATAGCCAGTTTATACCAAACTTACAACAGAACATATTTTGCTAAATGAGATTCAAGTTGTTCAAATGAACAAGTAAGATTCTTTCCAGGGGCTGATAATCAAAATATGGTCAATATGGTTATTTGAAAATCCTTCAAGAACATTTGGATAAAAAAGACATTTGAAATTACAGAATATCCACTAAAAAGAGCTGCACCATGGTTAGTCAAAACATTAGAAAACATTGTCATGAAATGTTGGCTCACAGACTTCTTGTTTAAATTCAAAATAAGCCAAGGTCTTTGCGAAGGTTTGGGTATTACCCCAAAGTCAAAGTATATAAAAACACATGAACAATCATCCCCATCTGATGTTGAATCAAATTTGATCAAATCATAACCCACGTATGCTAGAATGATGTATAGTAAAGCGTATAAACCCCTACAAATAAATATGCAGAGGAAATTTACATTCTTGTTGAATTATCTGGAAATCAACTGACCTAATATTCAAAGAGTTATCACAGAGAGAACAAATAGAAATGTAAATATTAGATGAATACTGCATATAGTTAAGAGTAGAGTTAAATGTTGTCAGAAGAAGACATGACTCAGGTGAGCATTGTGGAACATGGGCTTTTTACATTTTGCTTTTTTGAAAGAATCATTTTTTTTGTCATGGTGCTGAGCAATTGTGCTGCTATTTTGTTATGTCAAAGAAAAGCTGTAACTTATGAAAATTGCTGTTCAGCTGATTATTTGGTTTTTAAGAACAAATGAGAAACATGACCTGTATGTATTCTGACCTCTTGTGTTTAGGCTCTGTTGCTGCTGTTCACCTGAGAAGCCGGAATCAAAATGTTATTTATACCAGTCTACCAGTATTTTAATTTACTTTGCCAGAAGTAGATCTTCATATTAATCATCATCTTTGTTCTATGAGGGAAGTCATCTACCTTCTTAGGAATTAACTTGTCTTTCAAATTTTTTTTTTAAATTTCCCTTGGGACAGGCTTCTTTAGTAATTTATGAGTTGCTTAATAGTGCTTTGCAAATTCACAAGCTTGTTTGTATCTTTTTAAATCACTTCTTTCACAGAGTGATTTTAGTGTGTTTGTATGAATGTTGTTTTTCAAATTCAATTCTTATTGAAATAGGTACATGCACTGGTTGGCCAAAAAAAGAATGTGTGCAACCTGTGATAAAAGGGATTATGATTTATGTACATGTATATGTATACACTGTACAAAGGCTTGAACCAGATGTCAATGTCACATCAGATTATGTGGTGGTTATGTCATTTACATAGAGTAGATTTTATAACAAAAATTTTAATAAATATTTCTGACTGCTATTGAACATGACTACCTTGGTAAATAAGAGATGTGATGAACGGTGTATGTGACATAAGAATAAAGTCCACTGAGTTGCTTAACCTTATTTGCACTTTATATACAGGTATACTTACGGTTCTTTACCTTTGGTATATGTACTTTCAGGTTGTCATTAATAAGACACATTTTTTCATTCACTGAATTTTTAAGAATTTTTCTTGGAACAATTTTCTTTCTTGTTCCTTTTAAGGGTTTTTTCGAATTGAAATTTTTCCATCTTTTTATTTTCTTAGAGCCCTTTCTATGTAGATTGACAAATTCTGTAAAGGAATTAAATATATATATTCCAGTTAATTTAAATATTTTACCTGTATTCCTTCATAAAACTCAAAAAGGTTTAAGCAACATTTCGTTTTTTTGAAAATCGTTTTTATTTTACATAGTCAAACAGATGACAAAATTTATTTTTGTATATATTGCAGCTACCAGGTTGTTATTTGGGAAGTATTTTTATAGACGAATTTCACATTCCTAAGAGTTATCTCCCGTGGTCAGCGTAACGCTCATTTTTCCCACTTTGTCCTTTGTAAGTTACCTGTTAATATTTTTTAATGTCAAACGTTTTAGGACAATTTTGATCTGTACCTGTATTGCCAGAGTATGGGGCAACATGAAAAACATAATGAGCATATTCAAATAGATTTTATTTCTAGGATACTGACCCATAAAGTTGGTAAGGTTATAGAGGGAAAACGGCGTCTTACGCCGGTTGACCCCGGATTGACCCCGCAAAGGGGCATAACTTTTGTAAATGTGAAAGTCGTCTATTGTGGCATAATATAATTTCCCTTATTATATTTTTTTGGAAACAACATTCTGTATATATATATATAAGGATTCTGCCTTAAGTATTTCATTTCTGTATATGAAAGTATTGTTTTAGTAATTCTGTATGCATTGTTTAGATTAATATCATAAATTGTTCATAGTTGAACATTCACCTTTTATAATATAATTTATGTATTTAATTATTGGAATGGAAACTATGAATTCAATAACTTTATTGGCTGTTGAAATAGAAATTCAATGTGTTTTTACATTGAATTTAAGAATGCATAATATGTCACAGTGCATTTTTAATTGCATAAGGAAATATTATGGTCATAAAGACTTATTTGAACTTTGGTCTCCATTTGACTTTAACATGTAATATGAGTAATGAAACATGCCTTTCCTGAACAATTATTATACAATACAATTTTATACCAATTCGAGAAAAAAATGTTTCCTGCACAGAGATTAATTTCCTTATTAACATCTTCTAAATTGATGTGTATGTATTTGTTTATACAATGATTGAATCTCACCATGTTTAAATTTTCTTTTATGATTGTTGCTGTGGCAGCATCTTATATGTAACTTTTTATTTTAAGAGGATTGAGTCTCTGAAATCTGCTGTGTGATTATTTTATGTTTTTATTCTTGCATACTCATTATGTTGTTTTTCATTAAGCAGCATGAATTCTTGAAATCCATAGAATGCACCAATTCACTTTTTGCAATTTCTCCTTTAAAAAAAAAAAAAAATTCTCCAAACTATGGAATTATGTTGCTCAGTGAAACTTTACGAAATTTAAATAGGGAATATACTGTAGATGAACTTTAATCAAGTGGGATTAATTTATGCTATATGTATGCAATCACAAATTTCCTACAGAAATTTTTCACAGCTTACTTAAAGTTCATTTAAGACATAGATTGAACAGAAATAATGTTTTTTTTTTGCAATTATGACCATATGGAAAAAGTATTTTTATGGTGATTTAAGTTCATTTTTCCTTGCATTATGGTGCTATTCAGTATTTTCCTTTTCCTTATTTTCCTTTTTATCACCCAAATATATTTCCGATTTTATTCAGAGAATTATTTTTTTCCGACTGATGCTTCCTTGATAATTTTCCTTTTGTTGACTATTTTTACATTTAAAAAATACAAGAAAGTATATTTGATATGAAATGTCACTTTTCAATGCCACTTTTGATTGCTTGAGGTTTTCTTTACAATTAGCAATTGTCTTTTATACAAATATATATCATTATTCCTCGTAATTTCTATAGCTTTGTTTGATATTTAAAACTCCACATATGAAGGAATTTTTTCGAATCAATTCCTTTTGTGCTATTTGGTGTTATTTTTTTCCTTTTTGTAAGCTTCCTTTACAAGTGTTTACCTTTACTCTCAACGAGTCAGAATTTGGTTGCCTACCAGTGCTGTCCAGATCACCTTATGTATTATTATTTTTAGCTTTCTAAACCCTTTAAGTCCCATAATATCTATATTTGCTTGAAATTTTCTAATTTATTGAAGATTTTTTTTTATTCTGGTTTTAATAAGAATCATTGTCTTTCATACCAGTTGGTATTTACTTTTAATACATGTACTTTGTGTAAAATGATTAATTTTATTCGCCACAGATGTATTTTCATCATTATAAGGAATCTAAATTAAATTTGAACATGAAATTTTCAGAATATATTGCTTTTCAAAATATGATAAACTAGAATACATGGAAATGGAATTATTTTGAAATGTCTTTATTGTTATAAGAAATTCTATTTCTGAAGGGGAATAAAATAAATTCTTTATATGCTAGATGAGATACATGTACTGATTGCTCAGTTATTAGAACACTGACTAGTGATTCAGGGGTCTCAAGTTTGAATCCTGGTCTGATCCCTCACATCTTTCTCCTTTCCTGTAAAATTTGGTGCTGTGACCAGGATGTTTCAAGTCAAAGACCCTGGGTTTGTGTCTTTGGGAGACCTTTAAGGAGTGAGAAAATGGCGGTCTGGAGTGTTAAATCACTGGTGGTCAGTTATCTAAGTTGACTGAACTCCCCACTAGTGATTCAGGGGGTTTAGGTGATCTAAAGGATATCTTAATTAATGTTTTGTTTAGTACTAAAAAGTCCCACACTCGGTCACAATATTTGTTTTAACTGTAACAGGTTAAACAGATATAGGTTAAGTAAATTATATCAATTTTGTAAAGTTAGTAAAAATATGATATGAATATTTTATCAGTTGTGTTTGTATGGAGAGTAAATAAAATTGTAAAAATGTCCTGTTTTGTTTTAATTCATTCGTTAACATTTCTCATCAGATTTCTTACTTCCTTATAAAACAAACATGGTCTCTTCGAAGCCTTTGTTTGGGCAATATCTTACACACAGCATCGATGTTTTTGGTGTACATGTGCTAAATGGCTGTGTGATGCGTACAGTGTGTGTGCCTGTCTGTGTCTGTGCTTGTCACTCTCGCTTTCAGCTCCACCCCTGGCTAGCAGTTTACTGTGAAGGAGGGAGCAATTTCTGTAAGTCTCTCTTGCCAGGTATAGCCTCTCCATGGTTAGACCTATGTGGCCCAGATATGGGATCCTCCTCGAGGTAGCAGATGGGAATTGGGTACCTTGCGGCCCCAAGCAGAACCACAGGATCTTGGAGGAGACCAGGCCCCTAAATGCATGGCACGCATGGCCCACCGGTGAGTGGATACGTCCTGGTGTCTGCAATCCTGGTCCCCAGCAATGGGTAAATTGCACCCCCCCCCATGGTTATTGGATGGTGCCTCCACTGCATCATTGGACGGATGAGCTGCACAAGACAGCCAAAGGCCAGGGCGGAGTAAGTCCCCTTGTGACCAAACGGCCAAGTGGAAAAGGAGAAAACCTTAAATCCGGAGTGGGGACCCGTAGGCGGAGCAGTGCTGCCAGAAACACTGTTCCAGCATCTCCTGCAGCCAAGCTGGCGCCAAACATCATGCTCTGCATTCCTTTGGATCCCGTCAGTAAGGCCGAGAGGGGGATCCTGACGACTGGGCCACCTAGGATCTCCTTACTGTTGGCCCAAGCTTCGTGCTCTGGAGAGGACACTCCAGCCCCACTGCAAAGTGTGGATACAAAACAGGAAGTTGTCAGTTTATGGGTTATAAGCCCTTCCAAATTGGCATACAGGAAGGACGCCACGGGACAACTTTTGACGGTGGGAGGGACCATCGTAGTCCTATCGTCCGACTACCGCCCGCCTCAAGCTGGGCAGCCCCCAGCCAATAAGGTGTCGGTCCGCCAACATCTGTTGCTCCAGAGGGTGCCTGGAGCTAAATGTTAGCCAAACATGGAAAGCAGACAGAAACCTAGTAACCCAAAAAATACAGCAAAACGAAATCGTCCATCTTGCGACTGGCAAGCTGGAATGTCAGGACAATGTGTCCTGGCCTATCTGAAGATCTCCAACAGATTGATGACTCCAGGAAAACGGCCATTATCAACCGAGAGCTGAGAAGGCTTAACATTGACATTGCTGCTTTACAGGAAACCAGACTCCCATCAAACGGAAGCCCAAGAGAGGAGGATTATACATTCTTCTGGCAAGGAAACGAAACAGAGGAACCACGTATACACGGTGTAGGATTCGCAGTGAGAAACTCTCTACTTTCATCAGTGGAACCGCCTCAAAAGGGTACACCCAGAATCCTGTCTCTTCGCCTCTCCACCTCCTCTGGGCATGTCAACATTCTGAGCATCTATGCTCCCACACTCAGCTCCACAGTGGAGACAAAGGATACGTTCTATGAGGCGCTTGAGGCTACCATCAGAGAGATCCCAACCACAGAACAAGTATATCTGCTTGGGGATTTTAACGCAAGAGTGGGAACTGACCAAGAAGCTTGGCCTCGCAACATAGGCCACTTTGGCGTTGGGAAACTAAATGATAACGGTCAGCGACTTCTTGAGATATGCTCCTACCACGACCTGTGCATAACCAACACATTCTTTGCCACAAAGCCCCAACACAGAGTCTCATGGCATCATCCTAGATCAAACCATTGGCACCAACTGGACCTTGTGATCACCAGAAGACGCTCACTGAACTGTGTCCTGACAACCCGCAGCTACCACAGTGCGGACTGTGATACCGACCACTCACTTGTTGGCAGTAAGGTGCAACTCCAGCCAAAAAGGATTCATCGCTCCAAACAGAAAGGACGTCCACGAATTAACACAGCAAGGACAGCAATGCCAGATGTTTGTGCACGCTTTGTTGACTCCATTGAAGAGGCCCTTCGTAACTGCCCCACCAGCAGTGCTGATGAGAGGTGGAACTACATTCGTGACGTCATTTACACTTCAGCGATGGACACTTTTGGCAAGAGAGTGAGACAAAATCCAGACTGGTTTGAAGCAGGAATTACAGAACTCGAACCAGCAATCACAGCCAAAAGAAACGCCCTGCTCAACTACAAACGTGGACCTTCAGAGAAGACACTTGCTGAACTCAGAAAGGCCAGAAATGACGCCCAACGGATAGCTCGACGCAGCGCAAATGACCACTGGCTGAATCTCTGTAAAGGTATCGAGCACTCTGCTGACTGTGGTAACATTTGCGCCATGTACGAAGGCATGAAGAAAGTTTTTGGTCTGAGCATCATCAAGACGGCGCCGCTGAAAACAGTCTCTGGTGACATCATCACTGACAAAGGAAAGCAGATGGAGAGATGGGCCGAACACTATCAAGAGCTCTACTCAAGAGAAAATGTCGTCAGTGTCACAGCTGTTGAGAAAACCAATGTCCTACCAGCTATGGAGGAACTTGATGCTCCTCCTTCGATAGATGAACTCAGTAAGGCCATCAACTCCCTAGCCAGTGGGAAAGCCCCAGGTGGCGATGGTATTCCCCCAGAGGTCATCAAAGCGGGCAAGAGTTCCACTTTGTTACATCACCTGCACAAGCTGTTACTCCAGTGCTGGGAAGAAGGAACAATTCCACAAGACATGCGCAACGCTAGCATCATAACGCTCTACAAGAACAAAGGAGACCGCAGCGATTGCAACAACTATCGTGGAATATCCCTACTCAGCATTGTTGGGAAGGCATTCGCCCAAGTAGTGCTTAATCGATTGCAGAAACTAGCAGAGCGAGTCTACCCGGAGGCGCAGTGCGGTTTCAGAGCAGAAAGGTCAACCATCAACATGGTTTTCTCATTACGCCAATTACAAGAAAAGTGTCGAGAACAGAGACGCCCATTGTACATTGCCTTTATTGACCTAACCAAGGCATTTGACCTGGTCAGTAGGCAAGGTCTCTTTACCCTGCTACAGAGGATTGGATGCCCTCCAAAGCTCCTGAGGATAATCTCGTCTTTTCATGAAGACATGCACGGCACCGTCCAGTATGATGGTTCATCCTCAGATCCCTTCCCAATCAAAAGCGGCGTAAAACAAGGATGCGTACTAGCCCCAACGCTTTTTGGCATATTCTTTTCCCTGCTGCTGTCATACGCATTTGATCAATCAGAAGATGGCGTGTATCTTCACACCAGAAGTGACGGAAGCCTCTTCAACCTTGCGCGTCTCCGAGCAAAAACCAAAGTACGCAAGGTCCTGATCAGAGAGATGCTCTTTGCTGATGATGCCACCTTGACTGCACACACAGAGCAGGCACTACAACGACTCATCGACCGCTTTTCCAATGCATGCGATGAGTTTGCTCTCACCATCAGCATCAAAAAGACCAACATTATGGGCCAGGACGTCTGCTGCACTCCCAAAATCTCCATCGACGAACATGTCCTTGAAGTTGTGGATTCATTCACCTACCTTGGGTCCACCATATCAAGTAACCTGTCCTTGGATACAGAGCTAAATAAGCGCATTGGGAAAGCAGCATCAGTAATGGCTTGGCTGGGAAAACGAGTATGGGACAACGCCATGCTGACAACAAACACCAGGATAGTGGTATACAAGGCGTGCGTACTCAGCACGCTCCTGTACGGCAGCGAAGCCTGGACCCTGTACTCTCACCAAGAGCGTCGACTCAACACCTTCCACATGCGTTGCCTCAGAAGAATTTTAGAAGGATCATGTCACCAACAAGGACGTATTGAGACAGTCAGGGTTACCCAGTTTGTTCGCCTTGCTAAGCCAGGGGCGATTGAGATGGCTTGGCCATGTAAGCCGCATGGACAACGGCCGTATACCGAAGGACGTGCTGTACGGAGAGCTGGCAACTGGATCAAGACCTACAGGAAGAACTGTTCTTCGCTACAAGGATGTCCTAAAACGTGACATAAGGGCCGGAGACATCGACCCGGCGTGTTGGGAAGCAGTGGCTGCTAACCGAAATCGATGGAGGCATGCTGTCAAGGCAGGCCTCAAACTCAGCGAAAAGAGGAGGGAAGAACAGTGGGATGAGAGAAGACAGCGCAGACGACAAAGAGTAGCTTCAGTCCCAGCTCAACCAAGCGAGCATCACATCTGTGCGAACTGCAACAAAGCATGCCGCTCCAGAATCGGACTTTACAGCCACAGTCGGCGCTGCCACTCAACTACAGACTGATCCTGATCCTTGGCACGATCTCCATTGTCTCCCGAGACAGAAGGATGCCAACAACAACATGTACCCATAGTTGTCGATCGATCAGTTTTATTGCAATTTTTAAAGTCCCCAAATTCCACTTTTTAATTTTTTTCAAATCCACCTAAACATCATGCTGTGTTGCAAGACTTTTCTTTCCAGATATCAATACTCATCTTCATTTTGGTTCTTTAGGGATTTTGGTATTGAACGGTTCAACCACAGCTTTCACATAAGCCCTCATTTTCATCCTCTTAGTAGAGACATTTTTAAAACAGTCGTAAGCACAATGACGTACGTGACCATGCTTCCTTTTTTAAAAAGTGAGTTTCTTTGGGAAGAATTGTTAAAAACAAGCGGCTTTGGTGATTAGAAGTTCTTAACTTGACCTTTTCTTGTGTGAAAAGTTAAAATTAACTGCTTCTACATTTAATTTGATAAATCGTTTGTTGCATTTTTTTATTGAACGACAGTCGTATGACCATTCAATACCACACCTCTTTTATCATTGCGAGGCTTTATTAAATAGTCACTGAAAAAAACTATTTACTCTTGTTCTAAATTATGCTTAAAGTGTCCAAACTATCAGAAATGAATAGAATTAAATAACATTTTTAGCATTTACTTTTTATCGTAAATGCTGTGACATTTTTAGTTTCAGAAACTTAGGAAAGATGTACATGATGATCAGTAGTTCATTAGTATATACATGTACATGTATGCTGATATCTGATCGTTTGGCATCACTAAGAGCGAAGACTATTCTCGGAAGTGCTGTGACGTCCCTATTTTACGATGCAAGTATGAGTTACTTTATGTTAAAAAATCGAATTTTGACGTCTTGGTCTATATTTAGGTGTTTTCAACGAGTAACCGATTACTCGATTACTTTTGTATTCAATACTTTGATCTTAAAATTGTACTCGATCAAGTACTTGAATGATAAAACAAGCGATATTTCCTTCTTATGTAAAATATGGCATTTCCCTTTTATCGGTAAAATAATCACCTAATTCCTCTTTAGTCTTTGAAATATTTTTTAACGAAACGTTAATTCTTAGTCTATACAAAATGTGTTTTGAAACACTGATGCCCCTGTATTACAGCTCACGGCAGTGTCTCACATGCAAGTCCAACTCCAACTGTCCAAGATCAAGTTGAAGGACAAAAAGTCGAAAATGCAAGTACCCACAAGAAAGTATTGTCACGGTGGACAAGTGCATTTTTTCCTTGAATATTGACCGATTAAAGGCAGGTACTCACGACCGAGTTGCTAAATATTAATCAATTTGACCATAAGACATGATCAAAAATAGCAAGAATTTTCTACTATAATTAAAACACAAAGGACACGACTGATAGTTTATTAACAGAATTATAAAAACGAATACTGGGTACAAACAGCTCATTATACTTGTCAAAATTAATCAGTCATATCCAGTAAACTCTCTAGAACCAGTCATTTTCTTCGTTTGTTCTCTTTGATACATAATTACCAGGCCTCAGGATCATGAAATGCGTATATTTATTAGATCTTAGAATAGGACAGATGACCCAAACAAAAAAAAAACTGGACTCTAGGATTGATAAATATTATTGGCCACTTTGTTGTAAGTGATGCAGAAATAAAATTAAATTCTGAAATATTTTTTAAAATTGTGAAATTCTATCATTCAAAATTGCATATCTCTACATGCAATTATTCATATATTTATCACATTATAGGACATTATTTTGAAACTTTAAATGGAAAGTTACACATTTGAATTTATTCATTTTACATATATCAAAGTGATTTAAGTCGTTTTTTTCAAAATACTAATTTAAAAAATGTATCATTTTTCTTTAGGCTTAATAAAAATCATATCCGTTAGCAAAGGGTACACGCATACATCATAAATGAGTTAAAATCTGTGTATTGCAATGAAATTGTTTATTATTCAAACATTTTAAGATAAAATTGTCATTCAGCGTTGCTTCATTCATCTGCTTGTGTCTGAAAACCAAGATTTTCAGTGGACAATTAATGTCACAGGTGATAGAAATTTTGACTTAATTTTTCTCAATGCAAGTAAAACCCCCCAAGATCAAGGTTCTGAGATCAAAATCCTCGGTACCCAAGGTAAGGTCTTGTCACATGAAATACAAATACATATGGTGCTTTATAATCATGAATTTTAAATCAAATTTAAGTCAAATTCCAAGGTCAAAGGGTTAAAATTGCTGGTACCCAGGGCCAAATATTTCGCTACTCAAAGAAAGTTCTTGCCGCAAGAAATACTTTATGAAAACCATAGCTCCAAGTTATGTGCAAAGGCCGATAGAAAAAAAAAGAAAAAAAAAAATATTTTTTTTTTTGGATCCAAAGGCCTGTGTGTGCAACGATAAAGTTTTGGGGTAGAAATAGACAGAACGGACAGACGGTGCAAAAACCATATATCTCCGATCGTCGATTTCAAATTATAAAACATCATAAATCTTCACTACCTTCTAAAGAATCATGAATGAATGTGACCTTTCTATCCTTAAGAAGGTAATTTTTAAAGACTATACGAGTATTACTTAACGTGCAAAATCAGTAAAAGAAAGACTAACGCCACACTACACTTTTGGCTAAAGTAACAATTTACAATGTACTCTAGTATCATGCGAAAAAATCTTACTAAATTATTTAGCTAAAAAAAAGACAATAAAATAACAGAAATTGAAAATAGAGGAGGGGGGCTAATTGAAAGTGTGGGGGCTAAACCACCAAAAAAAGGCAAACACCAATTTTCAATGCCTATATTATGTCTATCTTTGCAAAAATGTGCCTATGTATTTTAAGTACAGTTTAATTTATTATATTATAGTTAAAATATACATTAATTGTTGTTTACGTAGTTTTTCATTGGACTTCTGAGCTTGATATACTTTACATTATTAGTCAGAGTGACAGCTGAGCAAACACAGACCTCTAAAACATTATAGGTGGGATCAGTTGCCATCATAGTGTACTGTACACGTGTGTACTAACTCTTAAGAACTCAATCTATATAGAGACTCTGTCGTGTGTATGTTGTGCAGCAAGTATTCACCTTCAACCCCAGTAATCAGCAAGTAATTAATTCCACGTCCAAACAATGTTTGCAGTTTCATTACCTCCATTAACCTATAAGCCAAAACTTCGTTTTACTTTGAGATTTTGTAGGTTTTTACCCATTTTCTACAAAATGTTGAATGACATTGGAAGAATATTTGGTGTATAATTTCTTCAGGTAAGATATTTTCTGTTTATATTGTTATGGCACACTACTGGGTATATTGGATCACACATACATCTATAATATGTGGTGGCCTAGGGAGATTAAACCTACCTGAAATTCCCCAAATTAGATGAAATTGCCAGTTCTTTTAATGGGTTCCTTAGTCTGAGCCAAAAGCTGAAAACGCGCGCTTAATTCGAGAATAATTTGTCAAGATCACAATGATCAAAGTATGGAATTTTTATCCTTGGAGAGAAAGTTGCATTTTTTTTAATTTTTATTGCCTACTTTGTTGCATTAAGTATTTTAAGAAGCCATTAGAGATTGGCGGCAAACCGTTAATATTTATTATTCTTCCAGGTATCTATTTGGTGAAAAAGTTTTGTGAACTGATAGCTTAAGGAGGAATAACCCTATGTTGTTAAGAAGGATAACTCTAAAATTGATGATTCATTGTTTCCTTTATGATTTTTTTCATTTTAAGATTTACTGGCAGAAAAAAAATGTGTTTATTTTTTCCCCGAAAATCAAAACGTTGATAATGAAAAGAAACTAGTGCTAATTGTAACGGGAACCGTTACAGATGTTCCCCAAACGCTCCCCAACTTCATTTTGGTGCCTCATTCCCTCAAAGCTTCATCAAATAAACTTAACTCTATGCATTTTAAACAAATTTGCGCACACTTGCATGACCATATCATTGCATCTACACTATTAATTTATTTTATGTACTTAATATCAAGGCCATTTTAAAGGATGCATGCAGTAATGTGTAAAATATCTAGCCATTTAAAGTTTTATCCAATCAGATTGCAGCGCACGTGCATGCGCGTGATTTCATGAAAAAAATCAAAACGTTGATAATGAAAAGAAATAAAATCATACTAATCATTTTTATTTGATCTACGGCTATATCAATTATATTTGTCATTTTACATGTTGCACGTGCGCGCTCTTGCAAGATGCACGCAAAATGATCCGCAAATCTACATAACATGTCTACTTACCCTAAAAAGGTTTTACCTACATCAGATGAAAGACAGAGAAGAAGAAAAATAATAATAGTGCGTGTTCTCGATCATATTAATCATTTTTATTTGAGGTATGATTTAAATGGTCTGTAATATTATCCAAGTGTTTTGAATTCCAAATTACAAAATGATTTAAATTGTCTAAAAATTCTTGGTTAAAAAAATGTTAAGATTTCTTAGGCCTATTTACACAGTTTTGGGTCAGAAAATTCTATTCTTACAATAGATAGCGACTGCATATATATAATAAAGAATTTTTCAGTTCCGTAACTTTATGAACGTTTTTGAATTTAAACAAGGCTTTTGATTTTATCGAACATTATATCCTTACCTATGAATGAAGATACCATACTGATTAACAAATGATTTAAAGGTTTTAGTCACATTTGAATAACGGAACAACTGCCGTTCGAAAATTTTATATTGAATAACCTAAATATAATGCATTGGTTGTGTATTTTCAAGTGTGTACAAATTAAAACGGATTCCGGGGCCTCGTTAAGGATCCAAAATATTCAGAGGAAAATAGAAATCAACTACTCACTTCTGGGAAAGTATGTTAAGTATGCATTTTCTTCATTTCTTATTTTAGTTCTTTTTTTATTCCCGATGTACTTTTGTTTTTAAAGTATTATCTGGTATCGTTGATCATGGCATTGGACGTTTACTTATACGCGGAAGGATTTACATTGTAAGGGAAGATTTATCATGGGAAGTAAAGTAAACTTTTAGCTAGCTGTGTCACAAGTTACGAATCACGTTCATTTACCTTTCTAATGGTAAGTGCTTTATAGTTGGGTTGAAAAAGATAATGCTAAACTTAAATCCTTTTCTTTAATTTCAGATTTCTGTCGCAAGGTGTTGAGTTGTTGTTGTTGTTTTCAATTGCAACTAAGAAAGATAGTACACGTTTGATTTCCTTGTCGTTGCAATGTATATATGACACTCAGATATGCTTTTTATCACTTCAGGTTCCCAACTTTCATCTTATTCCAAAGGCCTTGATTGAACTGCGAATAATAAACAGTTTGCTTTTCATATCAGATAGTAATAAAAAAAATATTGTTCTTGTTTTACAACTGTTAATGAATTGTATTCACAAAGCATTATCTTTAAATTTTTGTATAGAAAACCAAAATCTCAGTATCAAAATCATTGCCGCTACAGAATAAATACTAAGTAAGTTGGTTGGCTTCATCAATCGAAGAGTTCAGTTTTGATAACTTTACTAGTATTACCACACAATTTGTATCAACAGTCAGTCAACGCACAGTTAATAGTCACAGTAAGAATCAGTCGTTGTTTCACTTTTTCTATGAAAGACAACTCCCTCTCTGTAGTGTAAAAGCAGCGTTGTCATTTTCAACAGATTTGTTTAAAGTTGACGATTTTTTCAGGGATTAATAATATTTGGTTGCAAACATGTATGTCCTTTCTCACTGGCTGCATTTTCTTTTGTTCATTTATAGGGTTGTCTTTCTTTCCATTCCAAAAGTGCACCCTGTATGTTTATTAATTACAAGTATATGTAAGACGGTTCTCTTCATTTTTCGGTTATGATAGGTAAAAAAACAAAAACAAAACAAAACCAATAGCTGAGTCTGTTTCATCCATGCAAGTTTGGTAATCATAGGGATCATAGTTACTTGGAAATGGGACTGCTACTTACTTATCTTTACTTAACTTATGGACTCCTCTATAAAGAATACAGAAATACATAGCGGTGAAGGACTTTATAATATAAAAAGAAAACTTCGTAGCTATTAACAAGATGCTTAAGTTTCCGATTGACAATATCTATGTAGTTTTGGGAGATCAAAACTTCAAAAATCTGTCGGAATTCCCATGGGTACGAATTGTGCCCCGCAATATTCGTATTCGTATTATGAAGCAGAATTTATTTTAAAAACTTAAAACATTAACAGTTAATACTTCCATTCATATTTCGACTCGATATATCTCATTGATCTTGAAATAAAAAATATCAAACTTCTCAATTTGTTAAAGCTGGCTTACCGCCGTTCTCTTAACAGTACACAACTATTCCGACGGACCCAACTCAATTATCCTTTTCACTGCTGTTCATTTTACCAGAGAATGTTCGCTTACAATATTTTGATTATTCAGTGAACTATATTTCAGATTGTGAGGTAGCTAGGAGCTCACACCAGTTGATTAATGGAAGAGATCTTTGACAAATACGAATCATGGACACAACGTCTGGAAAGTTAAGCTCACAAACATTTTCCAATTTACAGCATAACAACAGTCCTCCAGATTTTCAGAATAACGGAAAACATTCTGCGAATTCTGACAATTCTAAACATTCGTGTAAGTTACCTTCGCTTTGCAGAGGCACGAATCGCCATCACTTGAAGTCTGTGAAACGGCGGCTTGTGTACAAAAATGGTGAGGTGAACGTCACACAAATACACATACGTAAACGTCGCCGCCGATTTCTAATAGATATTTTTACAACTTTGGTTGATATAAAATGGAGATACAATTTATTACTTTTCCTTTTGGCTTTTATTTTAAGCTGGCTCATATTTGCAGCCATTTGGTGGCTGATCTGTTTTGCACATGGAGACTTAGCCCACCAACTCAAAAACTCAAACCATATACCATGTGTGAAAGAAATACACTCTTTTACATCAGCTTTGCTGTTTTCGATTGAGACACAGCATACTATAGGATATGGTTCCAGACACACAACAGAAGAATGCCCAGAGGCCATAATTATAATGATGATTCAGTCGTGCTTTGGGGCTATATGCCAAGCTTTGATGACAGGACTCGTATTCGCAAAGCTTTCTCGTCCGAAAAGAAGAGCAGAAACACTCATGTTCAGTAAACACGCCTGCATCTGTAGACAAGATGGAGAGTTGTGTCTACTCATAAGGATTGGAGATATGCGAAAGTCTTGCCTTGTAGAGGCCCATGTGAGAGCTGTTCTGATAAAAAAGAAAATAACGGAAGAAAATGAGGTCCTACCTCTCTTTCAGTTTGATGTAAATTTGGGGTTTGATGATGGAACTGATCGAATCTTTTTAATAAAACCAGTTATCATAAGTCATGTTATCGATGAGAATAGTCCTTTCTGGGAAATGTCTCAAGAAGATTTGCAAAGAGAACAGTTTGAGTTGATAGTCATTTTAGAGGGTATTTTGGAATCCACTGGAATGACTATCCAAGCCCGAAGTTCTTATCTTCCCGGTGAAGTACTTTGGGGACACAGATTCGAACATTTGGACACATTTCAAATAGAAACTGGGCAATATCAAACGGATTTTTCTCGTTTTGACAACACGACACCCGTGAACATTCCCCTTAACTGTGCCAAAGAACAAGCGGAAGAGGAGGATTCTACCCAGGATTCCTCTGACGACCAACCTGGATGATAAGAGATGCTTAAGAACTTTAAATTACGGTGTCTTTCTATGATAAGGTTTACTGATTAATCATAAATTGCACATAGATACATGAAAAAATCCAGCATTATTTTAAAAAACTGGCTTTATACTAGTACATGTATTACTTCTCACTAAAATATTTGACTGCTTCAAAACTATACTATTCGACAACATATTTAAGAAGTTCGAATTTATGAAATGTATTTCATATCTTGTTGGTCACCTAAAAATGTTAAAAGTAATTTTAATTCCATGTATAAGAAGTTAAGAACCGTGGAGTTTAATAAAAAAAATCTCTTCAACAATGACTATATACTAGTATGTAGTCTTGGGATTCGACGTCTAGCAACAATCTGCTCGAATTCCCCCAAGCACAGATTGTGCTCCTTTTTGAGTCAACCTGTTCTGTATTTTGTGAGCATTATTCAAAAACGTCATATGAAAATTTCTACTTGTTAGCAAGATTTTCAGTGAGAAAATCCGGTTATTGAGTCAGTGAAGATTGCAGTTGGCTTTGAAAAGGGTTCATCTTTGCCCGGGTACCTTGTCCTATAATTTTCAAGGTATGTTTTTTGTTTTGCAATTCAATTGTACATATGTCAGAAATGCACAAAATTATTTATTTTTTAATATGAAAACAATGCCAGTTGTTAAATGACGTCCTTTTTGCAAAGTATTGCATATAGGGTACGTCATTTGTCTAATACATGTACTAGTAAATCCTCCTACAGTTTTCAAGATGGTAAAATTTTTATTTTGCAAATCAAATGATTTCAGAGATACGCATAGAGCTTTGAACTCTAAGATTTTTTAAAATAATGTATGAGTCTATGATAAATTCCTAGATTTTGATGTTATATTTTTTCCTTGAAAAATGTTGCACATAGGAAACTCAGTTAGTCTGGATAACTTCTAGTACAGTTTCCAAGAAAAGAAGCTCATATTCTGTTTTACATATATCACAAAATATGTTTTGTACTTGGATTTCAACTTTATTTAATTTATATTATGAGTTTTGCAAACATATTTTGTTCTCCAGAAAATCTTTTTAAGGAAAGTTAAGCTTTTCAAAAGAAGACTTTATACGCGGGATCCAAGAGTCCCAAAAACTTTTTAACTAGATTTCCGCCGAGTGTGTGTAATCATTTAAAATATATGAGGCACTTATTAAAACCATCTTTACATACCAGATCTTACGTATAAATATAGTAGTACTTATATGGCCACAAAAAGAGAGAAAACAAGGAAGACAACGTAGCCTCTTTTAATGTGTAAATACTTTACAGAATGAATTGAGAAAGATTTCTCAAAGCTCTTCCTGTCTCTCCTATATAACGACAAAATTTTCTGATAAAAGCGATGGATTCAACTTCTCTATCGTCAACAACTAAAAATTCCTTTTTTTATTCGGGAAAACTTTATTTTCGCATTTTTGAGGTTGGTGCCCTTTAATATTATTGAAAGAATGGCAGTGGCCATTGTTTTGCTATTGGAAACCCAAAATATGTGTCGGATCAAAAAGTATTTTTAAAAAAAGGAGGTGCACAATGGCACAATGTACCAATGATTCTGTGAAAGTTTCATTTAATTTCATTCATTGGTATAAGAACAGTTGCATATAAGAGATGGCCGGACCCTAAAGCATAACAGACGGACGGACAGACGTACTGACGGACGGACATCCCCCTGCTTTTCAAGCGGAGTATTACTGTTTAACAACGTAACTACACAACGTGACGTATAGGGCTTTAATTTTTCTATCGACATGAAGAATAAACTGACATTTGCATTTGCGGTCAAGTCTCTCGGTTGATTAGAAACACAAAAGCAATTTTGACATTATCTAAATGAAGCAGGCTACTGACAATTACGTTGGTGTAACAGAGATTTCAATAACTTCATTTAAAGTTAACACTGTTTTATTGTCGGTACACTGGCTTTGTTTGCTAATATAGTGACTGTCGTTAGGTCGAATGTTCACTGTTTTGTTATAATACAAATTGTTAGGCCATCATCTTTATACTCAATTTACTACACAGAAAAATAATTTATGGCGGATGTGACTGGTCGACAGGAGATGGCTTTTCCTCCTCGGTACCTGATCTCTTTTTTGAAGTTTGCAGGGGTAGTAGATTGTTTTGCTCCGAATTTGTATTCTTTACTTGAACTTTCGAGCATGATTGCCGTTCCTTGTCATAGTTCAAACCATTCTCGTGATATTCTAAAGAATATGGGTCTGTTTTACAAAAGAGCTTACAATTAAGACTAAAATTTAATTCCTTCTGTCAATTTTTTTGTTTTAATATTTTTATAAGAATTTAACAAGATAAATGTGTTCAGTTTTATGGTGGCAATTCCAACGTAATCATTAATTTTGAAAAAAATACAATCAAATAAATTTCTTGGTCTTTGTCATAAGTTCTTTTGTTAAACTGGTCCCAGCTTTTTAACATTATAGGCCTCAGTTCTTTTCATAATGTCCTCTAAGAAATTAAGATTTTTAAATTCAAATTTGAATATGTATCTTAAGATTCGACAATAAAATGTAACTGGATAATTTTCATATCTTTAGGTTACCGGTAATCATCAGAAAATGTTCATGTTATCAATTTTATGAATCCTCTAACATTAATATCATAAAGGCCCTTCCGTTTCTCGAGGACAACATCGAGGTAGATCTGGAGACCAATTTTTCCAACAATTTATTGGAATTTTAATTATATTCCTTTTCTGCTTTTACAAATGAATATGGCAAGATCACAAATCCTTGTTTTCAATATACCCCTTTTTAAATTTTCAGATCTTAGAGTGACTCATGCAGTTCCAGCTTCAAGTGAAGGGGGCTTCTGGGAATGGAAGTCTTGCTACAAATATAAATTCTTATGAAATAGACAATATCAGATAATGTTGATAAGTACACTAAAACTCAACCAAAATAATTGATGTTAGTGCATTTAAAGCAATTATTCGTAATAATTATGATTTTTTTTATGTGTATGCTCCATCATTTGGAATTTGAACAATTTTTTAAGCGTTTAAGGACAGACGAGACGTTCCTTAATAATACATAAATTTCTCTAAGAGTTTGTCATTGAAGGATTGCTACTTAAACATGTTTACTCACAAAAAACATGACGGAAATAGAAGACAAAAAGTACATTAAAAATCATGACAATTTCTCTGAATGGGGTAGTTTTTTTATATAATCCTCTAAAACAGTAAAATATATTTTCCAATTTCAAATGTTTATGTGTTTGGATCTTTTAAAAACGTTTAGAAACTGGTTTAGAAATCAGAATGTTATTAAAATTTTGAATATTTTTCATACATTACAAAGATATACAAAATAGATTTTTGGGGAACGTCTCGTCTGACCTTAAAGACATTAAAAATCAAATTGGAAAGTTAAAGAAATACACAAAAGCTTCAAAATCTATGTTAACTTTGAAATACTTTTTAAAAAGCCAAAGTACAATAACACCAAGTATTTCTACTTTCATGTGTTAGAAGTACGATGTTTTATCCTTCCTTATTTTGTCAATGACGTCCTGGACCTTTGCCAATCATTTTATCTTTACTTTGGCTATTTGCTTCTAAAACTGTGTTAGTAAAATATATTTTTATAAAATAAACATTCTTCCTTAAAAGAATGTCCCCATCTTCTGTAAGGCATTGTATCTACTACGGCGGCGGCCTTCCGGGGGACTACCTGCTCATTAGCACATTCCCAACGGTAGTCAGTAAACCGGAAGTTGTCTAGTTTAGCTCATTTGCATGAGAGACAAGAAGACAACAACGGAAAATGAGAGACAGACTATGACAAAGGAATGAATATGAATTCCACACAAAGATATGGCTAGTAACGAGCCTAGAAGACATGTCCAAAAGATCAGATTAACAGGTAAGCTTCAGTGATCGGAAATACCATCTTTGAACACAATGAAAGTAAAACATGGCTGCCCTGTCTGAACTCGTTAGATTCATTCATTTCAAATATATATGTTTGAATTGTATTTTAAATTACAGTACCGTGATTTATTGTGGGAAATGTGAATTTTTCTTAAATATGGAGGTCTTATTTGTATAATACTCGTGGTGTAGACATTTTTGTCAGCGAATGATAAGGCTGATCTCATCTCTTCACAGGTGATTTAATCTGACTCAGACAAGCTAGTCTTCTTGTAAACAAACATGAATTAAGATATTTTGGCTCGTCAATTTGTATTTCACATGTGGCTTGTTAATAAATAGCACATGTGTTAATGAAATATTTGAAACGCTGACTTGTTCCTAACAATGTGAGCCATGGTTAGGTGGGTGGGGTAACCATAGTGTAAAATTTAGACAAAAATTTCAATAATCTGTTCTTTCCCAGCAGGGCTCGACATTAACTTTTTTTCCTACTTGTCCATTCGGACAAGTGACCAAGACATTTACTTGTCCGAGTCTCAACTTCACTTGTCCAAAAGTTTTCAATCAAGTTCAATAGTTACAACTTGAAAATTAAAATTAAGTCCATTTTATTTACACATGTCATGCGCTTGATTGATTCTTGATGTTATTTAAGAAATAAGGTATCATTTTTAAACATCTATCGGGATATAAATACGGGTGTGAAAATTCCATAAAGCCCAAAGGGCTTTATGATGAATTTAATCTCGTACCGACCCGTATTTATAGCCCGATAGATGTTTTAAAATGAACCTTATTACTTATATTTACATTTGTGACTTATTCATACTTTATATTTGCCTGATTGTGACTTTTAACGTGTGAAATGCGTTATTTTTCAAACCCAACGGCATGTATGTAATCCACTGAACGCGCGTCGACCCTTTATGACGTCACAGAGAAATTACGTCGAACATTTTTATTTATACAGTTATAGATACGCATTGCTTTCAGTAGTGTTATATAAAGGAAAACATTTGCAAATGTAAATATTGATAAATACCGGTACAACAGACACATAAAACGAAATTTAATTTAGGCTTTCTGTCCTGACAATAACGTAAATGTCCACAAGTGAACCTGTCGGTTCGTATCTTCCATGACTTTTCATTTTAGTATAAAATGTGAACACAATATTAATATTTAGTTAGGATTTTAAAGCTTCCTTCTTGAAACTACCGATTTAGCTTTCAACAGTCGTTCTTTTTATTATTTAGAGACCCCGTTACATTAAAATTCACATGTCCAATCGGACAAGTGCCCAGCAATATTCACTTGTCCGAATTTATTTTTCATTGGTACCGGACAAGCGGACAAGTGTTAATGTCGAGCCCTGCCCAGATACTAAATTTGTCCAATTTGGTTAGTTTTACATCAATTTTTAAAGCATGAAGTCTTTCTTTTAATATTGAGAACAGCGTGTCCTTTTCAAATAAAATCAAAATTTTATTGTAAACATAATTTCATGTTACTTCATACTTACATTGCATTTGAATTAATGCTGTAAATGTAATAACTTCAGTTTAAAAAAAAAAGAAATTAAGCAATATATGTATATTGATACAGTATTCAGAGAATATGGATATGTTAATTATTTTTGATAGTACGTACCATATTATCATATCATTTGTATGTCATATCCAGTGTTCGAAATAACCAAGCACTCGACCACGTGAGACACACAAATTTTGTCGTGGACAAACAGATTTCCTTGTATCGACACTCTGATAGATGTGTCAAAACTTTCAATAAATTATAATTAAGGTACATGTATTTGATAAATCTCTCTTAAAATCATCAAATAGTATTGACAGCAAAGTGTAACAAGCAAACTGGTAGAACTCGCCAGCCTATGTAACTTTGGGATTGTAGATATTGTGATCTGGTCGCATTCACATTATTGCTAAAACAAATTTATAAAGGACAGTGATTTTCTCAGGCTACATGATTTTTGGCAGGACTGAAAACTTTTACTAGCAGTCAGCCCAGCATGTCTAGCTTATTTTACTGTGAGTTTCAAGCAGTGGTCATATATCAGATTCGGTCCAAGGTCTGGAAAATTTCAGTGTTTGGTACTCACCATAAAATGAGTTTGACATGCAGGACTAATTGCTAGTGAAAGAAATTAGCCCTGCTTAAAATCCTCTAGCCCAAGGAAATAACTGTCCTTTTTCTAAATTTTATTTTAGCGTTAGTGTTAAGAGGGACAGATCACCACAACTTTGATTCCAAATCTCTAGGCTGACAAATACTACCCCTTTGCTACCATTACTATTGTCAAATATATGAATTTTAATTCAGTGGAGATTTTAACATGTTGAGCTGCGTGTCAATATGTGCAAATATCTCTGCCCGTGGCAAAATTTGTGAGGCTAGGGCAGTTGGGCATACAGATATATGAAAATTTAGCCCTTAATATATGCTTATTGAGACTGGAAATGTTGCTCCTGGTAAGAAAGAGAGTCAGTTTTGATATGTTTGTTTTCAGTTTCAGGAAGATAAATATGCCCACTAGAATTATGATAACTTGTAATTAGAATGCATGGTTATATACTCTCTATCTGAGATATATTTATTCTGTATGCACAGAAGTAAAAGCATTGCAATAATTTTTTTAATAAACTCTTTTAGATGGTGGACTTTTTATCTAACATATGTTGAATAGAATCCTAAAATGTTTGAATTAATACCTTAGAATTATTTATGTGTATATATACAGTGTTTATATAATGTGTTTATTTTTCTTGAATTTTATAATTTTGTTGATACATGTATTTATTTTTTAGTGCTGTGTGCAAAGAATTTGGCAAAGAAAGACTTTTTCCGTAAGTAATATATCCAGAAAAAAAATACTCAAGTCTTTGTGATGACCTATTTATCATGATTTGAATTCCTATCTTTCCATCTTTTCCTTTGCATCTAAAGGTTATTAATTATGCGTGTATTTCAAGGAACAACACTAGGCAAAATTATGATTGGTTTGAAAATTTAGATATTTCAATAGTGAATTTCATTTGAAAAGGAATATAAAGTTAAAAAGAAAAAAGAAATTACAATTGTAAACTCCCATATAATTGCACACAAATTGATGCATAGATATTCAATTGGTGACCAAGCATCTATGAAATGTTAATATTTGTTAAGTCACATAATGCATACATCTTGATGCATAGAATTCTTTTAAAAATGTTTTATAGTCATAATTTTATCTGCATGTCATTTCAAAAGAAAAAAGCTATTGTTGAACATACAGTGTACTTTATTTTGGGGAAAAATCAAAGGAGTTGTCTCTCTTCAGATGTTTCTCAATATGCACATAGAAAAAAAACCCTGTAACTTGTTTATTTCAGGTCTTCCTGATCCATTTTCCAAGATAAGTGTTGATGGGTCTGGACAATGTCATTCAACAGATACATGTAAAAACTCACTAGATCCAAAATGGAACCAGCATTATGACTTGTGAGTGATTTATTTATAGCAACGGATTACTTAGTTTGTACAAGTGTTAAGTGTAATAATTCCAATCTTCATTTTATCTATTGATTTCCTGTGTTTTGATTCTAAAGATTTTTACACATCGATAAATTCTTTCAATCAGAACTACTTTCTTGATGACAAAATTAGGTTATCGTATAAACAATTAAAGTTATTTTAATAGTTTGCTAAATAATGAATACAAGAAACTTTAAATTTAATTAGGGCTTAAACAAAACTGGCAACATACAGACTGCCTAACTGATGGACGCCATGAAAAGTTTATGTCACTGTTCGATCACGAGTGTGAATTTTAAAAATCGCTGACCAACGTTCATACGTAGAAAATAAGTTAATATTATCGTTTTGACAGGGAAAAGAAACATCAAACTCTTGCCCTATAAGCATCAAATTCATATTTACTTTCTATATTGTTCCTCAATATTTGAATAAACAAGTGCAAATTGAAGGCGTCGTCGGTCTTCAACTTTCGCTATGAGAGTTGTTGTTTATGTCAACATGGCCATGGTCAAGGACGAAAAAGCTCGTAATTACGATATTTGTTGACTTAAACAACATTCGATTAGTTGTTATAAGTTTATTTATCGATTGTTTTGACAATTCAAGTTGAACTCTATCGAAATTCATCTCGATTACGTACCTTTACGGTAAAATGTATTCCTATGCCGTCCAGAAATAACGGATTGTATGGAGGCCTCAAAGAGAAATAATTTAAATATTTTTAAAAATTCGATATTGGAATTATAAGAATTAAACGTTCACTGAAAAATTTAAAATGTGAACCAGCATTATCACAAACTTAACATAAAAGTGCTTCGCACTTTTATTTATAGTAAAATCAATTACACATCGATAAATTTTTCAAAAAGAACGTTTAATCCTATAATAAATATTACTTTGTTATGATTTACATGAATACCGGTATATATTTTCTCTTTTTTTTCAAATGGCAAGATATTAATTATCAATTGAAACTGTTACTTTACTTCTTTTAAATTAATTTATGATTAAAAGTACACAATAATTTTTAATCAAATGCCATGTTATTAATTATTATCACTTTATTTGTTATTTTATTTCTTAGTTGTAATTGAGAGAACTCACTTTGACATTTAAACATAATTTCTATTAAAAACATTTTAATCATAAATCTCTATTTTTAAAGATATGTAGGTCCAAAAGACTCCATAACAATCAGTGTATGGAACCACAAAAAAATCCACAAGAAACAGGGGGCGGGCTTCCTGGGGTGTGTCCAAATAAAGTCTAACGCTATCCAGCAGCTAAAAGATACAGGTTGTAAGTATAAGAGTGAGAGAGAGAGAGAGAGGTAGTTTGATATTTGTACATCACTTCAGACTTCCTATGTTCAGAGGATTAGCTTCTTGTGATAGGGCTAACTGAATGAATTTGTTTTTCATTCATGTTTTTCTGTGGAGGGAAGGGGAGAGGAAGAATGAATTTTGCTGTCCAATTTACAGAAATATATGTATCTAGGGTATCAATTTAATATGGTTCATTTAAATCTTCACTATTCTCCCAGTTCATGGGAAATCAGAAATTTCTCTCAATACATATTTACTGTTAATCAGTCCAAGAATGCTTTTTATTTCGCTTCTATTTTACAGAAAGTTAATATAGAACCTTGCGAATATATTGTTTAAAATTATCGGATTTAAATTTAGTTGGTCACTAATTATTACACATTTGATTGTCACAAAGAATAACATTTTCATTAAAACTCTCAGACAACATCACAACAACAGGCCTTAGTACCATATATAGATGGAGATTGATTTTCAAAGGATGTGGAATAATTATCATTTCTAGAGAGACCAATGTATATAGATTTTGTGGGTCATCCTAATGCATCAATTCCATCCCGATGAACAAACTTTGTCTAAGTCAATCTTCTGTATGTATTAGTTACCTGAGGAATTATACATACCGATGAACCAGTTAAGTTTTGATTGCCTATGATTGGCCGTGAACGTTTACTGACATACTGGTAAGTTAAATGAAGTCCACATTATCTTTTGGTAACTATTCTTCTAAAATGGTTTTACACGTATAAGACTAGCTTTGAAAATATTTTTTAAAACTGACCTAAAATATTACTTGTATTTGCTCTGAAGTTAACATATTTACTTTGGATTCAAATACAAAGTATTGAAATAGATCATTATCTTTCCTGGTTAAGCAAATCACTGATAATCTATTGATGAAATTTCCCCACGGGGCATTCTTTGCTATCTTGTGGGTAAATTTTACTAATTGATTTATGATTTATAAATAATAGATGCCTTTATTACTGTGGTTGTATTAATGAAATTAAATTTATGATCAGTTCTGTCCCTTGGTATGCTACACTCTTCCTGAATGAGTTCAACTCTGATTATCATGTGATTATAGATGCCAAAATGAAGTTGTTTTTGGTGGTGATGCATAATAAATACTGCTGTGCACTATAGTATACTACTTTTTATCGTTATCTGAGATAAGTGTTAATTTATTAAAAATAATCTGCAACAAAAACAGAGTTTGCAGATTTATGTAATAGTCACAAATGTATTTACATCACTAAACTAATTTTGTGGCTATTAAAATCTTGAATCTAAGTTTTTTATCACTCTCATCCATACAGAAACATATTTACCTAAATATTCCTGTTTTCACAAAGACTCTTTTCAATATTCTCCATTAAACATGACAAATTTCCGGGAAATTGATTGATACTTCTGTTTAAAATCGAGAAAGAATATTTATGACACAAAATCTTTCAAAATAAAAATCTCAATAACATTAAAGCCATGATTTGTCATATTTATACTGAAGCATCTTCAGGTAGTGTAAACTCAAGTTTTACGAGTGGTTTGATGAGTGGAGTAGCTCTGTAATTATACAGCCTGTTATGATTTAACTTGCATGGATGATGCATCTAAGGATAGACACTGTCACACTTACTTTGGATGTTGGAACTTGAAGACGTTTTTAAATTCTTCAGTTGTGAACAGATGAAAGTTTTCAGAGCAAGTCTGAGGAAACTATAAGTTTCATGGATGTTGATCTCAGTATGCACTCTAAATTGAAAAATATGATGTTAGATTAGTATCACTAACACTGATAACAATTGTTAAGCTTCATAATCTTTGATTACCTATGTTTATATATAGAAATGCAAAAATAAAATTCTCTCAAGAACAGAAAAGCCATAATATTAAATTCATATTTTTTAAAATTCTCATGTACTGGTAGTGTACATTTAAGTTTGTGAAGATCATGACACCCTGTGATAGGATGGGGCCACCAGAACCCCAGTACAATAGGAGGTTAAAGTTCAACATATGAATATATATTGCAGAAAAAAAATATGTAAAAACCTTTTCAAGCTCTGATTAGTCATATTTATGCATGGTATATGGAAGTGGCTTCAGTGACTGTAGATTCAATTATGTTTAAATTGTGTCCCATCCCCTGCCCCTTATGGAGGGGGGGGGGCACCTATATTTTAAACTTTCCAGTACTGAACTGATCTCTGCTTTTCACTCTAGCTACCCATGTGGCTCATGGACCTCTTATTTATAGTTTGTTAGACTAGGCTTTAGATAATTGCAGTAATTAGGAGTATGGTTCAAACCTATTTGAAATGTTAAGTAGGAATATTCATTATATCTAGACACACTGACTCTGACTTTAAAAGTGTCAATAAACATTCTGTTCAATGTAGATTTTTAGGTTGAAGAGAAAAATTTGTTATGCACAGAATTCTGTAACAGTTTTACTCATAGAGGGGTATCAAAGTTATAATTTTATGACTTCCACATTCTTTTCTTTTTGCAAATGATGTTGAATAAATAAAGAGTTTTAAATTCTTCACTGTGCTGTAATGAATGTGGTATGAAAAAATGTAGATAAATGTCATATTTGGTATTCACCTTGCAAATGTACTATGTGCACTAGGTCTTCCAAACAAAATTATGATTGTCATTAGTGTTTGGCATAATTATACTAAGCTGCTTAGAGAGGACCTCTATTAAGTAATTCTTAGGTATCTCACATCTTGGCTGCTTTCAACAGATTTGATTAAAATGAAAATGTCTTTGTTATGTTATGAATCAATAGAGAATGACCAGGGTTTCTGTTTTAACATCCAGTATTTTAATCTGGTTTTTGGAACCTAAATGGTGTTGGGAATCAATTTTTTTTCCAAAATGTGTGTTATTATTCTGTCAAATTATATACATATAGCCAAAATTTCAAAATTCGATAATATTAGCTATAATTACATGTACCCGTATATACTCGTAGAAATTGTGAATGGGGCAATGATCACTTCTATTTTACAATACCTTTGAGAAATCAGAATATGTTTGTAAGCATAATGTAGATCTTAAAGTGTAGATTTTGATAGATTCCCTCTTTTTTTGTGCACAAGGAGATCATGGATTTACATGTGAACTTTTTTCTCAGAAGTTACACCTTATGTTTTTGTGACATTTCTAGCCTCAGTCTCCAAGTTAAGTGTTGAATTGTCAGATGAACTTGATGACTGATTCACAGTAGTCATTAGTCTCTATAACTGTTGAAGAAGGCAGATTCTAACACTATAACCTGTCAGTTTTAACTTCCCCAGTTTAAAATAATTATTCATCAGATAAGCTTCTGTTGACCTTTTCTTGAATGGGAGATGTGGAGAGATGAAATTCTGTGATGTACTTTGTACACATATAGATCATTTAAAAGCTTTGTACACAAAGGTGTAGAAATTAATTTTTTATATCTAGCAGAACTGTGTTGACATTAAGTAAAAGTTAATGACAAATTTAAATTCAAATATTTTGGATTGTAGGTAAAATTAGTTAGATGTGCATTAAGTAGACAGTCGGTCTCTTCTGAAGCATAGAGTTTTGAAAACGAGTGGGCTGAATGAATGCGTTTTGCTTATGCATTTTAACAGTTGGTTTAAAAAGTTTTTTGTAATACAATCTGAAAGGTTACTGATGAGATACAATTGTGGGACACAATACCCCTGAAATTCACAGTACTTTACCGCCTTATCGCAACTTTTTAAAGCTTGCAGTCTCTAACGTTAGGAGTTCCGCTTGAGTGCTAGTCCATGTTATATTTGATATTACCTATAAATTACAATGACATCTTTGTTTTTACCTGTTGGTAGTACGATCCCCTGCAGTGAGGCTTATTTAGGTACATGGGCCATTCATTTTCACAAAGGAACCTTGATTTAGGAAATTAGATGTTGACCACTTAAGTGTGAACTATTATTTATTCAAAGGAAATTATTTATTTTTGCAACAGAGAGCTTCAGGACCAGTTTTAGATTGATGGATTAAAAAATAAATTCATATTCAGGAAATGTTGAAGTACTAGACTTCCTTCTTTTGTTTTGGATGTTCCTCTTAAATGGATGACTGCCCATCACTGTACACAGGTGAACATCCCCCGGAGTGGGTCGCGGGAGGGGCACACCCTGTCTGTATGTGTCCACGGACCCCGAACTTCTCAGTCACCACGACCTCATGTTTCTGTTTCAGTTCAAAGGTTGGACCTGCAGAGAAACAACGCTGATGATAGCGACAATGTCAGGGGACAGATTGTCATCAGTCTCATTTCGCGGGATCGGGGAGGATCGGGATCAGGGCCTGTGAACACTGATGCCCCTGCTCTGATCCCACAGGATCCCAATGAACTCCCAGAAGGGTAAGTAAACTATCTAGTTTTTAGTAAAAAGGCATGATTTTTTTCTGAGAGAAAATCAATAAAATAGATGTTGAATTGATGATTAAAGAAATTTTTAAGTTACATGATCCCCCTGAAGATTATAAAGGGATATTTCAATTCAATTTTATTGTTTAAAATTTTTGATTTAGCATTCAATGTTCCCTAATTATTAAAGCTGATAACCTTTGTGAATAGAATACTGACTCCGATTTGTTGAGACTGTCTCCCATGACTGTCAATTTGGAAAAGTGTTTCCGTCCTAAATTGACTAATTAAGTCAGTAACAATGTAACTTAGAGTGTTAAAAGTGACAGCAAACCAAATGTAAAACTCCATGTACCAGGCCACAGTGTACCACCCCTGATGAAGTTTTTTTTTATTGAATATTTAATCATTTTCTTTTTTGTTTTTGGCTTAATTTTATAAAATGAAAGAAGTTCGTATTAAAGCAGTTTAATGCGTTTTATCTCCTAAGTGGGTGGAAAGATGACATTTAAAAGAAATTTTATATTGTGCAGGTGCTATAAAATATCTTAGCACAAAAAATTATCTCTAATTTATTTTTGTCACTTTAATAGTCAGAAAAAGTATTAAATAAATAATGTGTGTATTTGATATGGCAGATGAGAAGGGAGTGATATTTCAGTCTTGTAATAGAAAAAAAAAATACATAAAACTTAAAGGACAAGAAGTCGAGAGATTTTTGACAAAATACGTAGGTAAAAAAATCTGAGATGATATTTATTTATAAAAGTTTTTCTTTCATGTCTTTGTTTTTCTCTGTCTTACATTGGCTTCATTCATCACTTTTGGTAGGTGGGAAGAGCGGCAGACTGCCAGTGGAAGGGTCCACTATGTCAACCACATAACCAGGACTACACAGTGGGAAAGGCCCACAAGGTGACGACAATTTATTATCCTAATCTCTCCCAAGACTGTAAATAATTTAATAATCAGGCCTCAGCCTACACCTGATCTTTATGGCGGCCTTTCCTGAGGGGGAGAGCTGACCACTTAACTTCTTAAGGTTTATTTATTGCTCATTAGGAAAGATAATTTTGCTGTTTTTGTGAGATTGTTGTGGGGTCTTCTGTCATTTTATCCACTTAAGTGTTAAGTAGATAAATATTATTGCATGTTTAGGAACTTCTGTTGGATCTCATGGTGATGATTTGTTATATTGGTTTAATATTTAGGAATGATCATTCATTACAAATGTATAATAATTATTATTATTTGGTTTGTTATGAATACAAATTAATTATAAAGTTGTTTTGAGTGTAGATTAATTAAAAATGATTTTACTGTAAATAAATTTGCTGAAAAATTAGAAATATTTCATTATATGATCCATGAGGGTTTCAAAACAAAAATAAAAAAAACTACTGATGTTAGAAGAGGGTCAGCTGAGATTAAATCTAAGATAAGTCAAACTTATTATTTCAAAGTTGATGAAACCAAGAAATTTGAGATATCAAGTGCAAATTACTCAAAGATGATCAGTTGGGACTACCAAATTATATCAACATATCTATGGCATTGTAGATATCAGTCTTTGAGATACTGAAGTTTAACTTTATTTTTTGTTGTAGGCCTGCGACTGAGTCAGTCAGGACCAGTAACTCCAGTAACAGTCTACAGAGTGTGAATCCTCCCAGTAGTCGATCCAACAACCGAGCCCCTCCCAACAACAACAACAACAACAACAACAGTATCAACAACAACGAGGACAATGACTGCTCCAGTATCCCACCGTTACCACGGAGACGATCCACCAGACATCGCAATTATCTCAATCGCTCTCAGCTTCACAATGCAATAGAATTACCTGATGGTTATGGTAAGGAATTGTGTGCTAGAAGTCAGATGGCAGAAGATTTAGAATATATTTCTTAAATGGAAGAAAATGTGATTTAAATTATTTAAAGGAAAGATTAAAATCTGATTTTACATCATATTTTTTTGTTCTCTTTAGAACAAAGAACCACTCAGCAAGGACAAGTCTACTTTTTACACACCAGAACTGGTGTCAGTACATGGCATGATCCCAGAGTCCCAAGGTAAGAGCAGCCCATCACTTATCAATGAAAAAATTAAGACACCACAAACATTTCATTGTCCTAAAAGAAAGGAAAAATATTTACATTCCATATATTCATTGCATATAAAGTGAACAGAAATCTATTGCATTCAAAACACCATAACACAGACAGGGTGCCAGGAAGTTAAAGCATGCCTTTTAGTTTAACGTCATAATCGCTGAACGCCGCGGAAGTGCAATGTCATAAGCGAAAATAAAAAAAAAATCAAGCTCAAATTGACCAGAAGCCGTTACATTGGCTGATCCATTAACTGTAGCTTACACGCAGTATAATACATATGTTTTTAAATAGAAATCACATTTGCAGTTAAGGTAGAAAGTTAAAAAATGTAAAGATAAGCAATGAATCATTATTTTTTGAAAGATATAGTCTCATAACTGCAATGGTGTGTGCAAACAAATTTTCATAACACACTAACACATGTTACTCAATTTGTTTGCACACACCGTTGCAGTTATGAGACTATATTTTTCAAAAAATAATGATTTATTGTTTATATATGGCAATAGTCAGAAAAAACTGTAAGAAACTGGCAGAATATGCATGTGAATTTCTATAATGACATGTACTTTGTTTCTTTACAGGGATCTGTCCGGATCAGAAATCCAGGATGAGGAGTTAGGGAATCTGCCTGTGGGGTGGGAGGTTCGCCACACGGGCAGTGGGAGGGTCTACTTCGTGGACCACAATAACAGAACCACCCAGTTCACAGACCCCCGACTCTCCGCAAACATCCGCAGACTTCAGACTCGAACGTAAGTTATTGGTTTATGATATTGCTTGATTCAGACTAAACCATGTTTTATTTTATGTTTTATATTAAGATATAAATGAGATTGGTGGACTTAGAGCTCACCTTAAGGTAAAGAGAATTAACTTGAGACAATTTTTATGCTTTGAATGTAGGATAGAGGAGAGTGCACCACCTGTCACTTCAAGAAGAATCATTGACAAAGAGAATGATTCTCCAGTCCCAAAATACAAAAGAGATTTGGTGCAGAAGCTTAAGATCCTCAAACTTGAGTTACAGAACCTCCAGCCCCAAGGGGGCCACTGCAGAATGGAGGTGTCCAGGGAGGAAATATTTGAGGTAACATTTTATAAACTATGTATATGTAGGAGTTATGTCTCTCCTCCTATTTAAACAATTTGACACAAAAGGTTTTCAGCTGAAATACAAATTTTCTGAATGACAGAAACCAGGTGAGGCCTGTTTATCCCATATGTATAATTCTGGATATACTTATTTTCCTTGGATTTGTATATTTCTTTTAATACTTAAAATCATGTATTGTTGTTGTGCCAAATTTTTGTGGTTTGAAGAAAAATACAAGTTCATAGGGATATGATTTCGTAGATGAAGAATTGTTGAGAAGTGATATGTGTGAAAAATTACATTTTGTGGTGGATGCATATTCATGGGTCTCTAAATAGCTGGAAAACAATGATAAGCTCCCACAAAAAAAGTTATGATTTCTCAGAATCTTTTCTAACTTCTTAACTTAGTCTGCATGTAATTGACATTTAAAAAGCAACAAATAAACACACATTGTGCTTTACAGGATTCCTACAGAACTGTGATGAAATTACGAGCCAAAGACCTCAGAAAGAGACTAATGGTGAAATTCAAACGAGAGGAGGGACTGGATTATGGAGGCGTGGCCAGGTAAAACTAAGTTACTGTAGAATTCCTTATGGGAACACTTTATAATATATCCATTCTTAGATGCCTAATGGTGAAAATAAGAACATGAATTGACAAAATTTAAGTCTTATTTTTAGAATGATTTGTCTATGATTTATAGTTACAATGAAGTACATTGGAGTGGTAAAATTTTCTGTTTGACTGGAACGTTTTGAGCTATCTTTAGAACGATGTTTGTCATTCAATGACACGCCCATTTCTCTAGAAAAGAAAAAAAAGTCAAATGGCTCATTCGAATACCTGTAGAACCGGTATTCCATAAATATAATAGCCAATCAAATTGACAGTCTACATCAACACCGATTAAGCACGTGTTCGACCGATACATGTGTTATGGTAACTCCAATAAACATGATAAATTAATAATTATTGACAAATTCGTTGAAATATGTGTTTTACAGAAGCGGAAGCTCTCTAACTCTCTCTCTTATAGCTTCAAAAATCTCCATTTCGGTGTAACTCATGTTTCTTGTCACGAAGAGCGAGGTGTCCTTAAACATTTCGACGAATATTTCTTTTTCGTGTCCAAAGAAATGGGCGTGTCATTATGTTATAATTGACGTTCAAAACATGACTCAGAACGTTTCGTCCTAACGGAAAGTTTTACCACTTCAATGAGCTTCATTGTAAAGCAGTGAGAAAGTGAAAAAAAGGGTTGAAGCATTGGTATCAAATCCTAAGATGGTTATTTTGATATTGTAGGGAGTGGCTGTACCTGTTGTCCCATGAGATGCTGAACCCTTACTACGGTCTCTTCCAGTACGCTAGAGATGATATTTATACACTGCAGATCAATGCAGACTCGGGAGTCAATCCTGTAAGTTTATTGTCCCCCCACTTTCGCAAAAGCGAGGGGACATTAAATCTCATTCCTCTGTCTATCTGTCAGTCTGTAGTTCTGTCACAGAATCTTTAACCTTGGTCATGTCTTTTGAATGAGAAGTGATAGGGCTTTCATATTACACATGTATATTACCTGTGACAAGACCTTTCTAAATACACTATGATTTTTTACCCCATGACTTTGACGTTGAAGATTGACCAACTGTAAAAAAATTAAACATTACTTTTGAATTGTCCATAACTATTAAATGAGAGAGAAAAGTTAAGGCTTTCATATTTAAGATGCATTTATCTGTGACAAGACCTTTCTAAATACACTATGATTTTTGACCTCGTGACCTTGACCATGAAGTTTGACCTACTTTTAAAAAACTAAAAACTTAGTTATGATATTTGAATGAGAAGGTGTAGGGCATTCATATTAAAACTGTGTATTACTTGTAACAAGACCTTTCTTAATACACTATAATTTTGGATCTTGTGACCTTGACCTTGAAGTTTGACTTTTCAAAAATATTAATTTTTCCATATAACTTTTGATTGAGAAGAGATAACGCTTTCATATTTTACATGTGCATTACCTGTGACGAGATATTTCTGAGGATATGATTTGTGTCCCCTTGACCTTCACAATTGACCTAATTTAAAAAAAAAAAAAGAATTTTGCTGATAAATTCTGAATGACAAATGATAGGGGATTCATATTTGACACAATATGCCATAAAAAATGGCATCTCACCCACAAAACCACAGAAAACTGGGGATCACAATTCTTAGAATTTGTTTGTTTCATCTTATGTCAGAATAATGAATTAAACTGTAGAATTAAAATGTTTCAGTAGAATTAAGATGTTTGATTCTAACAAAGAAAGATCAGTTATAAAATGTATAAAGATAAATGCATCAGTGCAAGTTAGAAGAAAAGAAGGTGGTTTGGTGCCTTTTGAAACATTTTGACTAATTACTTTGTAGGAACACTTGTCCTATTTCCATTTTGTGGGACGAATCATTGGTATAGCAATATTCCATGGTCATTATTTGGATGGGGGCTTCACTTTGCCATTCTACAAACAGCTACTTGCCAAACCTGTGACTCTGAATGATCTAGAGGACGTAGACCCAGAACTCCATAGGAGTCTGGTCTGGTTACTGTGAGTGTGCTCATTTAACTCGGTCTCATTCAATTTGTGTATAATAATTGAGTTTGTGTATAAATTAAGAATGTCATGATTAAAAGTTTATACCTTGCTGACAAAGTTTAGCAAATAAAGATAAGCAAGAGAGAACAGAAATATTTGCTCCTCTTATTTCAGCGAGAACAACATAGAGGCAGTGCTAGATCACACATTTTCTGTGGAACACAATTCTTTCGGTAAGGTACAGGAGTATGAACTGAAGCCTGGCGGAAGACATGTGGAAGTCACAGAGGAAAACAAATCAGAATACGTCAAGTAGGTTATTATATAAGGGATCAAAATTCTTAATCTATGATTATTTTTGATAAAGAGGATGTCTATAAATGATTTTCTTATGTTTGCCGTTTCTGCGATATTTTTACTTTGTTGTTTGAAATATTTAGTTTTCACAAAAAGAGTCTTCAGAAAATTTAAATGTTGATATTCTTAAAGAAACAATAGTTTCTCAAAAACAAGTTTATAATCTGATATTTTGTCTTTGTAGATTATATGTACAATGGAGGTTCATGAGGGGAATTGAAGCTCAATTTTTAGCCTTACAAAAAGGTTTTAATGAAATAATTCCTCAACATTTATTAAAGCCTTTTGATGAGAGGGAACTGGAGGTAATTATTAAGTTGATTATTTAATAAATACCATAATATTTCATGGTAGAAAAATATAAACTGCAACCAAAGAATCCTCATCTATATGGTTAATAATTCAAAGTATTAAAAGAAACTCTTGCCTCAACTGATTCAGACTTTTATTGTGATAGCCTGTTTCAACCTTGAAAAATTTTCTGGATGTGGTTAACTATCCACATACATTGTATATCTAAATCTACCTCAAACTTGTATTGAAATTTTTTTTAAACTAACTGTAATTACTTTCAAGTTAATGATTGGTGGACTTGGAAAGATTGATTTGAATGACTGGAAGGCTCACACGAGGTTAAAACACTGCACAGCAGAGAGTAACATTGTCAAATGGTTCTGGCGGTCAGTGGACGAGTTTGACGATGAGATGCGGGCCAGGTTACTTCAGTTCGTGACAGGAAGTTCTCGTGTTCCATTACAAGGCTTTAAAGCCTTACAAGGTCAGTAGTATAGGAGTTTATCATCCTTACAAGGTCAGTAGTATAGGAGTTTATCATCCTTACAAGGTCAGTAGTATAGGAATTTGTCATCCTTACAAGGTCAGTAGTATAGGAGTTTATCATCCTTACAAGGTCAGTAGTATAGGAGTTTATCATCCTTACAAGGTCAGTAGTATAGGAGTTTATCATCCTTACAAGGTCAGTAGTATAGGAGTTTGTCATCCTTACAAGGTCAGTGATATGGGAGTTTATCATCCTTACAAGGTCAGTAGTATAGGAGTTTGTCATCCTTACAAGGTCAGTAGTATAGGAGTTTGTCATCCTTACAAGGTCAGTAGTATAGGAATTTATCATCCTTACAAGGTCAGTAGTATAGGAGTTTATCATCCTTACAAGGTCAGTAGTATAGGAGTTAATCATCCTTACAAGGTCAGTAGTATAGGAGTTTATCATCCTTACAAGGTCAGTAGTATAGGAGTTTGTCATCCAAAGTAGAGGTCTAAGATTTACACAAAGGTGAAAAAGTTCATTGTGTAAATAATGTCAATTTTTAGCTCACCTGAGCCGAAGGCTCAAGTGAGCTTTTCTGATCACATTTTGTCCGTCGTCCGTCCGTTCGTCCGTCCGTCTGTCCGTCTGTAAACTTTTCACATTCTCGACTTCTTCTCAAGAACCAATGGGCCAATTTTCACCAAACTTGGTAAAAAGCATCCTTGGGTAAAGGGGAGTTAAATTTGTTAAAATGATGGGCCAAGTCCCCTTACAAGGGGAGATAATCAAGAAAAGACAAAAATAGGGTGGGGTCATATGGAAGCATCCTTGGGTAGTGTAGATATTAAATTGTTAAAATCATGACCCCCGGGGGTAGGGCGGGGCCACAATAGGGAATCCAAGTTTTACATAGAAATATATAGAACAAATCTTTAAAAAATCCTTTTCTCAAGAACCACTGGGCCAGGAAAGCTGAAACTAATGTGGAAGCATTCTTAGGTAGTGTAGATATTAAATTATTAAAGTCATGATCCCCGGGGGTAGGGCGGGGCCACAATAGGGAATCCAAGTTTTACATAGAAATATATAGAACAAATCTTTAAAAATCTTCTTCTCAAGAACCACTGGGCCATGAAAGCTGAAACTTATGTGGAAGCATCCTGGGGTAGTGTAGATATTAAATTGTTAAAATCATGACCCCAGGGGTTAGGGCGGGGCCACAATAGGGAATCCAAGTTTTACATAGAAATATATAGAACAAATTAATCTTTAAAAATCTTCTTCTCAAGAACCACTGGGCGAGGAAAGCTAAAACTTATGTGGAAGCATCCTTGGGTAGTGTAGATATTAAATTGTTAAAATCATGACTCCTGGGGGTAGGGCAGGGCCACAATAGGGAATCCAAGTTTTACATAGAAATATATAGAACAAATCTTTAAAAATCTTCTTCTCAAGAACCACTGGGCCAGGAAAGCTGAAACTTATGTGGAAGCATCCTGGGGTAGTGTAGATTCTAAAGTTTTAAAATCATAAAAGGGAAGGGGGTAGTGGGCATGATAGATATAGCAAGAAGGGGAATCTGGTAAAGAATTGCATCACCCAAGTTACTCAGGTGAGCGATGTGGTCCATGGGCCTCTTGTTTTGGATTGGAATTATTTTTAATTAATAATTTGCTTTTTTGTGAAAAAAAATATGATTTATATTGCAGGTTCAACTGGAAATGCAGGTCCAAGACTGTTCACTATTCATCAAGTAGATGCCAACACTGACAATCTTCCAAAGGCACACACATGGTATTTATATTTATAACTATCTTATTTACTCTATGGTTAAATCTCTCTTTGTAATAAAATCCTTATATCATTATGACAAAAAAAAATCTTTCTTTCATTGAATGCAATTTTTTTGGAATTATGATGCTTAACTTATCTTTCTTTAATATGCAAATTTTAGATTAAGTTAAAGCTCAACTCATTTCTTTTTTTCAGTTTCAACAGAATAGACATACCACCTTATGAGAATTATGAGAAACTGTATTCTAAGTTATCTTGTGCAGTAGAGGAGACCTGTGGTTTCGCTGTAGAGTGATAAAAATTATGTGACCTTTAGCTGACCTTCAGGTGGGAAAATTGTGTGACCTTCAGCTGACATTCAGGTGGATTAAATTGTGTGACCTTTAGCTGACCTTCAGTTGGATCAATATCTGGTGCTGCATTATGCGTTGTGATGGATCAAACTGACTCAAGTTCATAGTGTTATTTAGTTCAATTTATGTTGAGTTGATGTATTCCTGGTATCTGTTATATTTAATCAAATGTATATTTTTTTTAGTTTTGTATGTGTGAAGATAATTATGATCTCCCATAGACTTGGTTATACAAATCAAATATAAAAGAAAATATGTCAGCAGTATTTCAGTTCAGTATGTAATTTTGTATGGAAATGAAATAGATGCACATTTTTTTAATTTTACATGGGGGCCATTGCAGTATGATTTGTACCAGATATGATTGATTGATTGAACACATAGCTTTCTTTTAACATAAAAAAGGTCAGAAATCTTCATTCATTGAATTCATACTAGTCAGACCATATTCTTTCCAGAATCAGTTTACCAAATGTCCCAAAAAATTATATTTGTAAAATATACAACTTTAATTATATGTGTATATACTCCCTCATCTTCAGTTTGTACAGTGTTCATAGTATTATGCACACATTTCTGATTTTACTCATTAAGAATAATCTACATGTACAGAACTTACATTTGTTGTCACGTCTGGAAACTGTATCATACAAACGACTCTGTTCCTGACAGCAAAATTAAAAGAAAAGTGTGGCAAATATGAAAGTTATACAGTTTTATTTTGATAGTGTATGATAGTTAATTTGTGTAATTGGAATTGGAACTTACACATAATTTTATATTGTGATTGAAAAGCCCAACATGACATGATTTTAAGAATTTTATTATGTATGTATTGTTCAATTTTGCATGCTGAAGAAATAGAAACTGTATTAGAATGCAGGTTGTGAAAAAGTGTCAAGTGGAAATTGCATCAAAAATGGATTTAAATAAAAAAAATATATTATTAGTACATCTGTCTGCAAACTAGTTGGTGTATACAGCAACTCTGAAGTGGTTGTGAATCTATCATCTCAAGAAGTCTTTTTTATTTTTAAACTTGTTTGAAAAAGATTGATAAAAACACTTATAGAGCATTTATAATTTAAAACAGTGAACAAAAAGAAAAAAAAAAATAAGCAGGCAGTTTCTTGAAAGGAAAGGGGAGGGTTGATATGCTATGTACCGTCCACAGTTATTCATCTAAATTTTTAAAGCTTATAATTGTAAATTTATCTCCACATTATTTGAAATAAAACTGTGATAGAGGCACTTGTATTCAAAGAAAAATTTTTCCAGAAAACTTAAAACTGCCATATTATTTCATGTTTCACTTGAACTGTTTTTGAATGGGTATTTTTCTACACAGGAGCAACGTTTCTAACAATCATTTTATACATCAGTGCTATTTTTTTTTTTAAATATATGAACATAATTATGTGGCAAATTTTATAATGGAACGTTTGAACAAAGGAGAAGTTTTTAACCAGTTTTCCAAGCATAACTGCTTAACTATATATTTTTAGTTGAACATACAGTATTTTGATGTACTCTGTAAAAGTTAATGATGTAAAATTATGAAAATTATTTCTTACACAGTGCATGTGATTCATATACATGTACATTATTATGTATAAAAATATAAACTAAACTGAATTTTAAAATTTAATTTGATATATATGTACTTAGTTGTGACTAAAAACTAACCTAAGATAGCTCTCAAGCATATACAGAACAAGGATAAGCAATATTCACTTTCAACAAATATAAAGGTTGTGATTGTACAAAGTAGTTATTTTACAGTTCATTGAACATTTTTAGAAAATTTTGGGGCACCTGTTCAGTGATTTGGACTATATTTTGTCCCTTGGAGCAAATGAATTTTTTTATATGAACAAATTAGTTGTTGATAATAGTAAAATGGCATATTTTTCATAAGTTCCTGTATATTTACAATTTTCCAGGTGAAAATCAGACAAACAAAAAAAGGTTTCTGCAAACAGTTTTAATATTAACATTAATAAATGCAACATTACTTGTACACATTTTTATGCATTTTTCATTGTTACTATACAGTGTATGTCATATTTTTTATGAAAGAATGCGTGATTAATGTTGTTTACTTCTGGCATTCACATATTCAATGTCTTCTTCCACTGTGAATTTTTAATCTTATTTATTCTTGTATTGTGATGGTCACATTTTCCTCCAATTTGCTGTCATTGTTGATGATGTTGACTCTGTGTGTTAAATCAACATGTGCCTTCATCAACAGGTTTGTTGAATGTGGTTATGTCTGAGTAATGTTGGCAGCACAAATGATTTTTTTCTGTCATTATCAGAACATGTACTAATAGTAGTATTCCTCAACAATGTATAAAAATAAATCTTTTCAACAACTTATTTGGTATGCGTTTCTTTCATCTTTAATGATTAACATATTCCAATTGGATGGAAAGCGTTTTACATATAGAATTGTCTTCATGCATTTTCTTTGTGCCATAGATACCCTGGTACTTGAATTTTTTCCAATAAACGCATCTATATACTATTCATCATCATTGTAGGATATGCCGTCAAAGTCCTCCAAAAGCAGACTGACATCTCTGGATGTCATAGGTGTAGTCGTACGATGCCTGGAGGTTTCAGTTGAGCTCTTGTGAGATTTTAAGTTGATAATATGCCAGGCATCTTTCAGAAAATTCTGCAGAAGGTCATCTATTCCGTATCTTTCTTCCTCTTTTTTGATGCCAGTCCTAATTTCCTGAATGCTTTTGTTGAGGGTTGCATTTAACATTGTCATTACAATCCAGATGACGAACATTACAAATGTAAAATAGTAGAATTCGGCTATAATCGGACATGTTTGTATTAGTCCATGAAGACTATTTCGTCCTATCAGTGAGTTTACTATTGTCGTAATGGAAACAAAAATATTTTTGTATGTTGCAAGGTGAGCCCCGAAGAGAAGGTATCCAACGCCTGCATAGGCAAAGAAGACCAAAGCAAACATAAAGAAGCAACCCATTAAGTTCCTCCTGGCATTAGATAAAACACAGGCTAGTTGTGTTATGTTTCGACTGTAGTTCAGGACTTGGAGAATTCTCAGAGTCGTCAAGAAGACGAGGAAAGATATGAATGCGTTAAGTATTTCATCCCATAAAGCAATATGTCCAAAGTTAACAAACTTGAATTTTTGTTCTGTAAACTTGTCGATAGTCCATGAAGTGAAAAGCATTCTTGTTATATACATAGGTATGCTAATTACTGTCAAAACTAAAATGATGAGGTCAAATAGACGCCACGAGTCTTTGAAAAACGCTCTTTTGTGTTTGACTATTTGCATAATGAAATGGATGAAGAAAATTAATGCACACACTGCAAGAACAATTTCACACAGGAATATAAAAACTCCAAAGTTCCCTATGTGTTGATAAACCCTCAATGGATAAATATTGGCTGTCGTAAAAACACCACCAGTTTGAGGAAACTCAGTCATGAGTGAGACGTACGTAAAAAGGTTGGTATTGCTGTTGTATTGAGTAAATTCCACAAAGACTGCTCTTGTTTGTCGATCTATCCACGTGTTGTTATAAAGTTCGTCCACTACCATGTTGGCATACTTTAAATGGATTCCAAGATCAGCGATGAAGCCACCTCCTCCGTAGGTACCTCGAAGTCCGATAGTCGGAACACCCCATACTTCTTTGGCACTAGTAAACTGCCATGCCTTTGCGGACCAGAGTGTTGCGTTATCTGCACACGAAGTTGATTCCCAGCTTTGGCAGTAAGATTCCTCATCCTCTGAAGATATGAAGTAGCTGGCATAGCATGTGAAATCAGTCAACAAGGGAATGAAACACTTCTCTGAAAGCACAGACAAAACAGGATTACTGCGAATCGGAAACAGATGGGAAAAAATTGGGAAATTCTTGTAGCTTATTAAGACTTTTAGCTAAAAAGACCTTGATCAATGGTCTGTGGTCATATCTTAAAGTAGACCCACCTTCTTGGACTCGAAGCTGACGAAGTCGAACAGCTCCCAGTCTGTAATTTGATTGGTCTTCCATGTATTGACGTTCAAATGCGTCCAGGAGCTGACCGTTATACAGTTGCTGAGGAAATGTGAAAGGAATTAATGTGTTTCTCAACCAGTCGTAAAAGTCATCAATACTTCGAATCTACAAGTCAAAAAGAATGACTTAAATTATTTTGATATGCTTCACTAACTCAACACAACTGTGAAGAGATGCGAAAAGCAATGGAAAAAAATAATTGTTATGGGTCATCTTACTTTGTCATAACGCAGTGTTTGAAGGGTACAGTTTTTGTCGGGGCTGTGTAAAAGTCGATTGCTCAAGTAATGCCTGATGTGATACGAGTGAAGATCCCTGTTGTTGTAACTGATAAAGTAAAGAATTGCCAAGAAGCAGAGGTAGAGCAGCAGTTGAATGAGAATACGCTTGACTCTCATTTCTTTTAATCTTTTACGTTTCATATTCTCGAGTGTTTCTTCGTTGAAAGGTGCTCCATAGTACGAAATATCTAAAACAAGAAAATCAGAAATTTAAAAGACACATAAACGTTACTTTAAAGTTTCAAATGAACATCATATTTCACGCTGGATTTGGAGGAACAATGTCTGCCTCTAATGTGACAAAAATTCCGAGTTAAATTCGTAAAGAAGGCAAAGATAGCGCCAAAATTTCTAACAATACAAATGGAACCTTGTAATCGATTTTTTTCGAATGTGATTGACATCTTTATTTTTGTAGAGAACATAGTAATCAAAATAAATTAGAGGAACAAACTTTTGGTTTCTCTCGCAAACGCCACAGCCCTGGTTTGTGATTGTTTCAGTAGTTTTGTAGTATAGTATACACTATCCTCAAGGGATTTCTTGATGATGATTGAGAAAAATATAGCCATTGCAAAAACCTACGAAATACATATGGTTTAGTTACTAAGGAATTTGCTAATTGACAAGACATTTTCATTTTCAAGAAAGCATCGAAAAACAAACCTTGATTGGATCAACCACAAACATTGATTCGAAAAATGACATGAAAAACGTCTTCAGCCATTCTTCAGACTTTGTTTTGCCCCATTCCATGCTATACAAAACCACAAAAAATCCTGAGACCAAGATCGAAACAGCAACAATACCATATGCAACGAACACACATTTCTTTGGCAAACGGAATTTTTCTCCTTCACTGCGAGTTTTAAATGTTTCCACATCTTCTTCATCTTGCTCATGAGAGTTTTCTGACCACTTTGATTTCCTGAAGATCATTGTTACTGCTAGGATAACAGGGAAGGTCATAATAACCCCAATAAATGAAATATATATTGAGGACAGAGCGAATTTGATAGGACCGATCTGTATCTGATCCACAGATTCGTCTTGTCCGTAGAACATAGCATTTGAAATCATTGTCAAGAAAAGCAGTGCTGCACAGCAGGAGAGGCGCTCACAACGAGTGAATACACTCTTTTCTGGGCGATAAATCACAGAAAGCCAAAGATGACTGTCTGTTATATTTTCCCGACTGTTGTCCGTAAAGTTTACATTGAAAGTTCGTAGGGACTCCGGAGTTGATACAGGCACCGTGCATTGAATGGAACTTTCATCTGAATCCAGACTTAACCATCGATTGCAGAAAAAGACAAATCTGTAATTTAAAGAACAGCTCTATTTTCATCAAGGTTATCTCAGTTATAATATGAGAAAAGGTTGTCAGCCCAAAAATATATTTCTTTTTCTCAAGATGGCTTGAGTTTCATGGAAGTTTTCCCATTACATTAATCGTGATTGTCACGTATCAAGAAGAAGGAAAAACACACATCTTTCCTGTTTGCGCATCCTCAACGACAATTTTAATCAGATTCCATGAAGCGTCCCCTCCTTCTCCGCTGTTGTCGTGCCAAATATTCAGGAAAGTTAAATCGCCGAGATTATTCTGCGCAGTCATCACGTAAGTACAAACACTTCCAGTCTCGAAACCCTGAAATTGCAAAAAGTAAAACCCTTCTTTGAGAATCAAATCATTTCGAAAAACAGGAAAAAGATTCAGGTACACGTTTTTTTTTTTAGAATTTCAATTGCTGACCTTTTTGACTCCGTCAGTGAGATGCCGGACCCCGGTGTCCCTTAGGTGACTAGTCATGACGAAACTGACGTTACTTTTGGTGCCCGAGTTTCTAGATAGTCCGGTGTAAACGGTAACCAGATATACGAATTTGTCTGTCTTCAGGTTGTCATTCATGTACAACAGTTTCCACTAAGAAAAATTTATACAGACAGTTAAGAGTAAAATTCTAAAATCACACTGAAAAGACGCTTCTATAAATTAAAATGAAACAAAAAATTCATTTGCAATCGTGCGATGATGTGTATTTAAAATCTGACATCTGTCTCTTAACTATTAGTACCTTTTCTTGATCTTTCTTGTCATAACGCCGCGCTATCAGAAGACCAATAAGATAAAGTACAATGATAGCCGTAACTGTACCAAACACTGCGCCGTTTCCCAAAATGTCAAATTTATCAAAGACCGTGGAAAAATCGATAGAATTGGGTGGAACAAAGAAGGATGTGGCAAAGTTATCTCCTGGAGGATTTTTGCATTCACAAACCGTCTCTTTACCATTAGTTTCCGAAGTTAACTGAAGAAAAAAAACAAGTGGAGGTACCCACTAGTTATATTTTGATAACAAATGAAAACCATCATGGCTATTGTGGAGTTTTTTATTGATAAAAAAGACTTCAAACAAAATCGAGAAAGCTTAACATTTGACAAGACGCATTGTGGAGGAGGTATAATACATTAGATACCTGGCATGACGTTTTATCCCATTTGCCCCCATCCCACACTCGACACCCTGTGGTCCAGCCACTAATACGGTAAGTTGCAGTTGAGGTGCCGTTGTAAGCAGATCGGCGACGCCTAGAAGTCCTTGGTTTGGGAACTGATGTTTAAGAAAAATATCAAATCTCTAGTATTCACCTTTGATCATCATCATCAATTCTTTGTCAGGCCTTGTTATACAGTGAAAATATTTATTGATATGTCGGATGTGGAGGGACAATTCATTCTAATTTGTTGCAGATCTTTTAGTAATTACATATCAATTCAATATATCGCCATTATGTTTTAATGTCTCAATTATTCATGAGTATGAAAGAATTTCAAGGACTATTCGATTACTTACTGGATGCAACATGGACTGAAAAATAGATCAAGCATGGTCCAGGGCAGAAATTGATTGGAAGCAGACACGAGAAACCAACATCAGTCCAGTCACTGGGGACAATCACCTTCGACCATCCGTGGTTACCGGCGGTAGGGATTCTGTCTTTTTTGACATACACTACATGTGATGTTGTATTCATCGTACTGTTGTCACATTCCACACTAAAGACCAAATTATCCAACGGATTCCTCCACCATATTTTATAGGAAAAAGTCTGTGAGCTGGACTCTTCTGGATCGTCAGGGAACGCTAAAACGACGTCTCTTTTCGTCACCGAAGGAGATACGCTGAACTTGGTCTTTATGGAAGGGAGTTTAGTTTGGTCGCCCAGAACAATATGAACTGTGGGTGACTGTATGTTTTTTGCTTCTGAATCCCATATGAAAGGTGTTTTTGAGTATTTGGTAACCTAAAACACAAACAGTTCTCTATCATTTTGATCAAATTTTGTTTAAAGGCAAGTGATTTTGTACACACTATATATGTACAGTACCATGCAAACACATTGCCAACTTTTTTGTTAATTGCATTACATCTGCAACTTGAAAAATGTATTTATTCAATTCAATGCTTGAAGAAAATGGTGATAATTGGAACGTACTTATTCTTTAAAACTGTTAAAAAAATCTTTTCAACAACATCAAGAGATAGACATTTGCCTATCTCATTAAAATCGTCAATAAACATATAACAACCAACCTGCAGAAACTCTTGATTTGTATTACTGACGTCCAATTTGATTTTTAAATCTTTCCTGTCAATCTCCTGGTCAACTCGGAGTTTTTCCATACTTGTTGTTAATCCTGGTCGAGTGACTTCTACTTCAAACTGTTTCCTATGTGTAATCTCCTTTAGTACAGTGCCAAGCTCGACAATGGAGTTCTGCATGCTTGGGACAGTTCTACTCGCCTAACATATTGATAGACGCCAAAATAATACAAAACATTCCATAGAACATGAAACAGGACAGATACAGGAATTAACAGAAAGCGGTATTAAGCTTATCAAACATAAAATCTGTGCAACGCCAGACACTTTTCTTATTCAAATAAGGAAGTGAAGAATCAAAATAAATTAAATAAAAAAGCCTTTATTGACTTACAGAAGTAGTAAGACGGTTAAAAGATCTTTTGCGAATAAAACTGTTTATCTTGCGGTTTTTTTTGCCATGATGGGAAATTAAAAGTACCATTTCTATTGAGGAGATTGCTCACTCCCCGATAACACCTGGCACCACCTCTGAGGTTTTTGGAGGCCTGTGATTGCTCTGTTCCCCCTCAGTATTGTCTAAATGAGCTTTACTACTATTCGTTAGCGCCATATTTCATCTCCTTTTTTTGCTCAAGAGTTTTACAAACCAATTTGTCTGAGGAGTTTTACGTACCATTTTGTAAAAGGAGTTTTAAGAACCATTTTGGTGGAGGTATTTAACGTACCATATCGACTGAGGAGTTTAATTTCTCCCTGTATGATGCCACAGACATTGAAGTAAAGAGAGCTCTCTCTTGTGGTGAAAACCCGGTTCCATCGTAACTGTTAATGAGATCTGAAGCGGCATACTCTTTTGCTATTTCGTCAATGTCACCTGTATCTGGAATGTCTGGACTTAGTTTTGGAATCAAAACATTCAGAAGATTATCCACTGATCGTAGGATAGCTGCATAACGGAAAAAATTATTAAAACCTGTTGAAATCTTCATGGGGAATTGGAAATGCAAATGTGATCGAAAAGTTACTTTATAAAAATATTTATTCTGTATCGACCTTCTGATGTAGATAGATAATCTTCATATACAGGAAACATAGCTTCTTTGGATGTGTTGATGAAGTTACCAATTACGTCATTCGTTGCATTCAGCGCTGTGGCCTAGAGAAAATTTATGAAAGATTGTATACCTGACATCAACTTCAAGTTTCTATATATCTATCCCACTAAGCGCCGCTAATCCATACCATAACTTCTTTGGTGACCAGTTGCTTCTTCTCCATAGCAGATCCCGAGGAAAATGCCATTTGTCTTTGTCGAACCGTGGTGTCTATTCTTAGTGAACTTGTAGACGTTGAAAGAAGGTTTGTCATATTCTTCATTCCCTAAATACAGTTTCTTTGAGTGGCCTTACATTGAACAAGATTAAATCAAAATAATGAATTGAGAAATAAATGCCATTAGAGTAGGGGAAGTAATGAATTAATCCCACCTCTGTGAGTAACTCGAGGGTAGAGTTAACATCTTCTGGGACGTAGGTTAGTTCTTGAAAGAGGTTTTCAAATGTGGTGTTGTCACCCACACTACTCCACGATCCCGGGTCTTCCACCAGCGTGTCGATCAAACTCGGCGGTGGAAGAGACTAGAAAGATGATGAAGAAGGGAAGAGATAACAAAAGAATCCATTAAATTCTGGGTCGATGATACAAAAACACGCTGTACTTATGATCACTGGAAGAGGACTAGCTATACATACCTCCCGATTGGTGGTACTGATAGTTGTTTCTACTGCCATGGAAACCAGACCCACATCCTCTTGTTCAATTGCAGTTTCTATCAGTGCCTGTGAATTTTGTAGATAGTCTTCCACGCTCATGGCCATCATTGGGGAATAGACCTGTAAGAGTTTCCCAGTCATTCCAATCATGCAATCATCTGGTGAAGAAAATTGCTGGTTGCCATCGAAATATGAAAGCTCACGAAACCAATAATATTTTAAGCAAACCCGTCAAGGAAGCTCAGTTGGTAGAGCGCTAGCTCCATGACGGAGGGTTGTAGGTTCAAACCTTGGCGTCGACTGATCGAAGTCGATAAAAAATATCAATTGTTCCTTCGCCAAGCGCTCGGCACTTTAAAGTTAAATTGATGGATTTCTTCGAATGAGACCTGAAAACCCTAAGCCCCTTGTCACGACAGATGTTGGCATGGCGAAGATCCTTCACTGCTCAATGGTCCTGAATGCCGCGTTAAGGTCTAAATTTGAAGCCCTTTACCGGTATATGGTGACGTGTCTATCTGATCGAGTAAAACAATACTAGTATTCGAATAGAACGTAAAACAACATACAATCAACCATTCTTTGTCGTACCAACGCCTACCGCGACACGGAGCCTCGGTCTCATCTCGCAACTTTTACTTCAAAGTGAAGGGTTTGGCGAACAAACACTTGCTACCTATTTATAATCGACTTAGGTCATTCGCGACCGTGATACGAACACACATTTCTGAGCGCTCTACTAACTTTGTTGCCGTGACGATATGTTAACGAACAATAAATAAGAAGTTCACAATGATATCCCCGACTTTGACTTTCATAACTAATCGATTATCTGCCTCTTATTCTTTATTGTAGTTATTCGTTACTAGAAATTTTTTAATTCTATCGTTGTTGTCTTTTATCATAAATTTGGTTTCAAAGCGTAAAACACCGTAAAACGCTAAGTGGCAAATGAAGAAGACCGGCAAAAAAATTATATTCAATAACGATCAATTAATGTAGATTTATCACATTTACAATATGATCTACAGGAAGAAGGTTGGATTGTTAGAAATTCAATGTAAAAGGAAATTCATGAATTACATCGTTGAATTTTTCCCGTCGTATCTCTAAGACCAGAGACATATATTATCGTTTTACTAACAGCATGACAGTTTGCTTGATAGGGCGTGCTAAAATTTCGCATGCTGATTATCATTTTTACTCATCGATTGGATGTTCGATTTCAATGGAATCAATAATACTTTACATATGAAACACAGAACCCAGCAATACCATTCACAATACTGACCAATCGCAGTGAATAAACAACAATTACATGTGAACGGACAAAGCAAGTTTTACTTCCTATAATGACGATAGCTACATAGTACAACAGTAGCAGAGTAGTCTCACTAATTCCATTCTTATACATGTTAAACGTATTTTAAAAAACCATCCGGTCAAATCACAAGAGATATAATACATGTTTTTAGGACAGAAAACGGGCTTTGACTGACCACGTGTTGCTCCTGACTACAAATGCCGTACTGGGAAACAATCATTCAATGTGATTGGCCAGTATTATCGGGGTATTGTTGTATTCCAAGTTTCATATGCAAATGAGTATTGATTTCATTGATCCAATCGATGAGTAAAATGATAACCAGCACACAAAATTTTAGCACGCCCCATCAAGCAAACTGTCACGCTGTTTGTAAAATGATAATATGTCTCTGCTAAGACTGAGTACTTCCTTCGTTTCAAACCGGCGAGACCGGAATACGACACCAGCGAACCTTCCCCTTTTAAATGAAGGAACAATCCCGGTTTACAAAAGGTCAAACGGCGCATTCGGCGTACATATGTTTGAAAAAAGAAGTCCTACCATAAATATAAATATGCAAGAGTATGAACAATTTCTAAAACGAGGTAAATTGTTGACAAGCAAGTTGATAAAACAAGAATATCAGTTCTATGGTCGATACAATGACCTTGTCAGCAAATACAATTTATCATTGAGTAAAATGCTGAATGACGTTTTTCATACTAATTGTTAGTCCATTATTTATAACCTGAATTGACGACGGATTTTTTCCTTATTTCCCGATCATGACAAGGAGCACACGGCGGGTGTAACCGGTCAGCAGGGGATGTTCACTACTCTATGGCACCTGATCCCACCTCTGAGGTTTTAGAGGTCCGTGTTTGCTCTGCTCCTATTTTGTATTGTTTGATATTGAATACTGTTCGTTATCTCCATATCCTTCTTAAGCGTCAAGATTGAAAACCGAAAACAATTTAAAAAGATTTACTTGACCATCACATTTTTCAAACATTACTTGTAGCATCATTGAAAATAATGAAGACCATGAAATTGCGTCTTCAAAGACATGTGGAAAGATTTATAACCGCAAAGATCTCATCAATCTCATCAACAGTAAGTGAAACGTTTGTAGGACATCGCATCAACCTTACATTCAGAGCTTGCACGCTTCTCTATATTCCAAGACAAATTCAGAGCTTGCACGCTTCTCTATATTCCAAGACAAATTCGATAATTATTTAAATCTAAGGGGCATGCAAGAAAATACATGTACTAGAGATAAAATCGTAGAAATTTATTTGCTATTTTATAGAAGAATTCGCAAAATGTTTTAACCGCTGAAAATACTCGTTATATGCTAGGTAAGACATTTTTATACTTTTGAAATGAATTTTGCAAGTTTAGATTTGTTTTTCACGTCAGCTTTTTTAAAGACTTGTGGCCATGTATCTTTAATTTCTCAAACTTCTTAGGAATACATCAATAAAAGCCTGTTTCCCAAATTACAGCAATGTACTTACCGCGATAGGATGAAAAGTACAAGTTGTAAAATCATCAAAGACATCTAGTACCTCCGCATATGTATTTATTAACCAATTATCTTCTTCGTGTCCATAGTTGAAATAAATGCCCTCTATGTACCTTTCATCTAATGGAAGAGGGAACTAAGTTAACATATATTATTCTTTCTTCAGGTATAAAAACGAAAATCGACATTTACCACAGTTGTAAAGACAACTACATGTGTGATACTAATTGAAATGACTTACTGCCTTGGTATAGGAGCGTCTTCTCCTGGGTTTGGGAATCTTCCTGGAATAACCGAAAACTGATCTGTTCCTTCCAGTCTATTTCTTTATTTTTCTGCTTTCTAAACCCTTCATCTTTCCATGCATTAATGACCACTAATTGCTTACCATCTGAAAAAGCATTACAGTGTATTTATTTTTACAAAACAAGTAAAAGGATCCACCGGCATCTCTGTTCTCTGATTATACAAAATGTAGAGTTTTGGACTCTCGAAACGAAAATATGGATTTGCATAGATATGTTTGGACAAGATCATGAGTTGCTGTAAGTACGGGATAAGATTTACACCGTTTTTAACAGTATAAATCAATGAATGAAAGTTTAGTAGACTACAATTTTATAAACTGTTACTATATATATGGGCATTTTTGTCATTTTGTTGTATTAATCATACAAGATTTTTTCGGGAGAATTATACCAACTTTTGCACGTGTACTTTTTAAACAAATAAATTTAAGTGGTTTATCGATTTTGATTGATTGATTGTTTGTTATTTAACGTCCCTCTCGAGAATTTTTCACTCATATGGAGATGCCACCATTTGCCGATGAAGAGCTGCAAATATTATCCTATGCTCGGCACTCAGGGCCATTGATTATTGAGGGATTTTTTTGCCAGCACCTACTGCGGTTAATACGGTCTCATCCGAAGGACCAGTCTCTACGTGCCACATTGGGATTCATACCCGCAACGTAAGGATCAACTTCCTACTTCGCGATTTTAGAGAAGTCGCTCTATAAACTGTGCCATGCGAGCAACATTAATAAGAATGTACCTCCTGTTTCGTAAGAAAATCATTAAGAAAACTGGTGATAGATAATGGTGTAAATTGTGTTACCTTTGGTCGTATCGTATCTACAGTATCCGTCATACGGAGGTTCCGTCGTCTCCAGAATCATCCGTATTTCTGCCCACCTGTCGTCTGATATGTTCATCCTCAGCGTCAGCATGTAATACGACAAACGACGGAACGAATTGGCTTTGACGAAGAATTTCTGTTCTGATGGATCTAGAATGCATTAGAAATAACTTAGAGCAAAATAAAATCACAAGTTTAAAAAACCTCTGCTAGAAACATATCTTTGACATTGACTTTTTAAATGGAGTTAGATACTGTATGTGCTGAATAAGACATGTACCTGTTTCTAACCAGTCTTCCCAGTCGTTTATTTTGCTGGTTGTTCTTGTTGTTGGATCGAATTCCAGTAACTTCCAGCTATACACAATCTTCGCTAGATCGCTGGCAGAACATGTTATACACTCTGCTCGTAAGGACATTACTAGAGATGTGGCCACTTTAGGTTTACAATTCAACAAGCATCTATATATGATGTTGAAAAGGAAAGTTTCAATCAAATTAATTAAGACAACCAGTTTTTCTGCATACAAATTACAGAATTTTTCTAGACTAAGCAACATCTTTTGGCGACTATTAGTACTTAAAAATATGGGAGAAGCGATGTTCTGGACATTTAGATGCAAAAAGAGAGAAATATTGAGAAACATTTACATCATGAAAATGACATAAAAAAGAAGAAAATGTTTTACTTGCAGAAGAGATTACAAGTATTTTCGTTTAGTTATTTCAGAGGTATGACTACTTACTCTATGTTTATATCAGGAAATGTATCGCTGGAATAAGTAATAGAGCTAGAATTCGGAAATACGATCTGGATTCTTTGTTGATAAATGTTTTCAGCGTCCAGGATAGTTACTTTGACGGAGACGATATACCCTACAGCTTTGGTCTGATGATTCGGATCAGTGACCACTTCCGCAAAGCCCGTGGTAGTCTCCGAGAAAGACGTACACTGACTGTTTTCAAACAGCTTGATCACAAGGTTCCAGGCTTCAGCTTCCCATGCCATCATATCTGAGATATTAAAACTTGAAATTATTTCTGCCTCAGTTGTCAGATCCACGAGATGTTTGTCGAAATCACGAAGTGTCGAGATGGTAAAATTCTCCTTGGGAAATCCATACATTAACCGATTTAATTCTGTCAAAACATCCGTCATAATTCGTAAATGTCTGATCAGAGATTTCATACTTGGCAAGAATTCTGTCTCTATCATATCTGTTTCCTGGATTGTAATGTTTGGCTCTAGTTTAAGCAATGGTAAACCATTCTTTATATCTGTATAGCCTCTTTGTGCAACTTCTCTATGGGCTAATATTTCTTGAATATAGTTATTGCTGGTAAAATCTTGAAGCAAGTAATAAAGTTCGGCGCTCATCACATTGTCGAGGAAACACGGATTGGGAATTCTGTTTTTCTTCCTTGTAAATGCTGAATAATCTTCACAGCTTTGGGGATTGGTAATATTTGTTAAGTTTAAATATCTGTAAGTGTTATTAAAATACATAATATTTGTCTGACTGGCAAGGTTAAGATATGTATCAGACATTACAGCTAGGCTTTGTATATAATCCCACGATACTGTTACATTAGCTAAGAATGTGAAAGATTCGGGAATAACAAATGTCATCAACATTTCTAAGGAATCCGTCGGAAATTCCAGACAACTCCACGAAAACTTCAGACCATCCCTGTACCCGGGTCCCTTTGTAAGATCATAAGATCCACTCCAGGCATCAAGCGTGGTTTTCCCGGGACCCGACATTCTCCCCGACCCACCCTGAATGATGACGTTAGGGGGAGGCAACTGCAGTTTGAAGTACATGTATCCCTCCACAAACTCATACGACCCTGGGTAATACTCAATTCTTACAAAAAGTCTATACAGGCCAAACGGGAACGCCCCCGGGCGTATCTGAAAGAGTGATGCTTCTGCCATATAGGTCAGAGTCTCGTTTTCAGAGTGTTCATCGCACAAGTACAAAGTCCAGTTTTTGTAAAGGTTTGGCAAAACACACGTTATTTGTGTTTTTGGCAGAATCTCTATATTGGCTGACGAATACAGTACTAAAGGATCATCTTTTGTCATATAATTCCCTCCAAAAACTGATCCCTCTAAACATGGTGGGAACTCTGCAAATAATTTATAATCATTACTTCTAAATTCGTTTAGCTAAACACATACTTGGTTCCAAACCATAAGATATTTTCATTTTTTAAATGTATCTTTGCAATAACTCGACATCACACAGCAACAAACAAACAGACAAAATGGATACATTTTGCAAAAAGACATTAGAATTGCCCTCTAAATTAAATGTTGATAAATGGAGAAATAATTGTCTGCATAAGTGGTCGCTGTGTTATTACGCAAGGATTGATCGGGGAACTGTGGACACTACGTGGAGCATGAATAAAATTTTCATATTATATTACATTTAATGATAAATGTATGAAATATTATCAAAATTTCAAAAATTATAAAAACTGATTTATTGAAAACAAATCAAAATACGTTGCAAATTCAGACATTAAGAAAAAGACAGTTTGGCACACAGACAGGCGGACGACCGACGTGCATTTTATTATCATATGGGGTCTCCTGATCTCTTATCAGTGGAGCTTAAAAAAGGCCTAGTATGATATATATTTGGTTATTTTTTTATGCAGCTTACCTTCACATTCGGCATCAGATGTATTACTTCCTGGACAGTAACTGGCTAAAACCCCACAAGGACTGGGATTCGTACATTCCCTGGTTCTGTTTTTAACTCCATGGCCAATTGGGACAGAGCATGAAGAGTAATTAGACCAAGCTGTCCATGCTCCATCACGGTATTTAGCTGAATAGATTAATGAGGAAATTAAGTATTCCACGGAGCCTTTGACAGTTTTAAACTTATATATAGATATTAAGATTGGAAAAGTTCAAGTAAGAAATCTTAATAATGTAGACACTTACTAATAATTTGAGCTAAAATCTGTGCCGGAGTGAATCACTGCTGGGAGTAAATCACTCCCACACTTGCACCTTTACTTCTAAGGAATTATAGCAAATGGAGACAGGTACTGTGCATTATTGAATTGGTCGCTACTTTATTAAAAATATACTCTGTGGCAACGCACTTTCAAATTTAAAAAATTCAAAAAGCTTTAAATTTGGGACAAAATTCAACGCACTTGGAAGTGCGTTGTAACAGTCCTTCTTCCCGTTAAGCAAATGAACTGGGTGGTCTGGTAATGATTAGTAAATAGGCTTTTTTCGAAATTGTGAAGGTAGAGGCTCGCTCTCCAGTTGCGCCGCTTTTGCTTTCAACTCTTACTATATGTAACTCCCTAACACTCCTATCTCTCTCCCTCCTCTCCTTCCCCCTCACATTCCTCCCTCCCCACTCTCATGCCTCTCTCTCCCTCCTTTCCTTACTCCCCTCCCTCTCTCACGCCTCTCTCTATGCACTCCCACTCCTCTTGATCCCCCCTCTCTCTCTCTTCCTCCCCATTTTCTCTCTCCCAACTCCCAATCTCCACACCCACTCTCTCTCTCTCTCTTCGCTCAATCCCACTCTGACTCATTTCTCTCCATGCCCTCAGTCCCCCCTCTCTCTCTCCCTCCCCACTCTCTCTCCTCTCTTCCCAACTATCCCACCCCACTCCAACTCTCCTTCCCCACTCCCACTCTCCTACCCCAATCCCTCTCCCCCCACTATTTCCCCACACTCTTCCTCTCTCTTTATTTTTTGTCCGCCTGACTCAGTTCCTCTTTACTCCCATTAAAAAAATCTATATATGCATAATATATAGATATTTCACAATGAAATATTTTTACAATGAAATTAATAGAAAAATACTTATTCTAGAATAAAGAGGAAATTCTTATCGTTGTTAAAAAAAGAAATTATAAAATTTCTATTATTGATCATTTTACTTAAAATGTGATTTAGCAAAATTGTTTATTTTGTAAATAAAATATAAGCAATATGAAATTATAAGGGCGATAACTTCAAACAACGGTAAATACTACATATCAGTTCATAATTCGATCATATGCGTTAAATATTTGTACATTTAATTTTACATGCTTGATGAACAATATTTATATGCTTATATGTATTGCACGCCAGGAACACATGTCAACGTGAAATCTCATTTTGGATATTCAGAGGCGTAGTCACAAACTTAAAAGTGGGGGGCTCAACTCCAGGAATTCTTTGACAAGCAAAAAAAAAAAAGTTCCTCAAATCAAAATCCTATTTCGAGGGGGGGGGGGGGGGGGCAACACTGTGGAATGGCCAAACTTTTTCAAAGGCAAGTTACTTTCAAATCCAATTTTTTTCCACAATTCTTCGATATAACTATAACTATACAAGGGTCAAAAAGTGGGGGGGATTCAATGAATATTTCCTATAGTAAAGGTAATGTTGGGGAAAAATAGCTGTGATTTTGTTCTTCATTAAAAAGTGGGGGGCACAGCACAACTTCAGGCCCCCCCAGATCTGGAAATAAAAGTGGGGGTTCATTGTGCTTTTGGCTTTGCCCCCTGTGACTACGCCTATGATATTATTTGTTGTAACGTTCTGATGTGCGATCAATGCCCTAAAATATCACACATATAGAGAGGTCTTAAATAGTTTTATTTGACATAGTATGGAAGTAGAGTTTGACAATCTTTATCCTTTCCCATGACATGCTTTCAGTTTAATTAAATTCTATATTTTTATAATTTTTGACCTGTTCAAACATTGTGACGTTGCATTGAGTGTTTAAAATGCACTTGCATCATGACTCCCTCATTTTTCTACCCATTACCCGGTATATTTTATTTTCTTATAGCATATTTATAAAATTCCGTTTGGTGTTTTATTCAACTACGTAAACTGGTAATAAAACTACATGTAATCTTTACTTGTTGCATGGTTCTACTCTCCTAGCATTTTTATGGACGTTCAATTTAACGTTCTTGAATGGACAGTGTTAAATAACCGTTAGGCCATCAGCGTAATTTGAGTAACTGTTCACCTTATTACAGGTTCTGGTCATGTCTCTTAGAAATTAAAATCATTCAATAAAGCAATATGGCCATTCAATTAAAAAGAGACTAAATCAATTTATAGGCTTAAAATTGTTACAAAGTTGCCTCTGTCTTATTCAAACTACATGTATATGTATGCATGTGTATGTACAACTTGGCTTTCCTAAAAAGCTCGTCTGACGTGATTTTTAATTACGTTATTATTATTTTTTTTTTTTTTGAGTTTTATATGCATGGAATATATTGTAAATATGTACTAGAAAGATAATTTATGAAAGGAGACAAATTGAATGTGTTCATTACTTCTCATGCTCTCCAAAATGGCCAACTTTTTCAAAGGCAAGTTACTTTCAAATCCAATTTTTTTCCACAATTCTTCGATATAACTATAACTATACAAGGGTCAAAAAGTGGGGGGGGGGGATCCATTCAATGAATATTTCCTATAGTAAAGGTAATGTTGGGGAAAAATAGCTGTGATTTTGTTCTTCATTAAAAAGTGGGGGGCACAGTATCCATATACTCTTGACAATGCCCCCCATATGTTTATTGGTGAAAAAAGTGGGGGGGCTAGTGCCCCCGCTGCATACACCCCCCCCCCCCCCTGTGACTACGCCTATGATATTATTTGTTGTAACGTTCTGATGTGCGATCAATGCCCTAAAATATCCACATATAGAGAGGTCTTAAATAGTTTTATTTGACATAGTATGGAAGTAGAGTTTGACAATCTTTATCCTTTCCCATGATATGCTTTCAGTTTAATTAAATTCTATATTTTTATAATTTTTGACCTGTTCAAACATTGTGACGTTGCATTGAGTGTTTAAAATGCACTTGCATCATGACTCCCTCATTTTTCTACCCATTACCCGGTATATCATATTTTCTTATAGCATATTTATAAAATTCCGTTTGGTGTTTTATTCAACTACGTACTGGTAATAAAACTACATGTAATCTTTACTTGTTGCATGGTTCTACTCTCCTAGCTATGGACGTTCAATTTAACGTTCTTGAATGGACAGTGTTAAATAACCGTTAGGCCATCAGCGTAATTTGAGTAACTGTTCACCTTATTACAGGTTCTGGTCATGTCTCTTAGAAATTAAAATCATTCAATAAAGCAATATGGCCATTCAATTAAAAAGAGACTAAATCAATTTATAGGCTTAAAATTGTTGCACACAAGAGTTATGATTTTAAGTCTTAATTTTTTCAAATTACATGTATGTGTATGCTAAAAAAATAGAAATTTACAATATGTTACTCAATTTGTAATTAATTTAAGTATTCTTGACATATCAAAAGACCAAGATAAATTAACTGAACATGTTATTTTTTTAATTTCGTTGAAGTAATTAACAGTGATTTTTTTCACTGATAGTGTTTATATCTTTGAATATATTTTAAATATGTACATATAATGAAAATTAAATAAATAAGTTCAATATTAATGTGTTACAATATATTTTTCTCAATGCTCTCAAAAAAATAGTTGATTGTGTAGAGATAGTATGAAAATTGATTTCAAAGTTGCGAATTATCAAATACAGAATTTCATGTGTATGTACATGATCAATATGCCTTGGCTATTTTTAATCGTTATTATTATTATTATTTTTTTTTTTTGACGTTTTATAAAATATATTGTAAATAGATAAAGTTTGTAAATTGTTTAAAAGTCATTCAACATTTTATTTATAATTTATTTCCGTAAACTATTTAATGTTTTTCTTATTGTTTAAAAACAGTTTAACATGCAGATTTAGTTCCTTTTCGAATTTTTCCGTAAGCTACAATTCCTTATGAAGGATTTAAGTGTCTTCTCTTCTAAAAAATTTCATTACTTGCGTTATTGTCGTCGAAGTCTCCGTCACAGTTTTTGCCGCCATAAGCCGGAGCTGGGTCGTTACATTTTCTGACTCTGTAAAACTCTTTGTTAACGCAGCTCCAGCTACCCCACGAGCCCCAGACTCCGTCAACTGTAGAAAGCAAAATATATACATAAGCTTATCTGTTCATAATGCGATCCGGAAAACTTTGGGAAAAGGCAGTCAAAAATTAAACGAAATTAATTTATTTCATAAATGATTTGTTATACACAGTTCGATTTATTAACTTGGAATTTTTAATTTCTTTCTTGGTGTGTTTAAAGAAAATCAACAAAATATTAACAAAAAATGAATATATATTATAATTAACCAACCAGGTAGAAAGCATGTGCTTGTCTCGTTATTTGGACAAGAACAGTTACAGGCATTCCAGTCGGCCACCACACCCATATCGTCCAGACAATCCCGGGACCTTAACTTCTCACCCTTTTTGCCCCCAGTTCCAGAAACATCGATGCATGAGCCCCATGTTGGCCACTCAGAAAGTGTGTAATTCGATGGAACTGTGAAAAAAATAATTGCCTTGCTTTAAGAAAATTTGTTTTTAGATTAAAAAAAAATTAAGTGTGTCGCCTTTATAGTAGAATTCTTTTACCGTTGTATATTACATGTATATAATAATTATTCTTTTTTTACAATTAAAGATGCATAAATTAAGCATTGCACCAATATTGAAAATTAATGCATAAAATGTTTCTGTTCCCACTAAGAAATTAATTTTGGAAAACAAATGCAAAAAAAAAATTCAAGTTTGAGAACATCATTATTTTTTCCGTAAACACTAGCTTATCTTTACATGAATGTTCACAAAGAATCTATAAGGCATCCAACATCTATTGCTGAAGATTGAAGAATATTATACATATAAGTGTGTTAGTATTCAAAGACGTGAACGAAATAGCGTCTGAGTAAAAATTGATCAGCTTTCCATTTTCAGATACTTCAACTTTCTGATTATACGACTTTTACCAGAGAAGACAGTTTAACCTTTGTCTAATTTTCACCAAATGCAAAAAAGAAAATTCACAACCAAAATAGACTCATCGGATAAGTACTTGCCCCATCCCCCTCCCCCACCCCCGCATTTGTTTGTTCTCTTCGTCTGTTTTTTTTTTATAATTATTAATTTCAGCGATCTCTCTATCTAAGATATTCAAATAAAATATATAAAAATAAAATATTTTACTTTTTGTTGAATTTGATTGTTAAGTATTACCTTGCGGGAGCACTGACTGCGAAACAACGGCAAAAAGAGAAACACATAATACAATTTTCCAAACTAATTCCATAATATATTGCGAATCGCACTTTAAAATTACATCTTTAAAAATTCCGTCAATCTTAGTACATCTTATTTTACAAACTGGTAATTTTGACCATTTGCAATGCTTTTACCATTAAGCTAAATCCAATAGTTATCGATTATTTGTACAGTAATTTTGAATGCAAATTTCAAGTGACTAAATTTGAACACAAAAGCAGTAGGATGCCGAAAAATTCATTTATCAAAACTAAAGCTACTTAGCAATAAAAACAAATCCCCATATACGTAATGAACACGCAAACAGATTAAAATGACCAGAAATTGAGGCTGAAGCTGAAAGCCAATCTATCTGGATGACTTTAAATATATTGTTTATTTGTTCACCATCGGACCAATTCAATACCAATGTCCAATTTGCGTCCCCGGGATGTATAGATTTTTAGAGTGAAAAACAATTACAGAGATCAGGACCAAAGCTTGTTATTCCAATGTTAATAAATTTGCCACATTTAGCCGTAACAAATACAGGATTGAAATTTATTATGAAAGTGTGTTTTCATCCATTACAGCAGGTATCAATCATAGCATTTCAATGAATAATCCTTATACGAGTTGAACTGAAAGTGTATTGAATGATACTGAAATAAAAGTACTGGGGTAAATAGAGCGCCAAATTATCATAAACTCAATGAGATTACTATCATTTCATTTGATGCGAGCAACAATCCAATAAAAGATATCATCAAATAATTTAATATTTTATTAATACAACGTACTTTTATTCTTCTAATTAATACACAGATAAATGGAGTACAAATAATCCTCAACATACAGCAGACAGGATAGGCATTAATTAAGATTCTATAGATAACTTTTTAGACACTAGTATAGTTTTCCATAATGATTAAAATTATTTGAAAACGCTTGCACCAACTGCTCAAAAATAAAGGCCAAGGTGAACATTACAAGTGTTAAAGGCCCTATATTACTAACTGTTTAAAAGTTATGACCGAAATTAAAGTTTAAAAGTGGTAAACCCCAAGGTCAAAAAAAGTGAAAACACAAAGGTTAAATACGTAAGTAAAAGGTAAGCATTGTCACAAGGAATACACATGTGAAATACACTGTATATGAGGCCCGTTTTGGTACTTACTGCCAGAAAGTGATATCACCTATTCGAATATTCAGTTGATGATATCACTCATTCAATTGGTGATAATAGATATCACGTATTTGAATAGGTGATATCACTTTTTGGCAGTGAATACCAAAACTTTAGTGGGGTAGTTTTGTGGAGCGATTATTTTCGGGGTTTTACGATTTTTTTCCTATTGTAATCATGATGAGTAAGTGTAATAAAGATAATTTGTGAAAAAAAAAATTCCATGCAATAAGCCCCGGGGTTGAATAACGGGGGGGGGGGGGTCCTGTCCACAAGTATATGTGGTTGGGAATTGTCCACAAGCACACTTGAACAACGGAAAGTTTTCTCCCTTTTACAGTTAAACAACGGAATATCTCGCCAGATTATATCATAAATTCTCCGGGAATCGTGAATATCTATGGGGCACCTTTTTGGTATTTACTGCCAAAAAGTGATATCACCTATTCGATTAGGTTATATCTCACCTATTCAATTGGTGGTATCACCTATTCGAATAAGTGATATCACCTATTTGATTTGAATTGGTGATATCACCTATTCGAAAAGGTGATATCACTTATTCGAATAGGTGATATCACTAATTTGAATAGGTGATATCACTTATTCGAATAAGTGATATCACCTATTTAAATTATTTATGAAATCACAACAGCTCCCAAGACTATAGGTCCCTAAATCTTATTTACTTTCACTTTCGATTTATAACTCATCATTCTAGGAGACAATAGATTACAGTTTTGCATTTAATTTTAATCAACCCCAATAGAAAGTGTAGTTTCTTTTGCTCACAAATTAATTAATTTCATTTATCTATCATGTAATCTTTAAGAAAAATTGGAAAAAGGCATGAAAATTGGGTAGTCTGAATTTTCTTGGTTCCAGTGGTAATCTATATATTATAGGAAGCATTCATTATTGAATAGATTTTATTGTTGTAAGAAATTCAAATAAGTGATATCACCTATTCGAAAAGGTGATATCACCAATTCAAATTGAATAGGTGATATCACCTATTCATTTCCAATAGGTGATATCACCAATTCGAACAGGTGATATCATCTATTCAAATAAGTGATATCTTCTTTTTGAATAGTTGATATCACCTATTGGAAATGAAAAGGTGATATCACCAATTCGAATAAGTGATATCACCTATTCAAATAGGTGATATCACTTTTTACCAGTAAATACCAAAACGGCGCCTCATAAATATCATCATTCAAGAGTCTTGAAATCCTACTTTTACAGAATATGTTATTAGATTTATTTCATTTTGGGATAAAAAGATACAATTTCATAACTCTAAGATAACGAAGAAGGCAAGTAATTCGCCATTTCAGAATTTCTGGTTGCCATAAACAGATTTTTCACTCGCCATGATGAAAACATGTGAATAACACAATTAAAACAATGAACTAACATCCACATGTGTTATGTTTATATTAAATGAAAAAGATTACCAATTACTGTGACTATAGAAATCTTTTGCTAGTTGAAGGAAATATTTTTATTAAATAGACTTGTATGGTCCAAAATATCAAAAGGTGTTCACATACCTATTTTAGGAAACTTTAAAACCTCAATAGATGCGTTGTTTGTGACGGGGAGATGTAGAGTAGGACAAGGCATAATGTTGCAGGTGGAAAATTTTCTTGAAACATCTGTACATTCATCCAGAGAACGGTATCGTGGGACCTGGGACCATTGGGGACTCAGGACTCCTGGCATTTCGAGGGTGTCATGGCCACGGACTTTTCTCCTCATCAAATTAGAACATTTCTTGTCTATGCTATAATAATAACCTTGTAGGTCTAATGATCAGTGACCCTTTTCACAAAAGATCTTCGACTAAGACTAAAATTACAACACTCCGTATTTTTTTTATTTAACAGAGATATTTTTTTCTAAATAATTATTTACAATGTAATCATAAAGTATTAATATAATGTAATGAAAAAAATATGTAGCTTAGATATTTGTTGGTAGAATAAGGGGAAATTTTGGTCTTTGTCAGCATGGTCAGTCGTAAGAATTTTTGTGAAAGGGGCCACAGTATTATATCAATATTATTATTACTGAGTATGGAATTTTTAAAATCTATGAATAGCTAACGAAGAGAAAAGTGCCTAACCGAGTCCATGATAATGTCCTGGAATCGGAGCAGTCAGTGTAGCAGATCGGCCGCGGAATTTGATCGGGATCGGCCTACACAGACAACAATCCTTGGTAACCAATAAATGAATAATTTATTTTCATTCTATTCTATTCATTCAGTTATAAAACTTTTTGTGAATTATTTTGTAAGAACATTTTTGCCAAGTTAAGAAAGTTATTGATCTCTCTGTGTTTGGTTTATTTGATAAATTTTGTGAATTAAACGGCAGACTTTCGCATCTAATGTAAACAACATGGCGGTCATAACAAGGGTTCCTGAGAAAAATCTGTGGGAAGAAATATGTAAAGGTAAAGCTTAAGCTTTATATATTACATTTTAAACACTTGAAATACATTTACTCCAACATCATTGTTATTTTTGTTATATTATCAAACGGCTGATCAAATTGAATGTTGTTGAAATCTAGAATTCGCTGCAAGATCAGCCCCAATACGGTCTGAAGATGAAATGTCAGTCAAAACAGAGTACCAGGATTTTGATCCTGCCAAACACAACCCTGTTTTCTATGGGAAAATGCATGAACGTGTAGAGGTCGACGCTGATGTGATGAAAGATACAGACGCCTCTGCCAGTCACCCCTCGTGTGTGGGCTACACATTTACAGATAAACCTCCCGAAACTCCTCTGTCACCTCCCCCAACACCACCTCATAAAGATACATGTAAGTAAAGGGTACCGTACCACTGAGTTGGTATAGTATTGTTGGTAGTAGATTGAGCGTTCTAACATTAAAAAGATATTGTTCTATGGATCTGCATTGGTGAGGCCTGAGACACTGTTAGATTATTCTTTGATAAATGTACATCATCTCCTGCCACTGGGTGGAGTCCACTTACAGCTCTCTTCTACCTAGGGATGGGTCACTATTCATGGGCAAGCAAAATTTTACTTTTCAGTGTGGAGACGTGAGTTTGTGGGTTGCTTGTATGAAAGATTCAATGAATTATTATTATTTTTACAAAATAAAAAAATAATGTATGATAAATTTGTGGTAAGGGTTACCCACAAAATCCACAAACATTAATCCCCCACGAACAATGACGATTCCACAGTAACAGTGTATCTTTGATTATTCTTCTGTGGTTTGACATCATGTTAATTCAATAGTTGAAAATAGTTGGCCATGAGAAGTGATCATTCTTTCTGGCCATGACTTTATATTAGTGATAGTATGGAGAGTAAATGACATATCTATATTAATATTTCTTGGAAGTTTTACCCGATTTTTTTTAAATTAAAAATTCAAAGCTATGAACTTTGGGATCAATGTGATTCCTTTCATTATTTAATAATTATATAATTAATGAAGTATACTTCAGTATCAAACTCGAATCTAAATGTTTTTGGCATACTGACCTGGCAGCTCCGGTGATAAAACCGGTTAATGTTTCATTTTGGTTGATCATTTTTTTATGTACAATTTTTTTGTTTCTTCTTAATAGGTACACCAAGGGAGTTTTTAGAACATTATGTGTTTCCCTGGTTATTACCTGCATTAGAGGACATGCTTAGGCAGGCAAAGAAAGAAAAATGTTTAGAGGCAAGTAACTTTTTAAGTGTTTACCTTATTTGCTTTAAATTTGAGTAAGTGGTCAATTGATTTAATCCATTTTGATTATACATGTAATATGTGTGTAATGATTCATATTTTGTATCAATTTAAGCATGATTTAAAAAAATATCAATGTCTGTAAATTTACAGAGGAAAAGAACAGCATTTAATGCCATGGACTACCTCACTGAACATTTGTACAGGTGAGCTTCATTTGATATTTAGATATTATAAATATTTTTCTTGTTTTAAACTTCTCAGTCATTTTAGAATAAGCAAATTATTTTTTCTTGAATTTTTAGAAATAATCCTAAGTATGATGACAGACAAGACATCAAGTTTGAGAAGATTCCATTTGTTGCTAAGCATTGGGAAACTCAGTACGTGTCCTATTCAGATTGTGTAAAATGAAAGTGAAAGCTTTTACGGGTAAATACCGGTAATTGTATAATCAAAACAGGCATAAAAAAACACCTAAATTCTGAGATGATGAATTCCATTTTTAAGCATTCAATCAATGTTGTCCTTAATTTGCAACTAGATTTTATTTTTCTTTGTATTTTTTCTCATTTTTAATGAGAAGGGAATGTTTGTTTGGTTTGATTTGTACCAGCTAAGTGTAATGTAATGCTTTTGATACATGTATTATTAGAATATTTGCCGTAACAGATTTCTCTCTTGACAGCCCCAGGCCCCCACTCCCACTCTCCCTCATTTGGACAGAGGAGGAGGCAGCCTTGGTCATTCAGTCACAATGGAGGGGATTTCTGGTCAGTAACAATCATTCTAACAATCCGCCTACTGTAAACCAGCTTTTATTCACATGCAAGAAATACATGTACTTTCGAGTTTTATAATCTTCTTTTACAGGCAAATATTTCTTGTTGTTAACCATTTTACGTATTTGTAGAATGTTTGTCTCATTGGTCATAAAAGTAATTATCACAGATGAATTAAAACTGACAAATCCTGTGTAAAAATATCACAAATAATTATTGGTGTACAGTACGAGTCATTGTCAACAAAGCTTATCTAAATGTTAAGAAATTCTTCTGTCAAAATATTTCTTTTATTAATGGAGCTTATTACAAAGTAGGTGCATGTTTTACAGTAACTCTGATGAATACTCTCTTGAATAGGTAAGAAGACAGCCTGAGGTACAAGAACTGCGACAATGGCAGAGAGAATGGAGAGAGGAAAACGATAATATTAACCAGAAAGTCAGTGAATTCTGGGACAAAAAGATGCCAGACTGGAAAAACCCCACACCTAACGCATCAGAGGACCAACTGAAAGTGGAAAATAAAGAAATCAGAGTGGAGTCACCCACTAAAGTGGAAAATAAAGAAAAAGTGGAGTCACCCACCAATCAGAGTTAGAAGTATCCATGGTAAAAGTGGATAAGTTTGAAATGAAATCATGTTAATGTGACACAAACAACAAAACAACAGAAAATTTGCACTTAGATATTTACTGAAAATAAGCAAGTGAATAACTTCAATTAACCTGATCTTCAGAAATTTTTAGGATAACTGAAAAATTATTTATGGTACTCTGTGACAATGTGAAAAAAACATAAGAATTTTGTATCTGTGATATGTGATATGTAAGTTATTATTGTGAAATTTATTAAATATATATTATACACCAAAGCAAGAACAAAAATGGATACTGCTGTATAAAATTGTAGCCTACGTTATAAGGACTTTATAATACAATCGAACATTCTCATAGTTTGAACAGAAATTTACCAAAAAAGATGAGTATGCTGCCTTTCAGTTTCCAAAGACAGCTTTAATTAGAAATTAAAATAAGCATCATTCATGAAAAAGTTGAGAATGGTACAAATCTCATCATAAAGGCATAATGAAAAGAATTTATGATCAGCTGTAACGCTGCAGTGATTGTTGGTAGGATATGGTCTTTGCAGATGTCGGAATTGCATTGCGTTTCTATATCTATGTATTCATAAAGCAGCAGACTTGAAATAGTCATCATAACTTATGGGACTTCCTTGTATTCTGCAGTGAATCCTTTCCAGGCCACTGTGCTGTCAGTTGTGAAAACCATAATTAAAGTGTCTGATGACGTCACAGTTTTTTGTGGGATCTGCAAAGAGGATTGATTTTCACCAATTGCAATATCACAATAGAAGCTTGAACAAAATTATTTATACTCAAAATATAACCAATGCCAAACCTATCCAAAATAGGTGACATTTTATTCTATATTTTGTGAGCTAGACGATTTTTTTTAAAGTTCAAGTGCAACGTAATGTACCAAATATTATTGCAATAATCAAATTCCTCTCACATTGAACAAAAAAAAAAATCGATGACTTACCTTTGCATCACAGTAAGCTCCCAAAAGCTTAGATTTTTCTTTAATACCGTCGTACAATTCAACAACATCGTACCTATAATGCAAGTGTTTTTAAAATAAGTTTTCATTTTACCACTTATTTAGAATTTAAAATTTAACGAAATCAGATGATAAAAGAAAACGTATTTTTCTATGTAATATTAATTTTGTACCGGCATCCCTCCTTGCCATCTTCTAGATCAAACTTGGAGAACTCGAGACTGACATTAGACCCCGGAGAAGCCTTGATATTCCATTGACACTTTTCATTGTTTGGGTAGTTTGTATCTCCATATTTGGCGTGGGAATAAAAGACCTTTGCCTTCGATGTTGCGTTCAGGTTGCCTCCGCAGACTTGTTTAAAGAAACCAAAAGCAATAATTTACTGGAAACAAGTAATATGAAATGCCAATGTTTCACCAAAATCAGGACTTGACAGACAGAAGAAAGTGTTTTACATTCAATCTGCTAGTATTTCCTTTTGATTTTTATTTTTTATATATGGAATAAACCACTAATAATTGTTCTCGGTGTTTATTTTAACATTAAACTCTAGAAGCATATACTTGATAGTTTTCTGTCATTTTACCGGTAGAATAGCTCGCTTGAAATCCTTTTCTTTGGACGGATGCATCCGATTTGAACTTGATGATCAACTCGTTTTCTTCCGATAAGATGTAAGAAGGAACATCGGATATACCCCCGCAAAACTTTCCAAACAGTTTAGTAGGTGTGGTGAAAACTTCAATATAATCGTATTCACATTTATCGTGGGGTTCTATGGAGAATTCATCGAAGGTAATCTTGATTCGATGACCGGGAGCTGTCTTAAAGTTCCACTCACAGTTGGATTTGCTGGGGTAGAATTTGGGCCACAGGGGACTTACTATTACACCTTTATGATTGCGGAGATGATGTCTACAACCTTCAGCGTCTAAAATAAAAATATGTCCAAATGCCAATTTCCTGTTTCTGTTACTATATTTAGTAAGTTAAATAGTATCAGTTCTAGGTATATGTTATCGTGTATCTAATTTAACGATTTTTATTTTAAAAAAGAACAGAATATGAAGAACTTGATTGTATAAATATTTGTCTTTGACTCTACAGTTACTTGTTAATTTATCTGTTCAGAAAACCATAGTAAACTAACCTTCCTTGCAATCGTGTTTGTTTTCATGAAGTGTGTAACCGTTATGACATGCGCACATGTAACTTCCTATTGAATTTATACAAAGGTGTTGGCATCCACCCTTACGTACAGCACATTCGTCCTTATCTACAAAAGAAACGACAAATAACGTAGCTACCCATCCTAAATTTACATCAACAACCACCATCAAGAAAACAGGCGATACACATGATCGCATCCATTACACGATTCATCTGAATTCAATTTCCATCAAATTGAACGTGAGAAAAAGTCAGAGCAATTTTAAAAAAGAAAATGGAGGATGGCAAACCAATGAAATATTCTGCATGGAAACCAGTGTGTTGTACGGAGTCGTCGGAGTTGAACTTGACCTGGAGTGAATTGGACTCGGACGTGATGATAGCAGGAAGATCCGGTCCACAGAATCTGCCGTAAGCTTTGTTGTAGCCATCTCCGCTGTTGATTTCAACATAATCGTACTCACAATCTTGCTAGGAAATGAAACTCTTACTTTTTATCAATATTTTATTGCATTGCAAATTAATGTGACAATGATTAGATTTAATATAAACCCAATCATATTAATGTATATTCAAAGTTATCATTCTGACATTTTATGTACCATTACTTACTAGTATTTCTGTTTATATACTATTACATCAAACCATTAACTAAAACAAAAAATTAACGGGAAAAAAATTGACTAGACATTGCACATATATTATAAATATTTTTGTAGCTCAGGGAGACGTCATACATTTGTTCCTTCAATATCAAAATGAGTGAAGTTGAGTGAGATCTTATACTGGTCTGGAGCCATCACTTGCCAAATGCACGTCTTGGAGGGGGGATACGAGTCCGGGAAGGAAGGACTGAAGATTGTCCCTGTAGACTGTTCCAGGTACCCACCACAGGCATCTAAAAACATCATTTACTTAATCTACTGTTAATTAAAAAAACTTTGATTTATATAGAGAATTGGGACAATACTCCCCACTAAATTGTTTGATAAAGTATAGGCGCATCGAGTCAATGTCCTAATTCTTTTCCACTGTTACATATACTCTAATAATCAATATACATGTATACTAGTATACAAGAACAATTAAAGCTGTATGTGAATTTATTCAACATTTTCCCCTTAATTATGCTATTACTAGTACTAGCGATATTTATAAAAGATAGGTCAGAGGTCATCATGGAGTCATGAAGTGGTCAGTGTAAGTGCTCCGGAAATTTTTGTATATAACAACGATATATTCACCAGTTCGGGTCAAAAATTGCCAGGTAACATCTACCCGTATATGTATTGACTGTCTTTTAGCAACATGTGCGTTATTTTCCTATTTTTATTACTTTGTGATCGTTTTATTGTTCTGATGTGGGGACAACTCTGGAGCTGAACTGTACTCAAGATGTATAAATAGCTATGTCTCTCTCAGATACAGTCCAGATAATGGCCGAGTCACAAATTCTATTATCTACGGGAACACTTCCAACCCCAGTAATAGTGACAGCGACGTATCATTACACTCAATTCACTCGTTACTTATTCAAATGAATTCTAGACTCTGTGAAATCGAGAGCAAGATGTCCCAATTAAATGTTATTCAAAGTGATGTGGCCAAAATCAAGACAAAAGTAACTGATCTAGACTCAGAAATAAAGAACATACGTAGTGAATTCAAAGACCTTGAGTCTAATGTAAGTTCTTTGGGGTTAGTATTTGACTCTGTGAAAGATACGGCGGAAGCGGCTAAGAAACAGGCTGAAAGTAATAAAAATGACATCAAGAGAGCAGGTCATGAATATAGAGCAGCACAAAGTCAGACTGAGCGAGATATACAATTATTAAATAAAGAAAATGCAGAAATTAGAGACTCTATCATCGACTTAAAAGCCAGATCCATGAGAGACAATCTAGTGTTTTCAGGCATTCCAGAACAGAAAGGAGAGGACACAGAGGAGGTTCTGCAACTTTTCCTTCGGAAGAAATTTAGGCTTGATTGCGAACTTTCATTTGAACGGGTCCACAGGATGGGAAAGTTCAGAGAATTCAGTGAAAAACCTAGAAACATTGTAGCAAAATTCACGTATTTCAAGGACCGGGAATACATCAGAATCAAAGCGCCACATAGACTCCATGGATGTAACATCTGGGTAAATGAACAGTTTCCGGCAGAAATCGAGGAGAGGAGGAAAAAACTCTACCCCGTTATGCGACAGGCGAGACAAGACAGATGCACGACCAAGCTAGTGCGAGATGTGCTATATATTAACGGGAAAGTGTATACACCTCCACCTCCACTTATAACGGAGATGTCGGAAGAAACACCATCCTTCAGATCCTCCGGGCAGTCATCACACGGAAATCGGTGGACTCAAAATCAGCAGACACCTAGGGGCGAGCGACCAACCCAGAAGAGACCGCGCACTGGATCTACTCCAGACCGCACTGACGACTAGGGGGGCGCAGGAGAGCAGACATCCACCAAATGTAATGACTCTGTACTGACACCTGATCGAATACAAAACACTTTGAATTTTTTATCTTTAAATGTCTGTGGAATTAAAAACCGGCTAAATTATAACGAATTTAAAGAATTTATTACCCAATATGATATAATAGCCTTCACTGAAACAAAAACCGATAATTCTGACGAAATTGATATCCCAGGATATACAACATTTATGAAAAACAGAAATAAGCTTTCAAAAGTAAGATCGGATGGATTGATATTAGCAGTACGTGATGAAATCATAAAGCATGTAAAGATTGTAAATACTGATTGTAAATATGTGCTATGGTTTAAGTTAAATAAGTCACTTTTTCATACGTGTGAAGATTTGATATGCGGAGTTGTGTATATACCGCCTGAAGCTAGCAAATATTCTTGTACAGATTGTTATATAGACTCATCAATGTTTCAAAAGACCAAAAATATGTATGTTTAATGGGAGATTTTAATGCTAGAGTCGGGAATTTAAAGGATTATTTTACTGCAGATAATTTTTTGACACATGTTAACCATTCAGAAGGTGCATTTGAAGCCTCTATGTTATCAAGGGCTTTTATTTTTGAAAAATATGACATTCCTTTAGATAGAGCTGTTGAAGATACAATTGTCAACAATTTTGGCCATAAATTAATAGATTTCTGTAAAAATAACGATTTGTATATTGTAAATAGTAGATTCGGTACAGACAAAAACAAAGGTGGTGCTACTTGTAAAAACAGTAGTACTGTGGATTATGTTATTGCAAGTGTACACATTTTTGAACTTCTACAACATTTTAAAGTACATGAGTTCTGTAATCTTTTTTCCGATGTACATAATCCATTGTCTTTTTCTTTGTCCACCTGTTCAATGTCTAAAAATAGTTCCATGTGTGAAAACCAACCAGGTGTAAAGTTATGGTGCCCCAATAGGGAAGCCGAGTTCCGTAATAACATTGATACTTCAGCTGTGAAGTCAGTTGAGTGTAACCTTATCGAAATGAGTAATAATGATATTTCAAGCACTGATATTAATAAGGTAGCAAAAGATATTTGTAATATTTTTACTAAATCAGCCAAAGAAACTTTTGGAAGTTTTCCAACCGGTCAATATTCAGAAAATAAAAAACAAAACAAACCTTGGTTTAATAGAGAATGCAAAACAGCTAGAAGAAAATTTCACTTAGCTAAAAGAATGCATAACTTGTGTAAGTCAAAAGAAGACAAACAAAATCTTAGAGAGATGAGTAGAAGTTATAAAAAATCATGGATAATAGTATTAGAAATTATAAGGCTGACCTAACCCGTAAACTCATGCAATTACGCACTACAAATACTAAAGCTTACTGGAAAATATTAAATTCTTCTAATAAAGAGTCAAAGAGTGCAGTAGATATTGAAGAGGTATTTAAATATTTGAAAGGTATTAATGAATGTAACAGTGAGACTGATGATGATGATTTCAATTCGGCTGATAGAGATCTAGAAACGAGAGAATCCTCTGATGATACACTTAATCGTGAAATTAGTGAAACTGAAATTATTGAAGCAGTAAACAAATTAAAAAATGGAAAAGCATCTGGTTTCGATAACATTGTAAATGAACATATTTCATCAACACTGTATACCTTTCTACCTGTGTACAAGATGTTTTTTAACATTATTTTTGATAGTGGACTGGTTCCAGATGAGTGGCTAGTGGGTATTGTTAAACCTATTTACAAAAATAAGGGCGATCCGACTTCTCCAGAAAATTACCGTCCTATTACTTTATTGAGCTGCTTGGGCAAACTTTTTACAAGTATATTAAGCAAGCGATTAGAAATGTACGCAGATGAGATTGAACTTATTAAAGAGAATCAGGCAGGTTTTAGGAAAGAAGACTCTACTCTAGACCATATTCTGACTTTACATTTTTTATCAAACACACTGATGAAGTGTAAGAAAAAACTTTTTTGTGCTTTTATAGATTTCAAGCAAGCGTTTGACACTGTTTGGAGAAACGGCCTCTGGAGTAAACTTTTAAATTATGGAATTAAAGGCAAATGCTTCACGTATATTACAAATATGTATCAGGGTATTAAATCACTTATAAAGATGAACGGCACTACAACCGATTTTTTCTTTTGTAATGTCGGAGTACGACAAGGTGAAAACTTATCTCCTTTTTTATTTTCGTTGTATATTAATGACCTAGAGAATTATCTTGTTGATAGAAATATAATTGGTTTACAAAGCCTTACGACTTCTATAGAAAATGATTTATGTGTGTATTTGAAACTTCTTATACTTTTATATGCCGATGATACTGTCATTTTAGCAGAAACTCCTGATGATCTACAAAATGCTTTGAATGAATTTGAAAGCTACTGCTCATAGTGGAAATTACAAGTAAATATAGAGAAGACCAAAATATTAATTTTTTCTAAAGGCCCTTTAAACAAAAGAGTTTTTTACTATAATAACAAGATTCTAGAAACTGTCAAAGAATTTAAATATCTTGGTATCATATTTTCAAGATCTGGCTCCTTTTTAAAAGCCAAGAAACATCTCTGTGACCAAGCCCAAAAAGCTATGTATGGTGTTATCAGAAAAATAAGACAATTTAACCTCCCTGTAGAATGTCAACTTGATCTGTTCGATAAAATGGTTTTACCAGTGTTACTTTATGGTTGTGAAATCTGGGGTTTTGAAAACTTAGATATTATTGAACGTGTTCATTTAAAATTTTTGAAACATATTCTATATTTGAAAAGTAGTACCCCGAATTATATGGTTTATGGTGAAACAGGACGTTTTCCATTATCTGTCCTTATTTATTCAAGAATAGTCTCATACTGGTGTAAATTATTGAATAGCACAGATAAGAAAATTTCATGTATATTGTATCAATTTTTAATTGCTAACTCACAATCTGAAATTAGTAAGAATCCTTGGATTGACTGTGTTAATCGTATTTTTGAATCATGTGGACTTTCTTATATCTGGAATGAACAGTTTTATCATAATCCTAATCAAGACTGGGTTACTGCTGTTGTTAAACAAAGATTACAAGATCAATTTATACAAAAATGGCATTCTGATATTAACAGTTCTTCCAAAGGTACTCTGTATAAAATTTTTAAAACAAATTTTGAGTGTGAAAAGTATTTAAGTATTCTGTCATTAAAATTTAGGAAAATACTTGCCAAATTTCGTACTACTAATCACCATCTACCAGTTGAGCTGGGAAGATGGGCATCAATACCATTAAGTGAAAGATTATGTACACTTTGTAATGCTAAACAAGTTGCTGATGAATTTCATTTTATGCTTGAATGTACTGCACTGTCAAACATAAGGAAAAAGTATATTAATGAATACTACTTTACTAGACCAAATGTTCTTAAATTTTCTCAACTGATGACAAAACAAGATGCTATGACACTTAAAAAACTCTGTACGTTTATATTAAAAATATATGATTTAGTCTGTCCTCCATAATTGTTTTCCTCACATTTCATTATTACGTGTTTTTTTTCCTCCCTTTTTCCATTTTTTTTTTCTCTTCATTTTCTTCTCCACTTCATTGTCTTATTATGTATATCATATATTTATACCTCTGACCAGAATGTACATATGCTGTAAATATTTTTCATTGTCCTCATGTACCATATACTTTAAATGGTTTGAGTGAATAAATGAACTTGAACTTGAACTTGCATTGTGTTCCAATATGAAAATATCCTCTAACTTTGAGTCCCCTCCTCTCTGAGAATTTTATGAAAAATGTACTCACTTTCACACCGTTTGCCATCCGAATGAAGTTCGAATCCCAGTCTGCAGTCGCATTTATAGCTGCCCATAGTATTAATACAGATCTGTTGACACCCATGAGTTCCCAAAGAACACTCGTCAATTTCTTTTTTGCAATGGAGAAAAAAAATCCTTAGATCCGCTTACCTTAGCCATCGCAGGGGAGCGGATCAAAGGATTTGAATTAAATGATTGAAGATTAGAGCGTTACGGATATAATACCTTTAAAGAATTTCAAGAAAAAACCTCTTTTCATAACACTATCATCAGAAAAGAATTTGATGTAGATCTGGTTAGATGAGGACAGGATTGTTTTAGGTGCAGAATAACCACAAAGGAGGGCCAAAATGGGAGCTTTCTTGTCGGTACCATCTCGTACTTCTAAGTGATCATATACACAGTCGTCGTGGTTTTCAATCTTTAAAACAAATATTATATGAGGATTAGAATGAAAACAATGCATGTAAGGAAATATCCTGAAAAACGAAAAATATTCAACCATGACTTGTATCGAAAATAATAAAGAAAAGGGAAGAAACGCCATTCTTCACAAGAATTAAGATAAAAAAATCTCATGAACGAGTTAATGTGCTCACTTCTAAAAAATCAAACTGAAGAGCTACTTTATACTCTTTGGACACTGTAATCACCCATTCACACAATCTGTTAGAGTAGTACTCATCAGGATAATTAGGGCTGGTCAAATGGCCAGAATCCTCGTTGATCAAACCGCCACATTTGGCTGCAGAGGCAAAAAGAAAATATTATACATTGTACACTTATCCCATGGTTGTGAGTGGGATAGCTCTTTTATCAAACCCGCGACAGGAACTATTCCCCGAGGGCTTGCCCGAGGGGAATAGTTCCTGTCAAGGGTTGATGAAAGAGCTATCCCAATCACAACCATGGGATAAATGTTTTATTATACTGATGTAAATTATAATTTCTTAAGTTTGAATTTTCTTTGGAGTTAGATAATACTGCAAGAATGAGCCGAAATCCTGATGACGTCACAATGCTACTGAAGTCATTATGACATCATCAGGCTATGGTTTTATCTCTGGAAATCAAAATTGGTGTCAAACATTGCATGAAAACTTTCCGAGGGGTGGGTAGCAAAAACTATACCCCGGGGTATAGCTTTCAATGCGGGGAAATTTTCAGACTATGAAGAATAGTTATTTTACCCTCTGAACTTTATATAGGAAACATTTTAACAGAAGTATAATAATATTATTTATCATCTTGAATAAGGCAAGGAAGATTTATTATTTTACTATAGTATACTTCTTTACCTTCAAAATTTGCTTCAAATCCTGAATCATAGAAATAACTGGAGTGGAATTCTAGCCACAATCTGTTCCCTGTGGATTCAATGGGGAGAGGAACCGTTGTACCACAATACCGGCCTGATATATACGAATGGTCTTATTAATTTGAATGCATGGGATGCTGGATGAATTATGAAAAGAGTACTGAACAAATTAATAAAATTGAAAAAAAATGTACTGGTATGCAAGCGATAAGACCTACCAATTAAAGGCGACTTCTTGAAGTGTCCGTCTCGAATTTCTAGAAAGCTGTTCGAACACGCGTCTGAGGTGTTCCCGGTATCGAGTGAAGTTATATTCAGGAAGAGTGTTTCTCCATAGCCCGCCGAAATCCTCCACTGACACTGTTTGACAACACCTCGCGTTGAGTTAAACGATATAGTTCCCGAAGATTCCTGATGAGTAGCTCCACAAGCTTCAATATTTCAAAAGAAACTGTATAGCTGAACATATTAATGGAATTAAATGGAGGAGTAAATGTTACAGACTAACTTGGAAAGACAAAAATTGCAGCAAAAACTAACAGATATCATAACTGAAGTACAGAGAGAAGTATTCATTTTTCCTCATGCATTCCGGCTTCACTTACATGGGCATTTGTAGAGCTTATTTGTTTGTATGATATCTCCAATACTAAGATGAGTCCTTTGACCAATTTCAGGAACTGCTTGGTTTTCGTGTGTGATAGGTTTTATTGTATCTAAGTCACCTGTTCTTGCAAATGTGTTCCTGGAATAATGCATTATGCTAGAGAAATCATATTCTTCGCCAAGCGAGTTTATCTGGGATGTTGACATCTTTGCAAAATTATTTTCATGATCTGAAAGGACGAAAGCCAATATATACACGAAATCAACACAATATGTAATATTATGAATATTATATCATTAATATTTACTAAAACAGATTTGGAAACAATGTCTATATGACCTACTTTCCTGGATATTCTGTGTCAATATTTGTATGTATTTATCCCTATCTGGTCGCGTGTGTTCGTGCCAGAATCCAATCACGTGACCCAATTCATGAACAACGATGCCAAATTTATCACAATTTTTCCCAATGGAAATGGCTTGTGCTCCTCGCAATTCTCTCCCAACAAATGAGCAACACCTTCAAAAGACAAACTGAACACTGATGGACATCATTCTGGAAAGCTACATAAAGAATTCGAAGTGATAAAAAAAGAACATGTTCTCACCCACATGGTCTCTGTGTGAATACGATGAAATCAGGTTCAGTTGTTCGTTCCACGAAGGTGATACAAGTATAATTTTCCCAGTGGCGCATAGCAGATATAAAGACGGCCTTTTGGATAGCTAAGATTAAATGTACAGAAATTTCTTTAATCTGGACTTGCATATAATGACAAAAGGATAAATTAACAGGTATCTTATTTATCAATTTTTGAAGGTACAATCATTTTTAATTGTTGACTTTTGCTGTCTCCACAAATCGTTACCTATAGTAAAAAGTAACAATAAGGTACAAATAATGTTTCAACAGAGTTATGGAATCACACCATTAATGAAATGACAGTTCATGTACCCTTCAAGAAGCTTAATAAATTTTTTTCGTAACTTCTATCATGAATAGCAGAAGTTAGAAAATGCGAGTACGCTTGGTATCCCTTTGTATATACAATTCTTTGATATACCAGTGAAGTTAGAATCAACTTTATATGGAATGACGCCGTCTTGCCAAAGACGGGCGGGGTCGGCTGTTGCCGCACGACGTCTCCGAAAGCTTCCACCTCGCGGGTACGTCCGATATGAAGGTATATATCTACAAAAACAACGTTCTAGTCTACAGAGCTCTCCTCATTTCTCATGTTTCAGTGTAGTTTGTTGCATAAAGAACGTTTTCTAAGAAATATTTTCTGGGATATATTGTTATATATATATTTTATTCTGATTGAAGTTGTTTTAACAGAAAGAACGTGATGATGATAAAAGTTTATGAATGAAGATCTTAATAATATATGTTCAAAGGCTTACTAGCATTGATAAAACCCTTAATAATGAATAAGGAAACCATCTAACAAAAGATGTAGAAAGGTTGTGTTTTTCAAGTACATCCAGTGCACGGAGAGGAAGTGGCCTCTATGATGTAGATTACACAAAAATTCACATCAGTGTCGGCCACAAACTATTCCTTCAAAAAACCTATCCTTAATATTTAAAAGCTCTTGAATTCAACTCCACATGGACTGCATAACAATTAATACATTTGTACTTTGGAGTAGAAACATGCCGCAGTTCATACAGTTTAATGCTCTGAAAACTAAAAGCCCTCACTGACTCATGTGCATGAGAAAGAAAAAAAGCAGGGATAACAGTACAGGTTTTTCTGTCTCTTACAAATTAAAAAAAAATCCATAAAATGCCTTTAAATTCTTATCAGATAAATGGACATTATTTGATTAGTATTTCAATTAGTGTAAAACAACGGGGAGTCTTAAACTGCAAGCCTTACGGAATCGGTCGTCTGCTTTGACTTTGGCGGGAACGCAGCAAGTTTCTGTAATATGCCAGGCCTCCAGAATTGCAGGCAATGTCCGTTACACGGTACTCTTAAAAAAGAAAAATAGTGAAAAAATTAATATTTTTTTAAAATCAAAACTGGACATTTTCATTTTGGTGAGGATGTTTTCTTTGCAAGAATAATCAATTTCTTTATTTGTTTGAAAGTATTAACGCACCTGCTTCGTTGTTGGAAATATCTTTGTGATGACATAATCAGAAATATTAATTAAAAATGTGTGGTTGTTATGTAAAAAAGTGTTATAAAATACAGAACATTGAATTTCTTGAGTCAATACAAATTTTAATCTTTTAAATTTGGCATTTTTTTAATGTGTATTTTTCCCGTTATCTTTGTATTATTGCTAGATTTAAAAAAAAAAAGTTCTGAAAAATTCTTCTTAAGAATAACGATATTTCATTTTATAAACATAATATATAGTTCCTAAATTTTTATCTTTTATTTTTTTATTCAAATTTAAAACATTGTTATTCATCGAAAAATAACCCAGAACATTTCATGATGCTAAATATATAATTGACATTTAAAACGGTTAAGAATAATTTTCATTCTTAACTGTCTTCCTGTTCAAAAGCAAAATATAAAATAATAATACTTTTTAAGTACTTTAATATTCCCTTCGAAAAAAGATTTTTAAGAGCGTTTAAGCTATTGTAGAAAATGAAGTATATTTTCAAAAATTTGAAATATATCAAACCTGCTTTGCTTGGATCTGCGTACTGGCCACTGGAAATGACATCAGACAACGAAGAACCACAGAAAATGGCAAAAAGTACACAACACAAGCTAACATCCATAGTGAAGCCCTGTATCTCAGAAATTAAATTTAAATATTGATGCACCCGTTCATCCTACAGACTGATCTCGTAAACTGATGTCAGAGCTCGGCAGCCCTCGATTTGAGAGTGTCCTTGGCAAAGCTTTTTGCTGTATTGAACCAGCTGTGGGTAATATAAATAATTGTAGATAAAAATGAGATCGGGCGCACATGCCTTCTATCTCAAATCACACAATTATCACAACCGCATATTACAATCTCTTTGAGAGATTCACGATATGTGTTTTGGCCACTTTTGATCATTTAAAATGCACGTTGTTGGAGAGAAATTTTACACTCGGGTGATGGAAATAAAAATCAAGACAAAGAGCGTAAAAAATATAATGAGGCTTTTTTCCCCTTTTTCACTATGGCTTTTTATCTCTTTCTTTCCACAAATCACTCAACGCTTTCAATACCCATATGCTTGGTAAAAGAATACAGTCCAGAAGAAAGGGTCTTTCCTTGTAATTCCACTTTCTTGGTAGTTGGGGAAAGAGATTGAATTTTTACTGTTGAAGCTAAAGACACTTGATGTATACAGGTTCCTTCAACTTTAACCTTTTATCAACAGTCACAGCAACTTGCGGTGGGAGTTATCAGTAGACGTAGGGGAGGTGTTAAAACGATATATTTTGATGTTTTCATCAAATATTGGTTATTCATTGCATGTTTGCCTATATTTTTAAGGAATAGACTTTCATAACATTCAGTCTGAACTTGGAGGGCAGCAGCTGGACAACTGCATTTCTCGTCATGACCTTTCTTGTTTATTTATTTTAATTTTTTTGTTTAGAAATTTATGTTTTGACTAACAAAATGTAATTTCTTCTTGACAGGCATAAATTCTACACAACACTGATGTTCAACATCTGCATTATGTTGCTCTAAACACTGTATTTTGAGACTTTCTTGGACACTGGACAGCGAGTCCTACTTGTAACATCAAGGTACAAAAATGTTTTTTTTTAAAACATTAATAAAAAGTACGTACTCAGTATTCATAATTATGATTTATGAAATTAATTTGTTTCAGTATACAGAGAGATAAAAAAAATCCAGGACGTGATATTTATTTGATATCACGCCTTCCAGTTTGGCTCAAATGATGAAGCACCCTCTCTCTCCAAATTATCCGATAGTGCCAATCAAAAGAACATACCAGGCAAGTATGTCTCAGAATTCACTTTTTCTTTGAGTGCCGAATTTACTTGTACCCTACAATAAGACTTGTTTTATATGTACTTTAAAATAGGATCAAAGGCAAATATTTTATATACATGTTTTAAGTCTTTTTCTTTTGTATTAACCTCTCCGATTCTATATTTTATAAGTTTGTAGAAAGCATTATTTGAATATGTGCTATAAAACTAAAAAAGGGCTTTTATTCAAATCATACACTTTAAAGTGTAAAATTTACAGATTAAAGTGTAAATTTTACAGATTAAAGTGTAAAATTTACAGATTAAAGTGTAGAAATTCAAAAAAAAGTGTCCAATTGGCAATAATACGCTTCGTATATTACATAATCTTGTATGTTCCAGAATATTGCCAATTTTCGAGTAGTGTAAATATATGTTTGGTATATTTTCCACACGTAAAAAAAGGCTAGCGATCATATAAAATTATCATCGCTTATAAAAGAAGCTTAAAAACAAAAACTTCTATAAAACGCTTAATCCACCATGAGCAAACAATATATATTTTTTTACAGAAACGTCTACAAAAGAGGAAAATTCCTTCAAAAACTTTAATTTTGTTCAACAAAAAACAAAACATAAATATATTTGCTGAACATGTATTCTTTATCATTTTTGACGGTTTAATGGTACCAGATAGCCTCAACCATTAATACGCGTTTGAGATAGCAGAGTACTGAGTATTTGAAATATACCGATTTCTCTCCTTTTTTTGTAGATAATTCTATTAAAATTGTCTATCACGTCAATTTAAATCAACAACCATTTGTATCGTCGATTTTAATTTTTTCAATCTGAAATTGGAAATAGTTACGTGGGATAAATTATAAAATTTAATCATTTCAACTTCACTTTGAAAAATTTAAAATTGACAATATCATAGGTGAGACATGAAGATAATGAACAGAAACCAAGCCCAGAAGTCCATTGGTACAATACAACTGCGAAACACTTCAAACACGCACCTGTCAGAACATCAGTTATGGAATCATGGCCCATGGAGAAGTAAGCATCCCCTGTCACACCCGCCATGTGTTCCTTGTCATGATCGAATAAAGGGATAAAGGTGAAAAAAAATATTAGGCCAAACTTTCTGTTTCAAAAAAGTCACTTAGCATAGATTGTAGGTTGTATTTGCTTCCCAGAGTCCGACTGTATCGACATTGAGTTTGCGAAATGATGACTATGAACGAGATAACTGATATCCTTATCTTGTTTCGATGATACAATCTGTTTTGAGTTTATTATACACTGCTTATGCTGTCTTGGCAAAGAAAGAAAAGACACGTAATATCAATATTTTAGTTGTTCCACATCAATGCACTTTAAATTTACATCCACTGAATATTTTCTCCTTTATTTCTTACGGAAACCCGTGGCATGAATCACTGCATGAACTACATTAGGGATGTCGCCTGATTTCTTGATCAGTTGCTGCTTCATCAATGAAACGTATAAAGGCATTCGCATCATTAATACAATAATCAATCTTTTTAATCTTACTTTAAATGATCATATAAACAGATATAAATATAAACAATAAAATGTCTTTCTTTGTTTGTTATTACTGGAATTAACGGTCGCAGCTGTTGCAGAAAAAATACATAACCCGCGTAAAATTAATTCCAGTAATAACAAACAAAGAAAGCATTTTATTGTTTAAATTAATATTATTTTAAAGGAAAGGTTTTACATTTAGACAGTTTGAACACTTGGCATAATGTCACATTAAAAATTATAATCTAAATTTTTAATTTATTTATAACTATCTAGATAGTTATACAAGTTTATTTTAGACTTCATTTTTTTATGTAACACAAGAAATACCTTTACATTATTTATGTTCAAACGAATGTTATTGAACGGGATTCAAGTAAACCATTAGTTTACTTGAAACAAAAATTGGATATGCTAATTACTGATGTTTCTTTTAAAAAAGGAACTTGAATTTTGCATTATTTGATTTAAATGTCACTTGAAATTGTAATTAATAGTTTACTGAAGATCAAATAAATCAATTACTACTCTTTTGGGAGGAAAAACATATTTCAAATATTGAAGGTTTTGGCTAACTGGAATGGAAATTACAAATTTGATTTTTGGAAGATGTTAAATGTGAATTAAAAGTTAGTTTTTTAAAAAGACTAATAAAATGAAGCAAATGAATAACACTGACATTTGAAGGAAGTAACAAATTTTATTAGTGGAAAATTAAGTATGTTTGCATAACGACTTTCATTCATACAAAAACTACACATATATACACTTCAATTGAAAAATCATTCAAAGATCTATATTTAATAATATTTTACACATATTCAAAAATAATGGGACCGTGAACGTTAAGTTAGTATTTCACAATGGAAGGTTCCAGAGGTTTCCTGGTCGCTTTGAAACCAAACATGCATGAAATGAATGTGGATTCCAGATATATGGCGGGTAAGTCCAATTCGACCTTTCAACTTAAAGGTCAAAGTTTATTGTAGAAAAAAAAAAACTAACTGTGAAATCAAAGCAAAAAAGTGCAAAGCAAACAAGCGTGCTTACAATTGGTATTTACATCAGTTGAAATATCATTGCCTTCAGGGTTTAAAAACAAGTTGTCAAAAAAGATAAGAAACAGCAAGCAATGTGCATGTCGCAATGAAAGAAAGAAATGCGAGTGACAATATTGGAGAGTTGATATTTCAACTGCAAGTGTTGGTAAGGAAAGTGCAATTCCTAGAGGCGTGTTCCCCTGCACAACGGTGGTGATTAGTCGGTCAAAATAAAGTCTTTAATCAGCAATTTTAATCGCCCATCATCAGTTTTAAGAATTCTGGAAATGATATAAGAAGAGTTATCATAAAAAGCTGAAATAAGTCGTAACAATAGCAATGCGCAAAATTATCGAGCGTAACAGCAACAAAAATACATAAAACACACAAAGGTTATAACTACTCCTCTGTATATATTTATTATTTTTTAAATCTTTACAAGCAGGTTAGTGCGCATGTGTTAAAACAATATGGAATGATAGGAAGAAGTTTTATGATCAGTTCATAATAAAAACTGCAAAAATGAAAAGGCTAGGGTACGCCGCAATTTCTTGCCAAAAATGATCCAAATTCGTCAGGAGCTGGACGTGTATAATTTTTTGCTTTTTATTCATATGGATGTAAATTCCTTCAAAAATATTGCAAACAGCAAGCTGACGAATGGGACGCGAGCGTACGATAGATTTGTGTTGCCTGATGCAAAAAAGGACGAAAACTGTATCCAACTCTCATTCTGAAGTCATCAAGGCTTTGAATTCTGGAAAAAACAAAAACTCGTATACTACATAATAGTCATGCATTACGACACTAAGTTACATTCCAAAAAAATCCGTACAAAAAATAAATAAGGAACATAACCATGTGCAATAAGGTTGTTCGAAAAGTTTTGAGGGTTCAAGTACACAGACAATTTGTCTACTCTACCAAAGGATATAACATTTAAAGATGACGGATACACGTATAACTTTATCTCTTTCTAAATAACAGGCTGATAGCCTGAGCTACGAACACAGCAGTCTGTCAATGCAAAGTACACAACTACCAATCCACTAATACTGAAATTTAGCGCAATACCGTCAAAAATTTTTCTGTTTATTTAAAAAAAAAAGAAAATAATTTGGCAACCGAAGTCGATAAAATATATACCTTCATAATCAACCGTTCCGGAACCATCTGTATCGGTTTCTGCAATCATATCATCTAATTCCTCATCCGTGAAATCGTCTCCTATTGATTTTAAAATCCATCTTAGATCTTCTACTGGAATTGTTCCCTTATTTCCCTTGTCTAGTACCCTAAACGCTTCTCGAAGTTCTCTCTCGTCCTCGTTCATCCTTATTTTACGCTCAAACAAAACTTTGAACTGTTCCCAATTCAGATATCCTTCAGCTGGAAAAAAAGAATGGTTTATGCTACTTCTATCTTTATAATGATTTTAAGGAACCTTTTAAAATCATATCGATTGGATTATTTTTAACATTTTATAATCCATGCATGATGCAACAGCGGGGACTTCGTTTGGAAAGGATAAAATGTAACAAACATACGAATTGGATTACCAGTATATGCCATAGATATAAAAACAGAATTCCTACGACTTTTTCATTGATTGAGCAACATCTTTTGGGAACGTATTGCTAGATTGGTCAAAAGACTGAAGGATAGCTTAAAAGTTTTACATATATGTTAATTATTTCTATATTAATCTTATGCCTGATTGGAATAGACCTTGTAGAATGAAGACTGCAATAAAATAATGAAATTTACTGCTAGTATACATAGACCTTTATTAGCTCTACTGGTCAGAGACCAGAAGAGCTTATGCAATAGTAAGGTGTCCGTCGTCCGTCCGTCTGTCTGTCTGTCTGTCTGTCCGTCTGTCTGTAAACAATTTTTCAAAAACGCTACTCCTCCTACAGTTTTGGTCTGATTTTTATATAACTTGGCACACAAGTACACTACACTAAGATACATAAAATAGTGCATCGGATTTTGATTTCGATGAACGGTGTTGCCATGGTTACTAAAAATAGAATTTTCTGGACTCCTACAGTTTTGGTCTGATTTCAGTATAAGTTGGCACACAGATAGACTACACTAAGATACATAAAATAGTGCATCGAATTTTGAATTACCATGGTTACTAAAAATAGAATTTTCTTGAAATTCCTTTAAAATGCTACTCCTTCTACAGTTTTGGTCTGATTTCAATATTACTTGGTACACAAGTAGACTACACTAAGATACATAAAATAGTGCATCGATTTTTGATTTTGATGAACGGTGTTGCCATGGTTACTAAAAATAGAATTTTCTGTGAAATTTCTTAAAAACGCTACTCCTTTTACAGTTTTGGTCTGATTTCAATATAACTTGGCACACAAGTAGACTATACTAAGATACATAGAATAGTGCATTGGTTTTTGATTTCGATATGCCATGGTTACTAAAAAAGAATTTTTTGTGAAATTCCTTTAAAACGCTACTCCTTCTTATTTCAATATAACTTATAGACTTAAGATACATAAAATAGTCTCGGATTTTGATTTCGATGAACAGTGTTTCCATGGTCACTAAAAATAGAATTTTCTGTGAAATTCCTTAAAAATGCTACTCCTTCTACAGTTTTGGTCTGATTTCAATATTACTTGGGTAGACTACACTAAGATACCTTCGGTTTTGTGATTTTGATGAACAGTGTTTCTATTGTTACTAAAAGTAGAAATGTCTGTGAAATTCCTTTAAAACGCTCTACAGTTTTGATCTGATGGCAATGGCTTCTTTTCTCATCCTTTGTTATAAGTACAAACCAGTAGAGCTACAGTCTCGACAGAGACTTCTGGTTTTTATTTAGAATTCTGAATCGGGTGCTTCAAAATTTTGGGGAAAAATATTTCTAGGGCAAAAATTAAAATAATTCAACTTTTCCTCATCTCTATCTAATTTCTTTTTTACAGTTGCTTTTCTAGGGTAAATTGTAAATTTCACAGAGATGCTAATTGAAGTCAAACTAAACATTATGTTGAATGACTTGTAAAACTTTTTGTTTGACATCTTTCTCTTTTTGTGTTTAAACAAGAACTGATATCAAAGCGAAACCATCTGTGTGTGGTTTCTGTCAGTTTAGAATATTATGATAGTTTGTTGCATTTATACTTAACAATGAAAGTTCGCATACCAGTTCACTAACTGTAACTACAAAATTCACTAGGAATGCTAATAACCGGGGCTTGATACTTTTCTTTGCAGTGTAAATGATAACTACAACGTTGTCTTGTGTCAGATGATAACAAGATGATTAACTACAGAGAAAGCAAGGATTGATATATAGACTGGTATGAAGACGAGGTTGTGAAGGCACAGTGTTTTGACTTCATAAAAAATGTTTCAAATTGTACAAGTAAAGTGTACTCTTAAGGAATTCGGTCAGTGTTTATATTTCTTCTGATCTTATCTATACGTACAACCAATCGCAGAATAACGCCAAATCTTATAATATCGCACACAGTCACTACTGCTGATTAACATAATTCTGTTAATAAACCGCGAAACGTCATGCAGTGATTCGAGTGGTCTGGACTTGCAACAAATAGGAATGAAACTGATTAGGGAATTTTGATACGCATGGGATGAAATAAACATCGAATGAATTGACGTCGTTGCAATATTTTTCAATAGATGTTCTTCTCCTATCTAAAACACAAACAAAAGTTGAAAACAGTATTAATTTTGAAAATACATATAAATGACCAAACCTTCCTCGTCCATTTCGTCAGCCCATTCTTTCAACTGTTCATCGTTAATTTGAAGGGCTAAACTTTTGAAGACTTTTTCCAGTTCTTTTGTTGATACCCGTCCATCACCCTTTTTGTCGAAAAGGTTAAAAGTATTGTGTGCATCTACAATAGGAAAATAGCAACTATTAAAGATGCATTAGACTATTTGCAAACGTTGTTCAGTGTTATCTTTTGAGCTATTGCAATAGTTTTGCAAGAACATGGGGTTCCTTTAGAATTTTAAGTTATGGTATCAACTTGGCTTTGCATATACAATTAACTTTAAGTCAACTGCTTAAGGCACAGTAAAACCGATAAAATCAGATTTCTTTTCATCGGTATATAAAAAAAAAATTGGCACCATCATAGTTAGGATAAAGTTTGCTTTATTTGCGTTGCGATTTGAGTAGTCTGTCTGAATCGTTCGGTTTCACATGTATTTTGTACACATGTAACACATGCTAAACATTAACCTATCTATGCGGTCTAAGTTAATTACATAGGTACTAGTGAAGACACTTTTTATCTACGCGATCGCTGGACGTGATTATATTTCTTCTTTAGCCTACGTTTTTTTTCCAGACTTTCCCTGCTGCAAAAAAGGCTCACTTCTATAACATATGGCACGTACTCTGAAATTTGAATTAAATGGGTTCCCGATTAATAAACTTCGCAAATAATCTTGCGCCAGATGAATGTTTATTCACTTGCAGAGAAACAGATCTAAACAGGATGAAGCAGTAAGGCTGTGCGGATAGCATCCTGATTGACTTCTACGCTGTGAGTACGTGCAGTCGCCATATTTGGCTGCGCATGTAGATAGGTCGAGATCATTCAGGATTGTAATTAATAAAGTTACGATAACTTTATATTACAAAAAAAGAGAAGTTAAATGAAGATTTACAAAACATAATTATAAAATCTCAAAATGTTCAGTATAATTTTTGGGAAATGTAGACATTTTAAAATCATTATATCGTTCTACATATAAACAACTTAAACAGGCATAGATGAAGCCAATAGAGTTCTGGAAATTGTAATTAATTAACTTACCAGTATATTGCTTTTCAGAAATCTTGAATTCCGACTACAAAAAATATGATATACTATTAGTTTCACTATACAGTACTCAATTTTTTTTAATTTTCTTTATTAACGAACCATCCAAACAAACGAAAACTAAACATAACTCTTAAAAAATAAGACTTCTACTCACCATCTTGATTCTAATATCTCCGAGCTCAGATTAGCAAATTTTTATTTTTCTTTCTCACTGGAAATCGTCTGCTGCGAAAGAAAATACGCATGCGTAGCCGAGTTGTCTTGGAATCCGATCTCTTCTTCTCACATATGCCATTTACGGATCGGAGGTCACGTGAGCGTCTCGATAATATTTATAGAAGAGCTGCGGCAGATTACAAATATCCTTGGTAGCCATAAATAAGCAATAATTATATAATTTTACGTGTCAGGGTGCTTTTTCATTCAGCAGGGTTAATATGATAAACAAAAATGTAGGATGTTAACAGACTCGCAGTTGTCGAAGATAATTTGAAACATATTTTATTTCTAATCTATATTGTATATCAGTATGTAAAAAAAAAAAAAAAAAAAAAAAAAAAAAAAAAAATGCCCGTCTGTTTTTTTTTTTGTTTTTTTTGTTTTTTTTTAATTCAAGAATAGTTGAAAATCCAAGAATTTAAAAAAAAGTCCTTTGAGATAAAAAGAAAATGATATCCAAAATTAATTAAGCATTGAAGTGAATGAAATTAATGTATAAGATTCCATATAAGATATTTTTATGAATGTGTATAACTGATTTTTTAAAATAGATATTGGCCTTTTGTCAAATTTTTGTCAATAGCATTTGAATAAATGAATATTTTAAAATTGATCCAATAAATTTTCTCCAACTATCAATGAAAGCATCCAAGAGTTCGTAAAGGGTTGTTTTATTTTGGTTTCATGCAGTTAATTTTAGGTGCAGTATGTAGACGTAACAATGTGAGTAATATAGTAAAACTTCTCTTCTGTCTGAAGAAGTAATTATGTCTTTCTTGAGGAACAGGTCAATGATCTCGCATTTAAAATTCAATGTAGGGTTTGCTTTAAAAACAGAGATCAAGATCGAAACTTCTTGCTTCACAACGGTGAAAAATTAATATCTTCAGAAATTAAGAAATACGTTTAACAGATTAAAGGGATAAAAAAACGAAATTTTACAGTAAAGTTATACGTAATATTTATCATTACAGAAAAGTGAGTAACACAATAAAAACCAAAAGGGATTCATTCCACTCTCTGTTTATCTTGTTAATGTAATATTTGTGGAATGTTAGAAACTCAGAAAGAGAAAGAAAGGGAAAGAGGGATAGAAAGAGAAAAAGAAAAGTATCATCGATTTTCTTTTACTCCATTGGTCGCTTTTATTTAAATGTCTAGAATCGTTGACGACGTGTGTTACATGCTTTTCTTTTTTCAACAACTTAGAGTCATAGCCTGGACCGATTTTCCGTAGTACATATATTACTTGTGTAATTACTGGGCGCCATTTGTAGATAGGTACTGGCGATAATATCTTTCAGATGGTAAGTGCCGCAATGCTACACGCGGGAGATGCTGGTGGCAACGAGGACGCAATCTGATCCGGGGTCTTCACGGTATCCCCCTCATGTAGGTGATCACTAACGCCGCTTCCTCTCTCTCTGTCAAGAGAACTTGTGATTTTCATTGCTTTTTGATGAAAATTGACCATCATTATTCAGACTTGTGAGAGAAAAAATATTTGAAGATAAAGAGTTACCTCTCTTGGATTTTTTTTCTTCTGTTGGAGACTTCTTTGACTCACGGGGGCTGGGAATGTACCCTGTGTGTCACCGGTCGGCGGAGGAGAAAATTTTGTTTATTTGATTATTGAATAAAGACTACATCATCGAAGTAGACAGAACGGAGTTTTGTTCCGTCAGCTGTTGACATGGTGAGTAGCATTTGAAATACGCAGTATTTTCCAACTCTCCCCCTGAGCTTTAATAGTGTCCTCGACCCAGTTTGAAAACTTAATCTAATTCACAGTAGTTTCGGCTTATCTCTCGGAAGAAATCCCGTGACTAAGATTTAAATTTCAACATATATACTTCTTTTGGACTTTTCAGCTTTATTTTTATTTATTTAAGTTGTGATTAAGAGGGTGTGATCATTCACGAAGTGAGCAAAACATTCAGTCATTACAATGTAATTCGATAGCTCTGGTATGTTGGTAATCTTCGGAAGCATGTAGTCAATCTTCTCTCATTAATCAGAACACACACTCGTATAGCACATCTCAGCGGCAGACAGGATTAGCTACATCAAAAGAATGCGTCTTTAAAGTAAAGAAATACATGTTATTGTGTTCGATTAGTTTTCTGGGTAGGCTCAAGAAAAAACGTGTTCTATAGAGAGATCCCAAAAGGGAATTTAAGTGAGAATGATTAACTAATGTATTTTTAAATAACTTTATATATAAATTTGTGTATCTTGAAAGTTTAAATATCAAACCAATGACACACATGTATTCGGTCTAAGCTTTCCTGTCTGTTCTTAACTCATTTTCTATGTAGTGGCACAAACCACAAGACTCTGAAAGAGGAAACACACTTAAAGTGCGGATCAATAATGCTTTAATATTTTCGGAAATACAGCTAATCACACGAAAGTTTTTATTCACAGTTTAATTATGTATGATATAGAAAGGAGAAAGACAATCAAACATCGAGAAGTACTTAACGATTTTATACTTTACGTTCACATTGTCAAAAAAATTCTGTTTTAATCAAAGTTAATTTTTAATTTTTTTTTTCAATGTCAGTCTTTCTTTCAGAGAGCATTAACTGAGTGACAGTATTGAACTGACCGTATTTTTATCTTAATAATTGTCAGATTGTTTCTCGAAATTAAATTTGTGGGTTATATGTTGCAAATCTAATGGCTCATTAAGGCCTTGTTTTCTCTTTTCAGACGGAGCAAATTATTACCTTGACAGACGAACAAATAGCAGGTACATGTTGAGAAAGTGCAGAGTAGCACCGATAATAGAGTCCGCCATTTTTTGGTTCATCGTATGAAAGCTAATGAGCTTCCTCAAATGCCGTAGTCATTAGAGCAACAATATACGGTATAATGAAGCCATCCCATTCCACAAGTAACAATAAGTAAACATTATATGTGGCTATTAATTGTGGAAAATCGTGAAAATTAACGATTTTTTATGATAAAACATGCCAAATCACATTATCTGTTAAACATGCAGGAGAAAAATATTGAAGCACAAGCTTATAGTAGTTGGATGTCGATGTGGTGGGAAAATTTATCCGGCAATATTGTAAAAGCAATTATTTTAGATATTATCATTTTCGCCTGCGTAAAATAGAAAATATAGGATTTTAAAAATAGGATGACAGAACTTTTATTGTTGCTATTAAGTCTATTTTGGGTCGGCAAAATGCCAAATTTCATACATTGCAAAGAGGCTCAGCGGAAATTTAAAATCTGTCGGAGTAGGTCAGTACGCAGTCTGGTGAATACATTTCAGACATACTTCTTGTAGAAGAAGAAATGATCAATTATTCCACTCATTAACCCAACAGAAATAATAGACATCAGACTTGTATTCAAAATATACGTGTACTCTTCTTACTCTGCAATTTTTCTGTTTCTTTTGCTTCCAAACTGTCGTTGTTTTTGTGTACATTGGTACATGTACTTTAAATAAAGACTTGTTTCAGGCCTGTTTAATCTGTATAAAATCTTTATAATTATAGAGTTCAAAGAAGCCTTTTCATTATTTGACAAAGACGGCGATGGAACCATCACGACCAGTGAACTGGGTACTGTCATGCGCAGTTTGGGTCAAAATCCAACCGAGGCAGAGCTGCAGGATATGATCAATGAAGTTGACGCAGATGGTAAGGATATCGTGCCCGATTTGCTTTCTATGGCTCTTATTGCACACTTTAAAATTACTAATAGCACATTAGTATGAAGAAAGCAGTATGTTGCAGAATTACATCCCATTTAGCTTAAAAAAAACAAACACATGAAGATTAAAAAAATCTGCATTTGGAGGAAGGATGACATAAATATGTGGGTATTATTTAGGGCAATGGCTAAAATAGGTTGTATCCAATACCATTGAAAAAAATCAGTGGAATGACATTTTTTTTCATCGCAAAATGTATTTATGAATTCAATTTTAAAAAGTAAGCAGAATCAAATACCTTTTCGAAATTAGACAGGTTTCTGCTGATCGAAAGTTGTAACCTTTAACGCATTAGAGTCGCTGTGGCTTTGCTTCATAATATGTATTGTGTCAAAATCACGCAGTAAAGATGAATGATGCAAGAAGAATGCACACGGAAAGAGATGACTGTTCGAACAGGCTTTCTTTCTTAATAATGATGCATTTTTCTTGTACTATTCATTTTTTCCCGCAGATGCAGCCTGTGAAGAATTTAGTATTTAGCGATAAATGTACAGGAATCTGCACGAGCAAAAGGCCAGACAATGACAAATATAATATGTACACACCCATCCCACCCTAGCAGTTTAGGAGGTATATTGGAATCACTCTGTCTGTCTGCAGGTTCCGCCGTCTGTCAACATTTTTTTTGTCCAAAGATGACCTCTGAAACTTCTAAGTATATTTTAAAAATATAAAATTTGAACTACTGCATTTGTTTCTGTTTTTTTTTCAAATTGATTCGTCAAAATAAGAAAAAAGTGACATTATATAGATATAATGTATCAATGTACATAACTTCTTTTACAAGAACACACCAAAGGGAAACAAATTTTTTCCTTGGTCAAACTTTTTAGCAGAGGAACTTCAGAGACATATCTAGTATGTACCTTGTGATCAGGAATCTCCTTTGTCATAGTTACAATGTTATTTTTGACAAAGTCACAGGGAACTAAGTTATTAACTTTTAAAATATGAATTTAGACACAACTTGATATGAAAAAAAAAACAGTAGAAGTTTATCCCTGAGATAAAAGTGCTTGTACCTCAAGGGTATGGCTTGACCATAACCTAGGGTAATTTGGATAAGGTCAAGGTCACTGATTTTAGAAGTATATAAATTTTTGCAATAGCCATAATCTTTATGTGAAAATTAACAAAACAACATTAGATTATACCAGGGACAAAGGATGTTTTAAATTAAACAACCGTACACCATGTTCACTAAGACAAACTCAAGATCACTGGTTTGAGGTGCATTTCTTTTTCCCTGATATTACTTTAAAATGGAATAGCTTCCAACAGTCATCATGCCATTAGATTTGATATGTTTATATGATAAGACATGACCCTAGCAATTGCTATTTAGACAAAAGTCAAGGTCACAGAGTTCATGAAGTATCTCGGAAGTGAGTATAAACTCATGGTCACATGACTAAGAAATATTTGTGGGGAGGGGGCGTGGAGAGGGACGTGAAATTATGATGACATGGCTGTAAATAAATTTTGGAATGCTCAATACAACCATTACCCTCAACTATAGAGATGTTAAAATCTTTCTCTATTATAATTTAGTAAATTTACCATATATTTTTTTCGACAAAATGGCAGCATCTTTTAAGCCATTTTAAAGCGTGTTGTCCCGCGGGGGACATTAGACCTACTGGGACAGTTCTAGTTTAAGTTTTTCTTATCAAAATCATACGACCGCCACCGTCCCTACAACCATTAATCTTATAAGAAAGCAGTAAGAGCTGTCCAATATTTTTGTACTAGTAAACGTGGTCTATTTCATCAAGTTTAAGGCTTAATCCTTATGTATAACCTTGCAACTGCTGGAGAATTAGCTAAACGTGTATAAACGTTACTCAGCGTTTAAAGATATTGTGTCCATTGCATGCCGTGAAATGTTCTGCATTTCAGTATTTTTGTTATTTTTATCATGATAGAAAAAAAGGTTTGGTAAGGTTCTTAGGTTATTTTATCTTAGCAATGTCTAAATTTCTATAATGATGGACATGAGTCTTTCTTCATTATATTTAATCTATGATCACTGTGTTGTCAACTTGATCTCACTTCTTAAAGAACATCTAGTCAACAACAACCAGTACATTGTAAAAAATATGATTCTAATAGGGATAAGCATTAGTATTCTTGAGTTATCCTTGGTAAAGAAATACGAATTTTACATCTTGTATAGAGATCTAAACAAATTGACAGATTCTGGTGTTTTTTTAATTATGTTTTTTTTGGGGGGGGGGTGCCAAAGATTATATTTAGATTTTGAAATTATCATGTCTAGAATGTGTTGTATTAAACAGATAAATACTTTATCTACAAATCTTCAGGTAACCTTAGAGGAAATTTCCTTTTAACTTAGAAATTTTTATTAATTGCAATAGGTTCTTAAAATAGACTGGCTTTGTTTATTATTTATGTTTGCCTCGAGCAGTCCTTGTACGTACCACAAAAACTTCCTAAAAATCTATTAGGGAAAAAAAGGCCAAATTTCTAACCACGAAATCCTAGCTCATAAAAACATAAACAATATTCGGATATCTAGGTCATACTGTAGGTCTACATAAAATCTATTAATCATCTTATCTACATTTTAAATGTTTGTTATTTCTTTTAAAAAACAGCATTTGCTATGGAAGTCTTCAAATTCTCATTGCTGCAGTTCTTTTCTGTTTGATTTTTTAAAAAAATTTATTTTTTAATAACAAATTCGATAGCTCTATCTAGTTATCAAGAACTACATTGCAAGAGTACACTGTAAAAGCATAGAGATTGGTTTTTGATTATAAGATACTCTCTTCTCCATTCTTTCTTCGTTCGACCTTCAGTTAATTAAGAAGATAAATTAAAATACATTTCTTTTTCGAATCAAGCAATTGCTTATTTTGGACCAATACAAACGAATTGCTGCGGGATTGGTAAGTGCTTCAAGAAGGCATATTTCAGAGTGAAATGACTGGAGAAGTTAATTTGTTAGCAGTTTTTTTTTTTAATATTAACATGGCTTCAGGAGAGAAATTGTTTCAATAGCTGCTGTGAATGAGTAGTGTTCAAGGAGAATTGTTGCGCAATCGTGTGATCCAAAGTTTGTGATACACGTAAATTCAGAATTATAAAGCTTCGACTTTTCATTACCCACAAAAATTTTGTTCAATTTTCTTTTTCAAGGAATATTGCATAACTGTAGCATTGTTTTGAGACAATTTATAAATATACATTGTTCTTTTCGCTCACATGAGCCGAAGGCTGATCGAAGTTTGTCCATTGTCTACCGTCGTAAACTTTTTACATTTTCATTTTCGTCTCAATAACCACCTGTCCAATTTCAACCAAACTTGGCACAAAGTATTCTTTGGGTGAAGGGTATTCAAGTTTGTTTAAATGAAGGGTCACTCCCTCTTCCTAGGGGAATTAATTAAGAAATAGTGAAAAATTGGTGGTCTTATTCAAATTATTCTGATCAAGAACCAGTTGACCAAAAAAGTTGAAACTTATGTGAAACCTTGACCCCCGGGGATAAGATGGGGGGATCAAAGTTTTGAATAGGAATACATGTACATGTCTTTGAAAATGTTCTTCTCAAGAACATAGTCAAATTGAGATGGTATAAGGTTGTGGCACATTACGGGATCAAAGTTTATTACATAGTAGTACATTGTAGAAAGTCTTTGAAAATCTGAAGATCAAGAAGATTGAAAATTGATTGAAGGTCAAATGTTGGACCATATCTATCGACTTTCAATCACTTTTCAATACTGATCTGATTTCTGCATTTTCCTAACCAGAGTGTTCAGGTGAGCGATGTGACCCATTGACCTCAAGATTGTTTATCATTGTGGATGTTAAACATGGATCACACGATTTATCTCCTAGAAAACATGCTTGAATCTAAGCTCTTTACATGTAATTACACGAGCTTTTATAACAATTCCTTTACTTATTTATTATTTGTTTATTTATATATTTATTGTAATTTTTTCTTTGATACTTATTTTTAAACAGTAGACTATCATTTTCTCCAGGCATGAAATTTTGATATCAAAGGAACACGATTTTATTTTTACATATAAAATAAACTATGTTTGGCAGATATACCGTATTTTAGACTGTCGAAAAATACTTTTTCTAAAATGCAAGCTGATTCGTCGACACTAATTTCATAGTGTTCATTGATGAGAGACCATATATAGATTAGAAGGAAAACAATATGTAAGAAAAGGAACCCCTCATTATATATGCAGTTATAAATGCTCTTAGTAGAGCATTAATTACTCTTCATTTGTGTTTTCCCATCCCAGGTTTTTATTTTTTTTAAATGGTTTAGTTTTCACCATTAGTTTGTTAGAGATGTCTCTTTGATATCTGTATTCTAGATCCTATATATATTAAATGCATTGAACATTAGTTTTAAAGAAAATGCTTAGAGCTTGGTGTGCAGTGATTGATATTTTCATGCAGGAAATGGCACGATAGACTTCGAAGAATTCCTCCTTATGATGGCAAGGAAAATGAAAGATACAGATAGTGAGGAAGAACTTCGGGAAGCCTTCAGAGTGTTCGATAAGGACGGTAACGGTTTTATTAGTGCTGCCGAACTTCGTCATGTCATGACCAACCTAGGGGAAAAACTGACAGATGAAGAGGTGGACGAAATGATTCGAGAGGCGGATCTCGACGGGGACGGAATGGTCAACTATGAAGGTACGGCATGACGCATGAAACTCGTTCTCTGTATTGCATCTTGCTTCTTAAATTTCCACGAAGCAGTTAAAATGCTTTCGAGGTTCAAAACCACATTTACTGCCAATTTAATCCTCAAATAACAAATAAAAACAGCTGTGACATGTTGCATCTTGGCTTGTATAGTTTGACAGCAAGAAATACACTACTTTTTTTGGAATGGTTTCGTATCTATGTAAATTACGCTTCCTGTTCAATTTATAATTGCAAAGTTGATCACATTTTCCTGTATGATGAAATTCAATATACAGCACAATAAAGTATCATTTCTTTGAAAACAAAACAAATGTTAAATTTTATTTTCTCCCTCTTATGTTTCATGCAAATGTTCCTAATTTCTGTTGTTCATTTTCTTCCTTCTCTATGAAGATGTACTTTGATAACATGCATGCACGTGCGTTCATTCTTGTCTTTTCAGATTTCCGGACGTATGCTTCCGGTTTGTTTTCCAATCAGTCAAAATGACGTATCCTTTGGCCACCATTCCTCTCCCTTTTATCATGACGTCATCAGATGCTATATCTGCTTAGGCGAACGGATATCTTAACTTGGTTCAAGCACACTAACAATTGACCAGCACGCGCATGCTTATGGGTCAAAACAACGCACTGGACTGTTGTCTGCAAGAAATGCCAGTTATTTTTCTTTTACTCAAATTCAACTTTAGAATTTGTTTTCAAGTTGAAATGGAAATTGTATTACTGAGTACGTTTCAAATGATTGACTAAAAGATTTTATTTTTTCAACAGATAGAATGCATTTCCAACTTTATTGTAACAAGTTCGTTTTGAGTGAATTTTCCTATTTTTCATTGTTCAAGATACTAGTAGTTTAAACACAAGCTTTAATGCATTTTAGATCGATTTCATAAATGTATAAATATAGCACGCCATCACCGAATAAAATTCCTCAAAACGAATCTCCCAATGAATTCTTATTCATACTAGTATTCGCCAAAAGCAGCAATAAAAATCCACACAAGGATGTAAAATGTGACAAAAAATGCCGATTCTAAAAGAGCAAAAAACATGATAAACATTCATTTCTTAACAGAAATTCGTTGCGTATAAAATACAGAATAAAAGACATTGCATGGAAATTATTGTAGTTTCTAAATTTTAAAAGAAACATAAAACGCATGGATCAAGCACTATGATACTCCATTTCTTGTGTAACAGTGTAACAATTTGCTTTGATATTGTTCTATAAGCAAGTACTTCTATTGTTATAAGTTTTATCAAATAAAAAGACATCAACTGACAACTTGTTTTGTTGAAAGTCAATCTTGCAATGAAAAAAAAACCCTGTTTTCTTGGTATTATGGATGTTTTCACATTCCAGTCATAATGGCCATCATAAATTGAAATTAATAAAAATATTTTTGAGAGAGGGATCATGTTCTTCAAATACTAAAGAAAAATTAAAAGTGACTTATTAGAGGAAAAAGACTGAATGATGAATAAGCATTGACTGAATTTAACTGAATGATGACTTGTATTTTTATTTCCTTTCAGAATTCGTCACGATGATGACTGCTAAGTAAGCTGTTGATCTGCTATGGAGAGACATTTGGGCATATTTTGTAACGTTTACTACAAAATATACCTTGAAATTCGCAAAGATGAAGCCGAGCACATTTTCTGTAATTTGTTTTGTTCAATCTTCAGTGTTGTACCAATGTTTATTTTTTGTTTGAAACGTATTTGATTTGTCTTCTTTGTACATCCTGGTATCGACTTGCATAAACAATAAATATACGCATAAATCTTGATTACTCATGAACAGATCATTTTCAGTAGGAAACTTGGTATACATGCATGTATCATACCTTCATACACAATACGTGACCCCACGTATCATGTCATCAGCTGATTACGGAGATACAATGTCTTTTTAGAGATACGGCTACAAAACGCCAGTTTGCGTAATGATACGATGATAATGATATTGAAATAAACAAAATTTAAGTAACATAATAATAATGTTTACCCTGTTCTGTTGGTCAGAGACCAAAGAAATTATTCGATGGTAAGGTGTTTGTCTGTCTGACTGTATGCCTCATCGTATTTTGGTTTGATTAAAAAAGTGTATAATAGTAGACGGTAAAACTATAATTCTATCTTCGGTTTTAGTAAAATGCCTATTAAATAATAGAAATTCTGTGAAAATCTTCATAATGCTACTACTCCGAAAGTTTTGGTCTGATTTTAATGAATCTTTCTAAACAAGCAGAATACATGTACACAAAGATACCTAACTTATTTAAAAGTGTTTGATTTTAATAAAATGCTTTAATTGTAGGCATGGTTATAAAAACAGAAATTACTGTTTCATTAGTTACTCCTACAGATTTTGTCTAATTTCGGGTGTAACCGGTTGGCAGAGGATGCTCACTCCCCTATGGCACCTGATCCCCTCTGATGTTTTAGAAGTCTGCTCCTTATTTGTATTGTTTAATGCACATTTGAACCTGTACACTGTTCGTTATCTCTAAAAATTTCATTCGATAAAACTAATTTTAAAAACGTCAATGATCTGATTTTGTGAACGTTGATGCCGCTGTTACTAAAAATAACAAAAGTTCCATGGTCCACAAAACTCACTGGAGTAAATTTATGTCCATTCTTGTTTTTCATATATTTTTTTTTTATATCCAAATATATTTTTATGGGGGAACAGATGAGTTTGGGATTTCGACGAATGACATTGCTATAATTTCTAAATATAGAATTAGCCCAATTGCAACTAAAATTGCGACAGAAAAAGAATAATCAAGGATCTATTTTCAAAATCACTGTTGTCATATAGTTTCAATGCGAAATTCTACTTTTCGCTTCCTTTGTTACAAGTATAAATCATCAGACCAACATTCTCGTCAGGGACTTGTAGTTTTTAAAAGACGTTAATGGTAATCTAACAACCAAGCTCTGTGATAAACGTGATGACTAACTTTTCTATCGTCAACTTCCCTTACTTCTGCAGCAACATACCTTCATCACCTGCATATGGAGTTTATGAATCTCAGTTGATTCGATATGCAAGAGCATGCTCTACGTATGAACAATTCTAAAACATCGTAAATTATTGACAAACAAGTTGATGAAACAAGAATTTCAGCACTCTCGCTTAAAGTCATCATTTCGTAAGTTCTATGATCGATACAATGACCTTGTCAGCAAATACAATTTATCATTGAGTCAAATGCTGACTGACGTTTTTCATACTAATTATTAGTCCATTATTTATTCATTGAATTGACGACGAATTTTTTCGATATTTCACGATCATAACAAGGAGCACACGACGGGTTTGACCGGTCGGCAGGGGATGCTCACTCTTCCATGGCACCTGAACCCACCTCTGATGTTTTGGGGGTCCGCTTTATTTGCTCTGCTCCTATTTTGTATTGTTTTATGGACTTTTGATCTTGAATACTGTTTGTTATCACCATATGTTTCATTTCAATGATATGTCCTTTTGCAAAAGTAAGAGTAAATAAACAAGTTATTAAATAACATTTTTTTTAATTATACATCATATACAGTTAACTTTCAAGTACTTTATTTGGGAATGCCATTTGTCTAAAAATTGAAATACACATAAAGAAAATAGAGCAAATAACAGCAAGAAAAACTAAATCAACAAGAAAACAATTCCAAAAAGTATGCCGATATGTTCATGACTCAACTAACATGGATTCAACAACTGGTAACCATTTTATGACTTTACTATCTCTGGGGGGTGATGCAGCGCCATAAACGGATTCAATGTGAATGGAATCCATCCGTCATAAGGAATTTTATATTTCCCTATTACAAGGGCAGCCATGCATTTTAAAGACCGGTACCTCAATTCGTCGTACATTATTCCAGTCTCTTTCAACAAATCTAAGCAGTTTTCTCCGTCCACGTCAACAGTATCTATGTGGACGCCATGTTCCAACAAGAAGGGCACGACTGGTCTCTCCTCCTCAAGGTCTGATAATGTGTCTCTACTATTCAACTGTCTCAGAAAACGGTGCAAGCATGTCCGTCTTTCCTTGTCGAAGTAATTCACATCAAATCTGCTCTTAAGGAGCAAATGGACCAAATTCACATCCAGCACTGGGTCACATATGAAAGTTGAAATTCCTTTTGCGTTGTCGTTGAAGAAGCGTGGATCGAGTACTGCATGTAGTAAGTTCGCTTCACATTTTGAGACAAAGGTCGGATTGATGTTTGCAAGTCGTCTACATGCAGTTAAAAATCGATCACTTTCCTTTTCCTCTTCCAGAAGAAATTTAACAAAGAATATGGCTGTAACGAGCAAGTTGTTATAAGATGTGGATCGTTCTGGTGTTGTCTTATGTTTTCCTTTCTGTAGAATTTCTTGTAGTTGGTCTATCATCTGTACAAACTTACGGAAAACACCGTCAACAATTAAAGGTTTCTGGGGGTCATTGAGGGTCTGGTAGGCAATGCTAATAGCCACTTTTATTATCATTCGTAAGGAATAAATGTTGTTCTCATGAAGAGGTTTGTTCTTCTCCAAAAACAAATCATGCGCACAAATAAAAATCTGAAATGTCGAGTAACTGCTTGGTCTGTTATAACCATACTGCAGAAGAGTATACAGAAATTCTTCGTGAAGTGGACCTAGTATTCTGTACTTCACTAATACCGATTCCCGTCGCTGCCTAACGCTTTCTTCCCAAACAATTTGTAGATCCTCAAAACTGATGTGCTCAAGGTTTGGTCCGAGAACAGGCAGGGTGGGCTTTACTTCCTTCTGAATTCCATGCATCCCCCGGAGTTTAACTGCCTTCAGCCAGTATTCTTCTGAATCACGATAGTTGTCATTGTCCACTGCAGATGCACCTAGTAGTTCAAAAGCTTCGATGACATCATTCTGACTTATCTCGGGTCTTTGACAGAGGAGGTTTACCATTTCGGGCTGTAGGAAGCAGGCGGCGCTTCGCAGTGGAGAGTCTCCGTATTTATCTGGAATTGAAGGATCAGCCCCAGACTCCAGAAGAAAACGAAAAGAGTCCAAGCTTTCATTGTGTATAGCATAATGCAAAGCTGTTAGATGCATCTTCTTTGTCTCGCGTGCATTTACATTTGCACCTTTTTCAACTAAGAGTCTTACGAGGGATGGACACTTGACGGCGTTCATAAGGCACGTAGACCCATATCTATTCGGTATGTTAACATCTGCGCCTTTTGAGATTAGAAATTCCACCATTTGTTCATCATTCTTATAGCACGCAGTTCTAACTGCGGCTGACTGGGAGTTCGAACGACCATTGACATCAGCACCATGGTCCAACAGCACAGCGGCTAGTGCATGGTATATTCCCGCGTATAGCTGTCACCCACAAAGGCGGGGCAATATGAACAGAATTCTTATCCTCATGCACTACTTCTTTGCCTGGAATTTCTACATCTGCACCGCACTCATCCAAAAAATATTTAACGATTTCCACTTTTTCAGCAGTCGTTAAACGTGATTCATCCTTAAGACCACAAAAATAAAACAGTGCATTCATTTCCTCGGTTGGACATTTTTTGTTGACCACATATCTCCTCGTTTCCAAGTCATACTGGCTTAAGAAATCCTTCAATGTTTTAACATCAAAACTGGCCCACTGTTCACGAAATTGTCTAAATATATCCTCCATTTTATTCTAAAAGGAAAAAAAGATAAACAGCTATTAAATAAGGATACATGATGGTCATTTTGTCAAGCTTAATTAAGTTGAGAAGTCAACAACTGTTGCCGGAGGATGCTCACTGATCCCACGACTCCGTTTGGTTTGGATGTAAAACTTCAAATTAAGGTAATATCGAAAAAAAAAAATCTTCTCTACTCCTTACTACTGGCCACAAGACCAGAGAACAGAGTCTTGTTGTTGATTTCTATAGAGTTATGATACTTACTCTAAATAAAAGGCCTATGGGCCACGTCGCTCATCTAATCTCTGGCTACGGAAAAACAGAGGTTCAGTATTGAAAAGTTTAATTATAAAAGTGTGGCCCCTACCTACCCAGGGGCCATGACCTACACATAATTGATTCTACACTACCTGAATGTCTTTATTGAAGAAATAAACAATGTTACTCATTAATCATGGCGTAAAGTTGATCTATGAACTAGTCTGTTTTTGCCCCCATTTGTTACTATATCAATATGGACTAAAAAATTAGACCCAGATCCAAAAAAAAAAATGGAATTTGGAAGTCGTTATGATCATAACCTTGTATTTACGAGACTCTCCATCGGTTGTTAAACGTGGCGGGCCCGTCAACGGAAAATTTTCTAACGCAGCAGACACAAAATCAGCGTATATGTTCTGTCACAATTAAATATTAGCCAACGTAAGATCGTATTGGAACTTACAAATGGATCTCTGCTTAAATACCTACTGTTTATCTTATCCCGAGCCATTGTTTTACTCTAATTAAGGAGTCATTGTTTGACTTGCATAATCAATATTTTTTAGGAATCTGTGGACTTTACACATGAAATAAAAAAGAAGCAAGCCATTTTTTCACTCTTTCGGGTAATTGCATTTTTTTCAATACTAATTTTTTAAAAACTATTTAGCTTTACTAAAAATAACCACGTCTCTAAAATTGCATCAACACTGTGAGTCAAACACCGTAGGGGGTTGGAGGTGGGGGGTTCGTAATCATATACTTAATTGTTATAAAGCTGAAAAAATCTAATCAAAATGATATCTTATGAATTAAAATGAATTTTTTTATTCTAATTCAAAAGTTTACTGTACTTTTCCAATATGATGTTAAATTCGATATTTATGAATTCTTTTTTAATTATCTTTAAAGGATAAATTACATGTATATTTCAATTTGCCAAAAAGAATAAAAAAAATATGCAAGTTTTCAGTGTTATCATGGTTATAAACTTGTGAATCAAAAAAGCTTTGTTCTTAAATTATTCAGTGGTTACTTTGCAAATTGGGTCGCAAAAAGACAGCAAATATTAGCATTTCGCGTATGTCTTGCACCAACGTTAAATTTGAAATGATGGAGAACCCTGACTTAGTGTGTTTGCTAGATGCCAATAAGGAGAGAAGATTTGCAAAGAATGCAGGATATTTCCACATAAATTTCAATTTCCCTGGCTCATTGGTTCTGCAGAAGGTTTTTAAAGATTTTCCATATGTATTCCATTGTAAAACTTTTATCTTCCATTGCGCCCACACTCCACCTTGGGGGGTCATGATTTGAACAAACTTGAATCTACATCACCCAAGGATACCTCCATATAAATATGACCAATTATGGCTTTGTGCTTATGAGACCTTTTTAAAGCATGTATAGTAAGTGGTATCAAAGGTGGAGGCAAAGAAAAAAATATTTTACTTTGATTTGAAATTCTTCATTTTATTTTCATAGTTTAAAAAAAATTAAAAATATACAAAGAATTGAAATTAATGAAAAATAGATAAGCAATTTTATGTTGAGACTTCCTTTTTCAATGCAGAAAACTTCACTTGCTTTTTTTGACATCTGGTTACATGGACTGACCAAATTTTGATTTGCTACTGTTTCATTTCAGCCAATTTTATTATTTTATTAATGCACAATATACCGGTAAGCTAAGTCTTCGAGTTTATAATATAAAAGACGCATGTCTTATTTCAGTAAATAGTTTTAACAAAAGCTAATTATAGACGCTTCTGTTTTTTGGTCACAGTTAACTGCCTTAAAACTGACTTAACGGACAACATTTTTACAACAATTATCACTAATGCAAGAAAGATATGAAAAAATCGTTCCTTCAAATTTTTTTTAAAATTTCAATGAAATATATTACATTTTATTGTAGAAATTGACAGTCCAGATCTGAAATGCAAATTTCCAAAATAATATAAAAGAAAAATGGGGTTCCAAAAATATATCATCCAGAAGGTGGAGCATCCCGAATATTGGTATCGGGATTACAGCAGCGCCACTACATCATGATATTTGAGCCACAATACAATATGTATCACAAATATGTTGAATTTTGGGACGATATGATCGCCCTAATCTAATCAATATCAGAATCTTAGATCCATGCTGGATACACTGTCTTACGCAGAGATTATACAGCATGGATCTAAGAAGTCTAATTCTAATTAGATTGTGATCTACACAGCCCTATTTTTTTCTCAGATTTTTACCATGCTTGGATGGGTAAATCTTTGTTTTGGTCTTCGCAACGCTTGTCACTGCGAGCTCTTAAAGCAAAGCCTATGCGAAGAGAAAATTCTGACCCACAATGCATCACTTGTTAAAGCTACGTTCTCGCGAGAATAGCAGCAAAAGTTCAACTAAAAGTAAACATGCCCTGTTTTAATGGATAAATATTGAAGATAAATAGGAAAAGAAACGTTCTTCATTTACTTTCAGCACTGTTAGGCTTCTTTTTGGAAATATAACTTACATACGTCATGAGACGTCAGAGTCTAGATGCACAAAATGTCATGTGCAGTTTGACGAGCCCGATCTAAATTATAACAAAATAAATATCTGCGCTCTCCATAACGGTCGCACTGTCCACAGGTGCTTCAGGACAGGACAACCCCCCTTCCCCTCCCAATATGGACCCCCTGACCTGTTAGACTTTTATCATATTAATTATATATGGATGACACATTTGTGATATATTCTATCCTAACACTTCAGAAAATTTGCTTAAACTAAAATTTTATAAAAATTTCTACCCCACTCTCTATATAATAATTAACAAGGTTGCCAACTTCGTCTGCAAACGGAGAGGCACAGGCACTGTCGAGAATTTTTGTTGAATCGTCTCATAAATCTACACAAAGCCCTAAAATCAACAACTCATATTGTAGATTGAATATTCTTTTCGTTAACCACCAACTCTCATGATGGTTAAGGCACTTTAACAGTCCTTATGGCCAGTTTTCCAAAAGGATGTCAAGCTACAGTCAACATTTATGCTTAGTGAACGGAAGTGACGCGGAGACGACTTTTTACCGAAATACACAGTTCTGCAGAAATTCTGAAACACTGTCTTGAAGTAAACATTTGAAGAAATTTGGTTGATATACACTTTAAAAAATATCTTTCAAATGTATTGGAAGAATAGAGTTCTAAATCACTGATGTAAATGAAATGTTTCTATAAATTATTTTCAAATATTTCCATTTCTAATTTTTTTCTCTGCGATAACTCTTTGAAAGTTGTCGGAGTTTATTTCTTGATAATTCTGCCGGAATGTAAATTAGGCAGGTCGATAGGTCAGGAGCTAAGGAGGCCTAAAATGCATGCAAATCTCGTGCGCATCTGTCTCTATGTCTGGCGCTAAGGAGGCAAAATGTGCATGTAAATCTCGTGCGGCTGCCTAGGTGTTTGACGTCATTGGGCGAGGACTATTGAAATTGGCATGGAAGTCGTCGTGTAATTTAAGTCTATGTCTACATTTTTAAAGTCTAAATCTACCATTTTATTTCACAATGAAATGAAAATATAAGGAATCACTGTCTAGTTTGGAGAGTATGCCAGGGACATCAACAATAGTGGGAAACATGGGATAATTATAGCATAACGGGCTTCACCCCTTATGCAAATTATCCCATGTTTCCCACTATTGTTGATGCCCTGGCATACTCTCCTAACTAGACAGTGATTCCTTAAATATCTGATTTGCATATATCGGTTTTGAGAGTTATGCCCTTTTAAAAATGCAATTTATTAAAATACCTTCTATTCCTTAAATATTTCGTGTAAAATCTAAAAAAACATTTGAAAATAAATTTGTCATGAAGAATTCGTACAAAAAACAAGAATATATCTATTGTTAATATCTTACACGTATATTTGGTTACATGGGGAACATGGGGAATTAGTCATCTCCTCATTGCTTCCATTCAATAAGCTTTTTACGGAGTTGGCAACCTTGTTGATTTTTATATATAGAATGTAGGGTAGATTTTACAGAGCGATTGTTTCAGGTAATTTTTCGATCTGTTGGTAAAGATCTTATCACAAATATATGTGAATGAAAGATTATTTATGAGAAAAAACGTGTAAGAACAGAGGAAATTTGGAATGAAATCTGTACATACGTCAGGCAAATTTCTCTGTGAAACATTCCCAGAATTCCTGCACTACCCAATGTCCTTTGCGCGAATAAATCAAAAATAGTTAAAAAAAATAAAGGAACATTGTTTCTTACCGAGAACTTAACGAAATGATTTTGCCTTGCCTTATTCAAAAAAATACCCCCATGCCACAACACTGGCCTTCACCTTGCCCTTCGGAAATGATACATATGACGTCACCGGAAACTTACGAATTTTGACGATATGCTAATTAAGTCATGTCGGTTGCTTCCGTGAAATAGATAAATAAACAATAACGTAAAGCAAAAAAAGCTTTCAGTTTGTAGAAATCTTTCAAAGAAACAAAAAATAACTCTGCAATGTTTTTCGACCAAAATTGTGCTAGGTCTATAGTTTAAACCAGACGATCGGCCGTTTCCGTAAGCTCCGACGAGCTCCGTGACGTCGTGTGACGTCACAGCTAGTCGAGATGTCTCGTGCGACTTGATGTTTGAAGTGGCTGATCAATTTTTCAAGTGTTTTGATGGTACAACTGCGCTCGCCTCAACGATCACACCGTAAAACATATTATTTTTTTATAGCTTAAGTTATACTGGGTTACAAGCTAACGTAACCCTTGTGACTGGTTACAAATGTCATGTCACAACTAATTTCTTGCCACACATGCTGCATCTAGGATGTCTAGGCCTCATCCGTTAAAGACCTAAAGTCAACGAAGTTTTAACACTCACTTAGTCTTTTTATCAAGTGAAGGAGATAGCCTGATGATCAATTAAATGATAATCTGTCATCTTTCGTAGTGTCTTTGAAAAGAAGAAATTCTTTCGAAACGAAAGTAGATGCTTGTACACTCGTACATTGACTATTTCGTTTTGTGTTTTGTCTGTCGGAGGAACACATGCTCCTTTCTTTGAGTTTACTATACTAGTAATAAAATTTACACTTAAGATAAGGTTAACCTCTAAAGATTTGAAAAAAAAAATATTATGTTTTCTGTATGAAGCAGATTAGTATGGAATCGAAACCTATTAGTTAGCGTTAACCATACTCCTTGGTAGGCTCCACATGGTTTCGTCCCTGGTTAATTTTGATTGTATGTAAAGAATACTGTATTTCACTCATTGTCCCAAAGACAGTAGATTATTTATATCATTATGACTTTTTATTAGTTTCAAATATTTTCGAATGGATTCCAAACACTTAAACGTTTTAAAAATATATCCAGTCGAACTTAATTTTCGCGCGAAATGAACTAGAACTCCATAAGGAGCAATAGAGGTGAATCAAAGGATTAACATGGAGCTATCACTAGACGACTACATTGGCAGTACCTCTGGAATGGATTTTCAAGTGAAAATTAGGTAACATAAACAAAATAAACACAAGGAATGGTTTGTTAAAAGGGTTTATTTGTTATTTTACGTCGTTTTATCTCTTTCTTGATGTCAATGTCTGCTTAAATCAATGTTCAGCCGTAATCCACATGTCACTGTTGTGTCAGCAACTGTACCTATATCACATTGTTTGTTTTTGAGAGACATTTCTTGTGCCATTTATTTGTATGAATATTATACATTAAAGAAGCCTAAGTCACAGTAAGTGAGAATGTTAAAGTGTTAAATGTAGATCAAATATTCAACCTGTTACTCTTCCTGAATCATGATAAAGAAAATGAAAGTAAGGCTGTTTCTATTAACATAGTCATAGTGGCTGACTGAGAATGGCGTATTTTTTGTATTGTTTGTCTGTTTAGGTATTTTGAAAATAACCAAAATCTCGAAAAATTCTGAAATTCACATTTTAAAATATTTTTTTTCAATATACATTAAAAAGACAAAAGGTGTCACAAAGTTTTTTTTTTACTACTGATGTTTGGTGAGATCTAGCTTCAAATTGCTTGAATAACTTCTTTCTAGCTCAGTGCTCACAATATCTCTAGTTTAATCAGTAATTGTAGACAGACATAGAAAAAACACTGTCCTGAACGTGATCCCTTATGGGTACATGTATATGGTATGGTATAATTTACCATGTAAGGATTTTTTTAAACCCTTGGGTTTATAATATGTTTTCGTACACATTGATAAAACAATTTACAATTACTTGAATATTGATGGCATGCATTGATCAGCAAACTTATAATATATTCAAACAGAAATACCAAAGAACAGAGAAACATTGGTTTTTCTGGAAGAGGAGGAGGGAATGCTCGAGGGTGGGGCCGTGGTGGTATTACTAGATCAAAGTCTGCGGTAAATACTGTGAATTTTAGAGGTGGATCCAAAGGAGTCAGAGGTGGGATCAGAACTTTTAAATCATTGAGAGGTGCTTCAGGTGTAAATACTGCAAAATTTAGAGGTGGAATTGTTTCTGGCAGTGCATCCAGAAATTTGACAATTTCTGTCCCCAGTAATTCTGGTGGATTTGACGCTAGGGCAAAAATAGCTGCCAACAAGAAACCTCTGGATGCAAGAGAAAAGTTGACTTTAAAAGGGAAACCAACTGATGCCAGAGCAAAAATTGCAAATATTAAAGCTCAGAAAATGGGAGTCAAGACTAACGATGCGAGAATGATTATCACAAGCAAGACAGGAGGTCAAGGAGGAGAGGTCAAAGTGCAGGTCCAGGGGTCAAATGATAACACAGACAGTGGTCTTCTTACAAGAACAGTAAGTAGATAAGTAATGAAAAGAAATAATCATTTTAATCATTGGACTGTGAATATGATAATTTTTATTCATCGCTAAAAGATACAGTTCTTAGAAATTAATAACATTAATTTTTAGCTCCACAGGGGTATTAGTCTTATAAGGACAGCTATTTCTAAGTTGTAAAAGGTCATATTTATTTCAAATAGACATTTTTATGTTAGACCTAAAAAATTAAGCCTTCAAAATTTATTATAGCTCACTACTGGAGGAAAACAAAGCTCAATCACACGTACAATACCAGGAGGAGGAGGAAAGGTAGGACTAAGTATCGGTAAATGAAAAACCAGGGGGGAGGGGAGGGTGGGATATGGCCACACTTTTAACCATAGCCAACTTTGCTATCTCATAGACAATGTTAATTCACAAGTTTCCCCTTATTTTTCAAGCCTCCTTCCTCTATAACATTTGGACAAGGTGGAAATCCAATCATTCAAATCAAGAACGATCAGTTCCACAATCCTCGACAGTCCTCTGGAGGCCAGCCAGATATTTACTATGACGAGGAGGAAGAGGGGAGTGTCCAAAAGCCCATGACCTACTTAGTGGAAAAAACACTGACTGTTAAAAAACCTCAGCTCCTTCCAACTTATAAGTTAACACAAGAAGTACCAAAACGCCAGCCTCCAGTTGTGAAAAAACCCATCATGATTTCAACAAAGAAACCTTCCCCTATTCATTTTGCTAGCTCAGATGATGATATAATCGATGAGACACACAGGGAATTAAAACGTAAGGCATCTTCAGCACCAGTGTCTGGACCATTAAAGTTTGCCAGGACCACTGGGACGGTATCAGGAATTTCCTCAGTACCGTTAGAAAGGCCCAAAGTGTTGACATCAGCTAGTGTGAAAGAGGAGGAAATTCCAGCAGAGCCACAGGTACAGTGCTGAACAGAATGATGTGAATAGTTTGACATTTACAGCAAAGAATACTTTAAATCTATACATTTGTATATTTATTATAAATATTTTTTCTCTCTTATTTTTAACAGGAATCAAGTGGGTATCGTGTCATAGTATCTAATCTTCATACAATTGTGGTACAAAATGACATCATCGTGAGTACATAAAAGGAAAATTCAGACTTTACGTTTGCCACTTCATAAAATTATGCATGTTTTAAGTATATTTTTATATTGATATTTATGAACAAAATGTATCTATTTTAGTCATATGCAGAAGAAAACATATTTTAACTCTTAAATTTTTACTCCAAGATTAAATTAGGTGAAGGATGAATAAAACTTTCTTCTAGGAATAGTTATACTATACATGTGCAAAGAACTGTAAATGTTTATCTGAAAAAAAAGAATTAGACTTAAAAAAAAAATAGAAAAAAAGAAAAGGAATACATGTGCTATTTCCATTCCTATGTACAGTACCTGTACAGTTGTTAAAAGCTAAAATTTGAAATTTAATATCAAGTTGCTGAATATGGATATAAAGTATTCAAATTTATGCAAATTGAAATTCTCTGTGTAGGAGCTGTTCGGAGCGATTGGGCCAATCAAACGAGCTCGGCTTTTGAAGGCAGGAGTAGCTGAAGTTGTGTACCTTAATAAGGAGGATGTTCAAAAAGCGATCCAAAAATACCACAACAGAGAACTGGATGGTAACAGCTAAGATATTCTGTCTTTTATAGTCTAAATCATGTTTTGGGTGCAAGACTTTTTTTCATCGTTATCCAAGACCGTCTGTCTCATTCTTTTGTATTACGAATGAATTTGTTTTATTACTTCCCTAAACACATCTGTAGATAAATGTGAAAATATTTGCGTTGCAATTTTGCTATCAATACAGGTATATTTAATTAAATGATTCCATTATATGGATAAAATAAATTTCTAATATATCAAAGTAAATTCCCAGATCCACAGGACTTTAATATAACCATGCTTTACTGTATTTGCTTTTTATTGTAGGACTGCCAATGCAGGTAAAGTTGTACACCCCTCCCAAACCTAAGAAGGCTGCACCTGAGGCTATTGTCGGCAATGTCAAAGATGTGGAGGGACCCCTAAGGTAATGCTTCATAACAGAGACAACTTAGCATGTTCTGGTGTAAAATGATTTTCCACCAGGAGAGCATCTTCGCCAAGGGTTTCTGATCCGAAATCTACTCTACAGCTGTAGATTTAGGATTGGAAACCCTTGGCTAGTGAAAATTTCTGGAGAGCAACATCTTCACACAGTTTATGCAACAACAACAAAGAACAAAGACAAGTATGCTATAAATAGATGATTAATTATTATTGTTTAAGTGTGTACATGTATTAGGAGATTCTCTTCCACTCTGTTTGTTTGAAAGCAAAAAATTAACAGATATTTGGGAAGGGGATAGTTACTTGTATGCAGAGTTATATCCCTTGTGTTGTTATTAAACTTGAGAAAACTTTGAATATAGTATTAAACAAGTGCCCAACAAGTGCCCAAATGGTCTTTAGAAAAAAAGTAAGTTGGAAAGAATCGATAAAATTGGCATAATTATAAGTGCTTAGGATGTTATGATAATCCTTTAATACATGAAGATAACATTCAGTCATCAAACACTTTGTGCTGGATGGGTATTTTGCAAAAGGGCTGCCTTTGTTTTCCTGTTAATAGTTGCATTGTCATTTTCTTACCACAGTACTTATAATTCAATATACACTGTAATTATTTTATTTTTTACAGACTTGGTAAAGATAATCCAAAGAAAAGTTCAGATCTTGATGTTGGTATACTACACAAAGCTTTGTTCAAGACTGGAACCCCAAACAAGACAAAGGTGGCCTTTACAGTGAAAGTCTAATTCTGAAAATGCCATGTACATGTGCACCAGCAAAACTAAAGTGTAAATATTGGGATATATTCTAAAGGATACTTCTTATTTCTGTGAGCCATTACAGTACTGACTATCTATGAATTGAGATTATCTGCCCATATATCCATCTCCTTAAAGCTTTTCCCCGATTTTCCCTTAACTTTGTTATTGCTTTATTAGTTTCATTAAGCCCCAGGCCTCGCCCCTCAAAAATATTAATGAATTATGCAGCAAAGGCTTTACAAAGAAAGTTCTTATCGTTATACAAGGAGACTACCAAGGAGCTGTTTATATGGTGCATGTAGGTAAAAAGATGAGCTTTTGTGACAACAGATTATTTTCATAATGAATATAATGTTATCGTCTTCATTCATCATGAATGCATTTTCAAATGTCAATATCATAGTCTTTGTTTCATGTTCATGTTTCATTAAAGAATTAGCACACTATTATGTTGTACATTTCTTTGTGTATACACTGTACCTCTTAAACTGAATTGGCTTATTAAAATGTGTACATGCATCTGTGCGCAGGATAGCCTGTTCCTAAGATTTAACAATTTTATATATTTACTGAAAATAAGGATGAAGTAGGTATACTGTAAACCAACTTGAATTGCAATTTTTGAGACCCTCCTTCTCAAGAATTTTTCATCATAAACTATTTTCATATTTTCTTAATATATAGAATCTAGGGATGTCAACGAGTACCCGGTTAACCGGGTACTCGATCGAACGTCCGAGTATCGAATACTAAATTCGGTACTCGGTTACTCGGATGTATATTTTTGAATATTTCTAAGTTTATTTATTAATGCATTAAACAATCTGTTTTAAAACGTAAAATACTCGATCATTGCACTTGTACATATACAGTAATTAGGGTTTCCTATTAAACGACCGTTAAGTGTTTATACAGTAATTATCGTGACCAAGCACCTGTTACCTGGCTTTTCTCAACCCTTGTTTTTTGATTTTCTTTAATTATTTGTTTTCACTGAACATCTTTTAAGGTCTGTTATGATTAAATAAATTAGGCAATTTTGTCATTTACGAGAAGCCTTAAATTTTAGAGACAGATGATCTATTACACGCGCGACTGTTGATATGGTTGTATTTCATTACATGCCAATACATGTACAAATAGTTGGCGGCAAAGGCTTAAAAAAAATGATGTCCATCGTTGCACCAAACTACAAAATACCGTCCCGTGATACTATAAAATCTAGGATCGAAAAGTATACGAAAATCGTAAATCGGCTATGTTAGAACTTGGTCAAATTCGAGTCAACTGTACGACTGATATATATACCTTGACGTCAAATGCAACAAAGAGTTACATTACAATTACGTAGTAGATCATTTTTTTTAAACAAAAACACCATGAACCACTTTCGATTTTATTTCTTGTGTTTATTTGATAAATAAATTGAACTTAAATAAATTTCGTCGGGCACGAAGTTCTAATCATTGTTACAACAGAAATGCATCAATTTTACGTGTAAACCTCCTATCAGAGCATGTGCATGTGGTTTTATTTCTACAAGTGTTTACAACGTTTTACATTCATCAATTTACTTGTTCACCCGGGTACTCGAGAAAAACGTCCGAGTAACCGAGTATTAAAAATTGACCGATTTGACATCCCTAATAGAATCAGTCACAAAAATTAGTTGTCGCGGCTACATTTGAAACTGTCAAGTTGCACAATATAGATGATTTACATTACTTACATGTTATAAGGAGGATAAAATAATGCCTATGCAGGTCACAGAATTAATGGTGTTAAAGTATATCAAATAAGAAAACTTCAACCAGAAATTCCAAAAGAGAAAATGAGATAAAAAAAAAAAAAAACATGAGTATTTATATTTCCTTTAAAAATTTATTGGCTTCATAATCAATTTGTGTGTTCACCTCAAGAAAAATATGTAATCCATTCATGTCATTCATTCATCAATATAATATATATATAATATATGTATTGCTTATTTTAAACAGCATCATTTATAAATAATTTGTAGAAGACAAATCTATATACTTCAGTATATTATTCATCAAATTCAAACTTAAATAGCACAATGAAAAGTTTCACACATGATCAATACATTTACACTCGCAATCAATGATGCATATGGTTTACATTTTTAATCAGTATAAGTTATTCTAAAATTCATTTAAAACAAAGACATATTAAAAACAGGCACTGACAAGTCATCCAACATTATTCTCTGACTGTAATCAACTCAACTGAACACACATTCACTGTTATACACGTTGCAAAGATGGAAGGAAAACTTGACATTGTACATGTACGGTAGATATGTCTATGCAATTTGAAAGTCCCAAATACTTTTTTTTACTACATGTAATTGCATTTAAACCTCTAACATTTTGGATATATCTGAAGGGGTTTTCCTTGGTCCCCTTGAATTTGAGGTAACAAGGTTTGACTTTAAATACATGTAAATATTTCAAAAGCTCTTTCAATTGTAATACCTGTACATGTACCAATAGATGATTGTCACAAATATATTCCTATGTAAATATATGATCCCCCATTGTTGCCCCATCCTATACCCTTGGAGATCATGATTTGAACAAACACCATGTTATGAAGCTTTCACAAAAGTATCTTCTTTTTTGGCCTAGTGGTTCTTGAGAAGTCTTTTTTTTTTTAAGAATGCCATGCATTTATTTTCTTTGATTTTAAATTGCCTCCCCTTAAGAAAGGGTGTGGCCCTTCAATTGATAAAATTCAATTCCCTTTACCCAAGTATACTTTTTGGCTAGTTTGGTTGAAATTTGTTCCGTAGTTCTTACAGAAGTCGAAAATGTGTTTACAGACAAACGGACAGGGGACACTGGACAAAATATGATCAGAAAAGCTTACTGGAGTTTTCAGCTCAGATGAGTAAAATATTTATAACATGGTCTAATTAAATACTGATCAATCACTAAAATCTTCTAAATCAAAATGAGGAAGCCCCTGCAAGTCGACGGATCTTCTCAAAGGACAACCAAAAACACAAGGACCAGGGTGCCTGAAAAATGAGAACATTTTCAGAATTACTTAAGTGATTATATTGAAAGGTAATTCAATCTCCAAAAAGAATTCCATCATATTTCTTGATTGGAAACTGAAATTATGGAGCTAGGTAAAGCTCAAATAGACTCATGATGACTACAATGAAACACGCTAATGGCAGACATGCTTATAATGAATTGACGCATATCGCCAAGTGATTTTCATTCTGCATGACTTTAAAATATATTTTCAACTTATTGGTTGTAACAAATTACACTTATATGAAGGAAAATTGTCCATCCCTGGCGCTTCATTTTAAATGTGTTTTACTGTGCCTGACCAAAAATATTGAAAATTTCTAGCTGGACCATGTATATTGATGCCATGTTTTACCAAATTGACCTGTTTCAATCAACTTTTCTCAGTACAGTAAAAAAAAAATGTGACTGAAGAAAATCAGTAACCTAGGTAATGGAAGCACAAAATTTCAACTTAAGTTTTGAAGATGGACATGGGGTGTCAATGGATTAATTGGTTTAAATACTGGGTCATTTTATATATAGAGTGAACCCCGTCTTACCATTCGTAACCAAATGGGGATGAATCCTTTGTATAGAGCCATCACACCTTCCTGTGTGGCTGTTTTAATTAAACAGTCTATGGAACCCGTATATAGCAATCCTCTGTTAAAAAAAAATGCATTTTGTTAAAATGTACTTCACATGAAGAATGAAGGACATTATAATATCAGATATCACCTTAAATACTAGTATTTCAAGCTCTTAAAAATCCTAGATATTCCCATTAGTCCCACTGCACTGGGCAGAGCCACCAAACATCTGTTAATTGATTAACCCCTTAAACCAACAGAGTACGTCAGCTGAGAAGGGTTTAATATTAAGGCAAATCAGACTGACTCTGAGCATTAAAAGTCCACCTTTTAATGTAAATAAGAGTAACAAAATGCACAAGGTCACCCTACCATTCATTTTTAAAACCTATGATAATCTTAGTTACTACAGGATGTATATGCCTGTTTCACTTAGCCTATCTGAAGTTTGTTTAGTCAGACTCAAATGCTGCTTTTACACGGATGACTTACTTTCCATTTTTTGTTGGCTGGTTCATTATTCTGGTTTTGACAACATCAGCTGGTGTCCCAAAGGTAGCTGCCACTAAACCTGAACAGGCACTGAAAGAATAGAAAGTTCATAATACATCCCCAGTACACCTTAGACAAGAAGCATGAGGAAAATGCCTCTATACTACAACAGATGCCTTATCCACTACTGTGTTGAATTTTGTTGAACAAGAACAAACTGGTACAATAGTTTATAAATACCATTATGTATTTTCTTCTCTATTAGCAGCATTTATGTTCTTTTAACGATTGGTTAAGCTATCATACACTATATACCTAAAAATATCAGGAACTATGCCACTGATAATTACTAACTTGTTATACACAATATAACTACTATTCATTCTCAAACTTTTCATATTGCTCACCTTGCTAAGGAATGTGTGACATAATTATCTTTTAGATCAGTGTGACGTAAAATATTCTGTTTGGCTGTATCATAAGTACATAAATCTGAAAAGATGTCAAATTAGCATACAGTATAACACATTGATTTAATCCCATATATCATTTCTAATTTAATATTACTGCAATGCTTGCAATATGTTTTGATTTTACCTTTAACCTCTTAATACGAACAAATTTCAACTTCTACCCATTCATTTCTTATCAATTCTGAAATCACTTTCTTATATACATGAAAATAAACATACAGTGGTAACAAAAAGGCTATAAACAGTACCAAATGTGTGAAGATAAAGAAGAGTTACCTCCCATATTAACCAGTGCTGCCCTCTGTACATTTGGTACCACTCCTCTATATAAACCTTTAACACCACTTTCTGCCACTATTTTTTGAAATGCATCAAAAAACCCTCTAACTCTAAAAAGAAAAACATAGGTACTGTAATCGTGGTATTAATTTATGCTATGATGGTCACAAACGGAAATTTGAGCGTACTCGTAATTTTCTACCCGTGGATTAAACAGAAATTGAACGAATGTTACAGTAATCAGAGATTACAGAGCTCACCTAAGTAAGGCAAAGTCACACAATTACCCAACAAAAAGTGTACATCCAAAAATGCAACATTTATGTAATTTTGATCTGATACTTTGGAATAGACCTATATAAAAACTTCAAACTAGTTCTTCATCAAGAAAATGTGATTATATCCAGCATCTGAAGCAAGTTTAAGAGTTTTCATCCCTTGATGCATCATTTGGGCAAGTTTGGTATATTTAAGCCTTATAGTTTCTTGGTGATAGACCTGCACCCATAACTTTTTACCTGGTCAATTATCTGGAAAATGTATGTTGAATTCAGCATCCGGAGCACGTCCATTAGTATGCATCCTAAGATGTATCATCCATGCGAGTTTGCACAATATAGGGCTCATAGTTACTTAGAAATGAAACCTTCTTAAAAATTTAATCTCCTCACTCATCCAGAAAACAAGAGGCTCATGGGCCTTATAGGTCACCTGAGCATTATGCAACAACTTTCCAGTGATTTATAATTTGATTCATGTCTTAAGCCAGATGCTATGGCGTTCACAATTTTAAAAGAGGCACCATTGATCATCATAACAATACACTTAGCAGTTGCTTAGTTTGTTTACTTAACACCCAAAGGCAGGGTGGGGGAACAAAAATGCATTTCAAGTAATCAGTAATATTCAGCAATAATCAGTAATGCCCCTATCACACGTGAACCCCTGACCCTTAGGCCTAGATCCACACATTGCACAATTTTTGAAAAGGCACCCTTGCTTTTCAAAAATATTTGATTAATATCAAGGAGCAGATCTCAAACAATTCATCCAGTTTCAGTATATAAGTACACCCCGCCTATGGTACCCCTGACCCTGGGGCCTTGAAATTCACAATTCTGGAAGCTTAGGGTCCTTGCTCATCATAACTACATAGGTAGTTCATATGCTTAATACCCAAGAGCAGAGAAGAAATTTTTCAAAGATTTAATGTATTTTCACTATATAATCAATAGAGCCCCGCTCTATCACTAGAACCCCTTACCCTAGGGCCATAAAATCAAAATTTTGGAAGAGGTATTCTTGCTCATCATAACTATGTACTTAGTTTAATTAATTCCTAGGAGCAGAAAAGAAATTTTTTCAAAGAATTCATGTATTTTCACTATATAATCTATAGAGCCCCGCCCTAACACCAGAACCCCTGACCCTGGGGCCATAAAATTCACAATTTTGGTAGAGGCACTCTTGCTCATCATAACTATGCACTTAGTTAGTTTATTTAATACCCAGGAGCAGAGAAGAAGATTTTCATAAAATTCATGTATTTTCACTATATAATCAATAGAGCCCCGCCCTAACACCAGAACCCCTGACCCTAGGGCCATAAAATTCAAAATTTTGGTAGAGGCACTCTTGCTCATCATAACTATGCACTTAGTTAGTTTATTCAATACCCAGGAGCAGAGAAGAAGAGTTTCAAAGAAATAATTTTGCATTTTCACTATAAAATACAATTTTTATTTATATACTTAGTTAGTTTATATACAAAGAAATAATGCTATATACTTAAGCCCCGCCCCTGAATCCCTGAAGGGCCATGAATTTCACAATTTTGGTAGAGGACTCAATGCTGATTACAATCATGCAAACAGTTTGACTGCTTGATGTCCAGGAGTAGAGAAGAAGATTTTTAAAGATTGCATTAATTTTAGTGGTTTTTGCCCCACCCTCAGGCCCCAGGGGGGCAGGGACCATGAAATTCACAATTTTTGTTCCCCTTCACCCATATATGCTTTGTGCCAAATTTGGTTGAAATTGGTTCAGTGGTTGCAGAGAAGAAGCTGAAAATGTTCAAATGTTAACGGACAACGCACGACAAAGGACGAAGGACGAAAACAGTTAGCAATAGGTCACCTGAGTTTACTCAGGTGACCTAAAAATGTAGTTCAGATTCAGCATCTGAAGCCAGCCTGGTAGAATGCAACCTTAAATGTATCATCCATGCAAGTTTGGTCATTAAAGAGCTCAAAGTTACTTGGAAATGAATCCTGCATCAAAAACTTTAACCTGTTCACTCATCCGGAACATGTAGGTCAGATCCAGCATCTGGAGCAAGTCTGGTAGTATGCATCCTTACATGTATCATCCATGCAAGTTTGGTCACTATAGGGCTTATAGTTACTTAGAAATGAGACCTGCACCAAAAACTTTAACCTGTTCACTCAACCAGAAAATGTAGGTCAGATCCAGCATCTGGAGCAAGTCTGGTAGTATGCATCCTTAGATGTATCATCCATGCAAGTTTGGTCATCATAGGGCTTATAGTTACTTAGAAATCAGTCCTGCACCAAAAACTTTAACCTGTTCACTCATCCGGAACATATAGGTCAGATCCAGCGTCTGGAGCAAGTCTAGTAGTATGCATCCTTACATGTATCAGCCATGCAAGTTTGGTCATCATAGGACTGATAGTTACTTAGAAATGAGATCTGCACCAAAAACTTTAACCTGCTCACTCAACCAGAAAATGTAGGTCAGATTCAGCATCCGAAGCAAGTCTGGTAGTATGCATCCTTACATGTATCAGCCATGCAAGTTTGGTCACTATAGGGCTTATAGTTACTTAGAAATGAGACCTGCACCGAAAACATAAATCTGTTCACTCAAGCGGAAAATGTAGGTCAGATTCAGCATCCGAAGCAAGTCTGGTAGTATGCATCCTTACATGTATCAGCCATGCAAGTTTGGTCACTATAGGGCTTATAGTTACTTAGAAATGAAACCTGCACTAAAAATTTAACCTGTTCACTCAACTGGAAAATGTAGGTCAGATTCAGCATCTGAAGCAAGCCTGGTAGTGTGAATCCTGAGATGTACCATCAATGCAAGTTTGGTCAACATAGGGCTTATAGTTACTTAGAAATGAGACCTGCACCGAAAACATAAACCTGTTCACTCATGTGGAAAATGTAGGTCAGATTCAGCATCCGAAGCAAGCCTGGTAGTGTGAATCCTGAGATGTACCATCAATGCAAGTTTGGTCAACATAGGGCTTATAGTTACTCGGAAATGAGACCTACACCAAAAACTGCACTAAAAATGTTAACCTGGTCCAAAAACATTAACCTCATCATTCCTTTGCTGAAATTGCAGCATCTGAAACTTTGACTGGTACAATGAAACACACTAGAAGCATCCTCCATGCATGTCTAATCAATATAGGACATAGAAGTACTTAAAAAGAAAACTGCTCCAAAATAACTTAACCTTAACCCGGGACGCCGACGCTGACACCAATGCCGATGCCGAGGTTATTACATAAGCTCCCCCAACTTCGTTGAAGTGAGCTAAAAACAAGAGGTCAATGGGCCACATCACTCATCTCAGACTGAATAACTTTACTTATTATAATAAGCTGTTCTCCACAAGATTTCCCCCCACGTAACACCTATTATTGCCCCACCCTATCCCTTGGGGTCATGATTTGTACAGTTAGAATCTATACTACCACAGAATGTTTCCACACAAGTTTCAGCTTTTCTGGCCCAGTAGTTCTTGAGGAGAATATTTTTCCTATATATTTCAATGTCAAACTTGGATTCCCTATTGTGGACCTGCTCTACCCCTAGGGGTCATAATTTGAACAATTTAAAATCTACACTACCCCAGGATGCTCCCACATAAGTTTCACCTTTTCTGGGCCAGTGGTTAAACTGTAGACTTTTCCTGTATATTTCAATGTAAAATTTGGATTCCCTATTGTGGCCCTGCCCTACTCCAGGGGGTCATGATTTGAACAATTTAGAATCTACACTACTCCAGGATGTTTCTGCATAGTATCTCACAGCCCAGTGGTTCTTGAAAAGAAATATTTTTAATGACCCCACTCTATTTTTGTCTTTTCTTGATTATCTCCCCTTGTAAGGGGACTCAGCCCTTAATTTTAACAATTTTAACTCACCTTCACCAAAGAATGCTTTGTACTAAGTTTAGTAAAATTGGTCTAGTGGTTCTTGAGAAAAAGTTGTAAATGTGAAAAGTTTACAGACGAACAAACGGATGGATGACAAGTGATCAAACAAGAGGCCCATGGGCCACATCGCTCACCTGAGAAGCTTTGACCATTCTGTTCTTTACCAGATTTCCCCCTTGTTATACATAATGCATCCCCACCCTACCCCACTGATCATAATTTAGACATTTTGAAATCTACACTAACCCATGATCCTTCCATGGGCACATATGTTTCAGCTTTTTTGGCCCAGTGGTTCCTGAGAAGAAGATTTTCAAAGATTTTGCCTATATATTTCTATGTAAAACTTTGATTCCCTATAATGGCACCGCCCTTCCCCCGGGGGTCATGATTCCTATAATTTAGAATTTACACTACCCTAGAATGGTTCTATATATATAAAATTAACTTTTTCTGGCCCAGTGGTTCTTGAAAAGAAGATTTTCAAAGATTTTTCCTATATATTTCTATATAAAACTTTGATTCCAAATTGTGGCCCCGCCCTTCACCCGGGGTCATGTTTTGAACAATTTATAATCAACATTATACCAGGATGCTTCCCCATAAGTTTAAATTTTTCTGGCCCAGTGGTTCTTAAGAAGATTTTTTAAAGTTTTCCCTATATATTTCGATGTAAAACTTTGATACCCTATTGTGACCCCGCCCAACCCCCGGGGGTCAAGATTTTAACATTTTAGAATCTACATAACACAAGGATGCTTCCACAATAAGTTTCAGCTTTACTGGCCCAGTGGTTCTTGAGAAGAAGATTTTCAAAGATTTTTCCTATATATTTCTATAAAAAACTTATGATTCCCCATTGTAGCCCCACCCTTCCCCCAGGGGTCATTATTTTAACAATTTAGAATCTACATTATACCAGGATGCTTCCACATAAGTTTCAGCTTTTCTGGCCCAGTGGTTCTTGAGAAGAAGATTTTCAACGATTTTTCCAATATATATTTCTATGTAAAACTTTGATTCCCCATTGTGGCCCCGTTATCCCGGGGGTCATGATGTGAACAATTTAGAATCTACATTATACCAAGATGCTTCCACATAAGTTTCAGCTTTTCTGGCCCATTGGTTCTTGAGAAGAAGATTTTCAAAGATTTTTGCTATATATTTCTATATACTTCTTTGATTCCCCATTGTGGCCGCCCTTCTCCCGGGGGTCATGATTTGAACAATTTAGAATCTACATTATAACTTGCTTCCACATAAGTTTCAGCTTTTCTGGCCCAGTGGTTCTTGAGAAGAAGATTTTCAAAGATTTTTCCTATATATTTCTATGTAAAACTTTGATACCCCATTGTGGCCCCGCCCTTGACGGGGGTCATGATTTGTACAATTTAGAATTTACACTACCCCAGGGTGATTCCACATAAGTTTCAGCTTTTCTGGCCCATTGGTTCTTGAGAAGAAGATTTTCAACGATTTTTCCAATATATATTTCTATGTAAAACTTTGATTCCCCATGTGGAGCTCTTCTCTCGGGGGTAAATGATGTGAACATGTTTAGAATCTACATTATACCAAGATGATTCCACATAAGTTTCAGCTTTTCTGGCCCAGTGGTTCTTGAGAAGAAGATTTTCAAAGATTTTTCCTATATATTTCTATATAAAAATTTGATTCCCCATTGTGGCCCAGGGCCACAATGCTCCAGATTCACCGGGGGTCATGATTTGAACAATTTAGAATCTACACTAGAAATGCTTCCACATAAGTTTCAGCTTTTGGCCCTGGTTCTTGAGAAGAAGATTTTTTAATGACCCAACCCTATTTTTTTCTTTTCTTGATTATCTCCCCTTGCGAGGGGATATGTCCCTTCATTTTAACAATTTAAATTTCCCTTCACCCAAGGATGTTTTGTACCAAGTTTGGTCAAAATTGGCCCAGTGGTTCTTGAGAAGAAGTCGAAAATGTGAAAAGTTTACATAACCAAAGACAGATATAAGTGCAGTTATAGAAACTATGATTATAACAAAATACCAAAAACTTGTGATGAAAAGCTCACCTGAGCCGAAGAAGCTTGAGCTTTTAGCACAGGTGAGCTAAAAACAAATAAATGCAATTACATTTTATTTAAATTTTTTTCTACTCTTGTATGAGCATACCTAGGGGGTTTCCCCTCCAATTTTCTTCTTCCCTCCATCTGCATCTGGACTTTAATCAGGTCAGTAGGACTGGCTATCAGCTGACCGAGAGCTCCAGCGATCAGCCCCCCTAGTGAGGCCTTCCTATCAAGTGTTTACAAACTGTCATTAGTGCTCAGAATTATCATGTTAAATAAGAGGCCAGAAGGCCTTAAAGGTCACCTGAGTAACTACAACATTGTGATAGATTCACAGATGTATAAAATGAAATTAACTGGTAGATAAAGATATCTTGCCCAAAAGCAAAAGAATTGGGATGTTTATGGATCAATAAAATGTGAATCTAGTACCCAGTGAAAAATCAATAAATACTTTATCTCTTCACCCATGGATGCTAAATGGCAAATTTTTTTAATTGGTTCAGTGGTTCAAGAAAAGAAGCTAAAAATGTTTCAAAAATTTACAACCAATGAATGCTTATGATGAATTGCAATAGAGTCAAGAACAAAAACAGAATAGCAATAGGTAACCTCAAAGACTCAGTTGAGCTAAAACTGCTTAATTTCCACAATTAAAATCACTCTTTTTTACTCTTATACTTAATAAATGTATACATGTACCTAAAAATGTGAATCTATGCTTCATATTTTTAAACAAATTATATAAACCAATGTAAATCAAAACTTTAGAATTGTTTACCATACTGGGAAGCTTCCGTCAGCCTCTCTTTGTAAAATGTGTTCCCTGAATAATTCATAAATAGACATCCGGCTACCTGTGTAAACTGTCAAACAAAAAGAAAAATCTCAAAGAACTCATTAGATATAGGCAGGCCAGATACAAATTTCAATACCTATTTTTTTCTAATGTAGATGAAGTTGGTCTAATGGGATAATGTTTATCTCCCTAAATTGGTTTAAAAGATATCTTTATATGAAGATGCAATATACTCTGTCAAAGTTGTTTATGCTTGAAGAAGGTGATTGAAATATTGCAGTGATTTTTGCTTCATTTGTATGAAAGTTCACCTATTAAACAGATTCTGCTTCCTTATAACTTTTTTCTAAAATGAACCATGCAATCTCTGGTTATGTTTTCTCTAAAAAGATATTGAGCATTCCATCTTATCATGTTATTATCTAAGGAACAGAGACTAATTTTGAGTCAAGGCATGACGTGTCGTATTACTTATTATGTCACTGTAAGGCTAAGCCTATTAACTGTTAAAACCAACCAATGGTGCATAAAGAGTTTAAAAAAGGTAAAGGCCCTCTAACTGTTGTTAAAAACTGATTGATATATACTGCAAGCAAAACTATTACATCATTCTCTTTATGAAAATGAGCTCTTTCTCTCTAAATGTCATTTACCTGGTACATGTATTAATTAATCATATACTGTACCTATGTGCCGAATTAAAGCTGGTTGTAGTCCCTGATAAAGACTGAGCACCCCCTCTTCACGAACTGTAACAAATAAAGTAAAGTTTAACATAAAAAATCTAAAAACAACAAGAGGCCCAGGGCCACAATGCTCAACAGATTCACACTGGACATGCTTGTTCTTAATAGAAATTTGAAGTTATTTTTTCTCTCTCTTAACATGAAAATTTTGACTCCATTATTGTGGCCCCATCCTATCCCCAAGGGGAGATGCAGGTCATTTTTTAATTTGGATCTATAAATCAGGGAGATGTTTCAAAATCATATGACAAACAATGCCCATAGGTCTAAGTCCTAGACTATATAATTACACAAGTTCTTCATAACCAAATTTTACTGATATAAGTGCAGTTATAGAAATCTATGATTATAATTCAAAATACCAAGAAACTTTTTAGTGACAAATGTCATTGACAGGATCCAATATCAGACAAGTGCTTCCACAGAAAACAGATCGCATTCCATTTTGGAAAATATACATGTAGCATGTATTTGAAATTAATCAGAATAACAAGTATAAGAACTATAGTTTAGGTAAGAGCCAGTAACTTGCCTATTCCCAATGCTGTGCTGACCATTCCTCGCTTGGCCATGAGGGCTCCACCCCCTGCCTTCTCTCCCTGAATCTGTAGGCGGGTCTTCGTGAGGTCCAAAGGGTATGTAGCTGAAAGAATGCAGAGAAAATTAATTTACTGATTGATTTAATGAAATCAAACATGGTTTGTTCTAGCTAGTAAGTTGATGTTCATTATAAATAATGCATACTTATTTGTGATTTATTTGAACTTAAAACTCTGACATATTTTACACACGGTTTTTTTTTTATTATTTCAAAACATTCAATGATTAATGCTAAATTAAGGAAATCATTTTTTTTTTTTTTACAAAAAAATAATTTCAAACACAACAGAAACATTCTGAGCCTAAAAAAAGTATTTTAAAAAAATGAAATTGAGAAACTTCTGCATTATTCCTGTGAAATAACTTTTGTAATGAAAGTTGTACTGTTCAGATAGACTCCCACATGCAGAGAACTTAAAAGGTTTCCCATGGCCATGTGTACCTAATTCTTTGAAAAAGAGTTGGGTACAAGTGTGTAAAGAAAATTTCCCTTAAAATATTATGCAGTTAGGTGTTGGTGGGTCCCTTTCCATAATATGTTCAGTCACTTCAGTGATAGAGGGCAACTCCAAGAGCTTTACTTCTTTCAGAATATTAGTAAATAATGTAGGACTTATTACTCATATTTTACAATTTCATTTTAACATTTATATTGCCTGTAAATCCCTGTTAAATTGTCTAGTTAGTACACATTTAGAAACTTTAATTTGTTACAACCTTTCTAAAATTCTAAATTTAAAATAATTTTTTCTATGCTCTTCTTAATGTCAGGACACATATATATTGTCTGTTGTATTTGCACAATGATGTCATACAAATACTTGTATTAAAATACCATATGACCTTTTTGGGAAATAAAAATGTTAGTCCAATATTTATACACTGGAATTGACTACGGATTTTTTCCGTAAATGGCTATATATTTCAGCTGATTAGACAAGAGCACACTGCGGGTAATGATCTAAAAAAGCAGGGGATGCATATATCCTCCATGGCACCTGATCCCACTTCTGATGCTGACCAGGTCGTGTTTGCAATCTCTTGATTTTGCTATATTGTTTAAATAGCGTAAAAAGCTTTGAAAACTATTCAAAATAGCTTTATTCCAGCTATTTATATCAGTTTTTCAAAAATGTTTTTCTGAAAATAAACAAAAAGTCTGATGTACGTGACGCTTGAACTGTACTATGGCTATTAAGTACAACTACCAGGAAATGGCAGATAGTCCTACTTTGCAGCTTTTGAAGTTTTTAAGCATTTAAGAGGCTCTGTTGTTGACAGTAAATAAAAATCCTCAGTCTTATTGGAAGTAAGTTGAATCCAAAAATAATATTATTTTGCCTGAAATGCTCCTATTTTAAAAAAAATATTTGCACCATTACGGAGATTTTTTCGATGCAACAATTTTCCTCTTTAGAAAACATAAGATTAAAAAAAAAAGGAGAGGGCTACATTATTGAAAAGTCTTATAAAATGACATTTATACCTATAAGTTTTTCACATTTAACGGGCTCTGTTGTTGACAGTGAATAAAAAAAAAAAAAACATTAGGGAAATTAATTTTCTGGACAACACTTAGTTCCAATGATTATTACATGATATGGAATGAAAAGTGGTTTGTGGAATATACAACAGCAGGATTAGACAAGTTTCACTGTATTAATGATCTAGGGGAAAAGAGGGAGGATATATACCTCCGGCTCCGGCCCTTTTGAGCTGACCAGGTCTAGTACAATCTCTTGATTTAGCTATATAGCTTTAAATAGCTAAAAAGCTTTATTAAGCTATTTAAAATAGCTTTATTCAGCTATTTATATACAGTTTTTCACAAAAATGTTTTTTGCTGAAAATAAACAAAAAGTCGCATGTATTTGACTCTTCATACATGTACTATGGACTATTAAAACAACAACCAAAATCAAAGATAGTCCTAACTTTGCAGCTTTTGAATACTTTTAAGCAAAAAGAGAATTTCTATTGTTAGACTAACTGTCCACTACCTTGGGTGCCTTGAGGCAAGGAAGAGTATGATTGCTTCTCATTGTGCTGAACTGTTACCAATCAATTATCCTTGTTGAACATAATTGGTCTCCATTATAATATTATTGCAGAAGTAACTGTATCAATTGCTTTATATGGCCCCAAAACTTGTAGAACTTTGAGTACAAAGTCTCTCAAGGAGACGTAATTTGATGAGTGATTTTTACATGCATTATTTTAAGAAGAGTTCAAAGTTGTATATCATCACTGCACCATGGTGCGCTTTTTTGTAAATACTGAGAAAATTACATCTTTAAGAAAAAAGTGTAGTAAAATAGCTAAATTAAGCTATACTGAATAGCTTAATAAAGCTATTTAGCTATCTAAAGCTATATAGCTAAATCAAGATATTGTACTGGACCTGCTGACTGAATTTAAATGTGGCTGCATGTGTAAAGCAGTGTAAAGTGTATCAAAATTAACACACACACAAATAGAACAATGAATCAGCATAGTTCCAAGAACAATTTTTGTTATCTATTTCAGTGTTACCTGTAGAGGGGCAACTGACCTTGAACATGTGTTAGATAAACAAAGATAAACATTTAACTTAGAAGGTCTATATTGATAAACTTTCAAAACTTGACAAGTGATGATGCAAAAAATAATTTAGAGTCATTTAAAAATATACATGTATAACCAATGACACACCTGTTTCTGCACATACTGCTGCGATAGATGACAGGACATATTTAAACCAAAAGGAATCAGCTGATGATGCTGTTGAAGTTGTTGCTAATTTACTCCCACCTGTCATTTTGTAGCACTTATTTTAAATCCTACTACTTGAAAAAATAACGTTCTTGCACTCAGTTCTAATGATAAAATAGATATTTCTCTGTGCAAAATCCTCCACGAAAATTTCATCGTAGAGACTCAGCTGAGACGGCACATACACATTTCTCGTGTTTGTAAAATTGAACGGAACTATGTAAAAGTAGGCCGCAAGAGTGATCAACGACTCGGCCATTTCCGTAACCGCAAATGGGTGACGGAAAAGGACGAACGTGTTCCGATTGGACATATCATACGTACAGTGTACCTGTACCCGTCATGCCCGTGTTATCACTTATCATGCTTATAACATAAAGCTAAGCTCTCAGTCGAAGCCGCCGGAGTTCAGATACATATAATTATGACTTTGACTATGTTATAATGAATCTCTTTCTCTTTCTGACTCTATCTATCCCTCTTTAACAGACGAGCCGTTAAATTCCTCAATAACATAATTATTTCCAAGATTTTGTCATTACTCACAAAAAATTGAGGTATCTTACCAGGCATTTGTTCGAGATACCAGATGATGGCATTCCTTATATAATCCCTAAGGGAAAAAACTTATTTTGCCAAACTCACATTTTTAGTGTTTCAAATTTTTAAAAACAATTAGAAACCAGTTTAGAAATCAGAAAGTTATTAAAATTTTGTATATTTTTTTTTTTTATACATTATGAAGATATACCAAACAGATATTTGGGGAACATATCGTCTGACCTTAAATCCTGCAAAGTGGAGATTGCTCCAGTTGATACGAAGAAGCATGTTGGAATTTAAGAACCACATAATCCAGGCACGTTGCTAATAGTGACTAGGGAGGGTGGCAGCCCCCCCCCCCGGTTTTTTTTTCTCAAACATTATCTTTAGCATTGAATATTTCATTGAAAGGCCGCCCCCCTCGTTTTATTGTCACGTTTTTTTTATCCCCCCTTAATCGAATATTGGGGAGCATATAGTTTGTGTCTGTCTGTCTATCTGTTTGTCTGTCCGTATAAACTTTCATATTTCAAAGGTGTTTTCCATGTGAGAAGACCTTCCATTGGGTACTAATAATTTTGACCTTTTGACATTTGAGTTTAAATTGCATTAGCTGCAATAATGTAGCCCTCTCCGATTTTTATCTGATATACCCACCCCACCCCACACCCCCAAAAAAGAGAGAGGGTTATATTATTGCAGGTATATTTGCATTTGAATAATTTACACCCTTGTCATTAGCTAGTATGGGAGGGGCATCAGTTTTTCACAGACACACATCTTCTTCTTTCTTTTCTTCCCGTAAGTTGGATTTTTTTCTCTGACTGTCCCCCTCCCCTTTTTTCAACGTTCCTGTAATAGAAAAAAATTAATTATTTGTATTCCTACCAAGGGCGGATTTAGGAATTGGAGGAAACAGGTCAAGTAGCTTATGGTTTATGGTGTGTCAAATTTTCTATTTTGATAAAACTTTGTGGGAAGACGGTAGGTATAACTTTAATCTCAAAGCTGGGATCGAGGATGGGGTTTAACCTGTAGAGTTAAAAAATCGTAACTTTATTTTTATGCTCGAAGCATAGTTTTTGCCCTGTCCATCCGTCTCTCTAGCTTTTTGTCTGTTTATCTGTTTGGTGTTATAGTTCTCATATTCCACGTGTTTTTCGTATGACAAAGCCTACCTTTGGGTACCAAAGTACCTGGCCTTTTGTCCTTGACCTTGGAGTTTGATATAATTTTACAAGAATTTACCGAACTTTAACCTTGGCCATACTTTTGAAAAGTTGGTGCTAGAGCTTTCATACTTCATAAATAAATGAATTATGATAAGACCTTTCCCTGAATATAAATATTTTTGGCCTTTTGACCTTTACTTTTGAGTTATATCCACTTTTTAAAACTTTAACTTTGAACAGAATTTTTGAACAGTTAGTACCAAGACCTTCACATTTCACAGGTACATCATTGTCAGTTGTGATAAGGCCTTGCTTTGGCCGGTACCAACCATTTTGACCTTGACCTTGGAGTTTGGCTTACTTTTGAAAAACTTAAATCTTTAGCCATAACTTTTAAACAGTTGGTGCTTGGTCTTTTTAATATTTCGCGTGTGTTTTTCTTATGAAAAGACATTCTCTAGGGTACTTTGATTTTGACCCTTAAAGAATGAATCTTCATAACAGTTTTCTCGCCCCTTTTTAAATGCAGAAATTTACCTTTTCAAATCAGAACTTTGTAATGTTAAAGTTAAAGTTTTCAAGCAATCTTTCATGAATGTAAATGATAGTATACCTCTTAACATTGGTCATAATTACGATAACTTGAAACATCCATGTGCTCATATAAAAAAAAATCGGCCTGCAAAATGGGGATGTGGCCTGAATCAAGTCTATGAGAAATCGATGTAAACAACGTACCCCTATATTAATCAGATAAATACCTAATTACAGTGGATGTTAGTAAAAATTGAAATTTGTAAACTACAATGTTTGGTGAAAATATTGAGACAAAAGTATTTAGAAATTTTTTTGTGTTAATTATCGGGGGGGGGGGGGGGGGGGGGGGGGGGCCGATTTAGACGTTTAAACGATTCATTCTTTTATTACTTTGACCATTTTAAAAAATGTTAGCCTTGACCATATAATCACTTAATGGTCAGTACATTTCACAGGTATATTCATTGAGAACTAGTCCTTTCTTTGGGTAACAACATTTTTATGCCTTAACGAACCTTTGAGTTTTACTTGCATTTGAGAAATTTCAACCTATATAACTGTCAAACAGCCGGGGCATTCAGTGCTTCGCAACACAAATCTATTTTTTTTAAAATCATATTATTATTAATGTATGCATATAAAGTGCCATTGCTTTTGTTTGTTTGTTTGTTTATTTATTTATTTATTTATTTATTTATTTATTTATTTATTTATTTATTTATTTATTTATTTATTTATTTATTTATTTATTTATTTATTTATTTATTTATTCATTTATTTATTTACTTATTTATTTATTTATTTATTTATTTATTTATTTATTTATTTATGTGTCGTAAAATTTTATATAATGGTTAAGTTCTTTCTTTTCTCTCTGCAGCCCTTTTTTCTTCTTCTTTTTATATTATTGTATACATCACGTGTGTATATTTTTGTTATTTTTGTTTGTGTTGGAGAGAACAATCTAAGTTGGCATAACTTGTGTCCAATCCCATTGATTGTGTTCAATAAAATATGTTTAAATAGAAAAAATAAGTGGATGTGATAATATTAATTAAGGACATGCATGTAGTGCATATACTCAGGGACCTATGTACTAAGTTAGTATATAGGTCCATGATATACTTTACATTTTCAATCTGCAGATTCAAATGTATTTGGATTAGGCAATTTAAAAGAATACACTAATAAAGCATGGATGAGGAAAATATATTCCCTCTGATCTTAATGATGACATGATTTTTTTTTATTTCTAAAATGACTGATAGTACAATTTATGGTACATATGCAAATAATATTTTTACTGGAAAAATTCGATCGGGCTCGAAATGTTCGATGAATCACCAGATTTCCCCTTCCGAGATAGAATGTAGATTTTATCAAAACTAAAACAAAAGTGAACTTATAGTCTGCATTTCCAAACAAAAATTCGAAGGAGTTAAAGCTTAATTTAGCATTGAAGTTCGTATAATTTTTATGCTTTCATTGGCATATTTGTCTAAAACGAAAGGAAACTAGATATATAGGACTTCTCAACACGCGCAGGAATTTATCACGGTCAAGATGGAGGCGATAGCGAAACATGACTTCAGAGCAACTGCTGATGATGAATTAAGCTTTTCTAAAAATAATATTTTGAAGGTATTTGATTATTTTTCTCAGTGCAATTAGTGGCATTCCATTCATACATTGTGGTGCCATCATATCTTATTCTAATTTGTTTTGGATACTTGGGCGAGTTGACTTCCTGGAAGAAAATTACATCAAAAATAAGTTTCCAATGTCTGATTATTACCTCGATGATAGTTTACCAAGTCTGAGAAATAGGACTTATTGTATCATAATATATTTTATTCAAGAAGACACTACAATAAGTAGTTTTTCTCAATGATCTCAAGCATGAGTCATTGATAATCAGTATACCTACGCATTTGAATATTGAATAACGGTACTGCTTTGAATAGTTCTATTAGTTGGACTTATATATAGGTCACACTATGCAACTACCACCCCTTTCAAAATAGTTGTTAAAACAAAGTTTACATTGCTTTGGGGCATATATCATTATGTAACTAGTGCTAATTGTAACGGGGACCGTTACAGATGTTCCCCAAACGCTCCCCAACTCCCTTTTATAGTCATATTCCCTGTAAGCGTAATTAAATAAGACGAACTCTATGCATTTGAGACTTTGACAACATTTACCCAGAGGTGTACCATGTTCATTCAAATTTTATCATTGCACACTTGCGCAGGTGAATGCATGTGCGTAATGACCATATCATATTGTCTACACAATCTATATATTTTAATATGCTAAATATTAAGGTATTTAATCCAAAAGTATAAAAAAAACGCTCATTCAAGTGTTTTTTTGATTTTACCCATTTCACGTGCACGCACGTGCATACATGAGCATGGTGACCATACCTTCTTGTTGAAGTCCATTACATCTATATATGTTCTAAATCCCACCCCGTTTGGTTGAAAACCAAGGGAGTTATAGCTGTTTAAAGTTTCAGCCAATCAGATTGCAGCGCACGTACACGCACATGTATGCATGTGCATGGTGACCATACCTTCTTGTAGAAGTCCATTATATATATCTATATTCCAAATCCCATCCTGTTTGGTTGAAAACCAAGCGAGTTATAGCTGTTTAAAGTTTCAGCCAATCAGGTTGCAGCGCACGTACACGCACGTGTATGCATGTGCATGGTGACCATACTTTCTTGTAGAAGTTCATTGTATATATCTATGTTCCAAATCCCATCCTACTTGGTTGAAAACCAAGGGAGTTATACCTATTTAAAGTTTCAGCCAATCAGATTGCAGCGCACGTGCATGCACGTGTTTTCATGATAATTGCTATATATCATTTTGTAGGATATCCTAATGCGTGGCTATGTTCAAAATTTCAAAGGATTTAGTTAAAAAACAAGAAAGATATTGAGACTTTAGTTTCAGCCAATCAGAGCAAAGCGCACGTGCATGCGCGTGAGACCTTGCTATTTTGACCATGTTATCTTGTCTATAGTACTAATATATCTTTACATTATGAGTTTCAAAGCATTTCATCAAAAAATAGAAAAGTTAAGGCAATATACATTATATTGGCCATTTAACGTGTTGCACGTGCTCGCTCTTGCAAGCACGTGCGCGCAAAATGACCTTCGTTCGGCAAATCTACATAACATGTCTACTGACCCTAAAAACATTTCACCTTAGTTGGATGTGTAGTTTACGAGATCATTCGCGGACAAAAAAGTGCCCAGGAAGAAGAAAAATAATAATAACTAGAGCAAAGCTCGTTGCAAAGCAACGAGTAGGTCTTCCGTCCTGTTCGACCGGAAGTAGCTTTCATTTTTAACAAAAATGAGAAATAACGCCAAAAAATGGGTTGAATCATCTAAAACTATGTTAATTAATGCAAAAATAAGCCATTTTTTGCTACTTCCGGTTTGACCGGAAGTGACGACGACGGACGGAAAATTAATTTTTATGCTCCCAGAGACATATGTTACCCAAAAACTTCCCAAGCTCGGCAAAAATACGCGTTTTCCGACCACTTCCGGTTTTGCCGGAAGTGACGACGCCGGACGTATTTTGAAGACGCCAAAAGATTAAGCTTAACATTTTGGACAACTTTGCTTCTTTGATGTATTACAAATTCTCGATACGTTTTGAGATATAAAGAAAAAACTTTCGGCCCCTCTAGGCCCTTAATTTTAGGGGCCAGCCCTTTTTACAAGATATCATTTGAAAGATCTTGGAATTCTACACTTCTTTTGTTCTATATGTTTTAACAAAATATTTCCAGGTAAAAAGCTATCGTAGAAAAGATGTTAAAAATTTTGAAATTCGCGATAGGTCTATTTTCGGGCCATAGCGAGCGTCGGCGCTTCGTACTTCCGGTAGTTGTGATATACAAAAGGCACTTCTCCAAAGTTTGCTCTAGCATCCCTCAAAAATCCACACTTCTATCTTCAATGGTTTTTGAGAACATTGCCGGACAAAGTGACCCTCTAAAAATGTCAAAATCGCAGAAATCTCCGAACCGGAAGTGACGTCATCAAAACAAAAAAATATATATCTAGATTTTTTGATGTTCTATCATTCCTGAAAGTTTCATGAAAATCGATCAAGGCGTTTTCGAGAACTCGCGTGCACAAAATATGTAAGAAAAAAAATAATAAAAACTGTGGAAAAGAAACCTAAGAATAACAGAAAGGTCTTCCGCTGAAGACGGAAGACCTTAATAAGAAACAGAGTAAAAACAATATGTTCCCCAACTTCGTTTGGGGAACATAATTATCTGGGAAATAGTTATTATAAAACAGTATATATGTTTGAAACAAAATATGCTTTCAAAGTAGATTCAAATTGATTGTACCAAGTTTTAAGAATAAATTTACTCATTACTGTAAAATTCTAGCTGCTGGTCTGTTTCCAAAAGATCTGAATATTAGATGGGCTTGGTAGTTAATTTCCTTGCATTTGATTGTGCACAATAATGTGTGTAATTACATATATTCTTAAAATTTCATTATTTTGCGCATAAATGTGAGTGATTCAAGAGTTGTGTGACAGTATAGAGAAGGCTTGACTGGGAATTGAACCATTACCAAGACAGATCTATCTCAATTTCTCCATTCCTCCCTTCTTAATTGTCTACACCCACAAAAACACAATCCGAGTTCTTTTTGACCATGGCAGATTTTTAAGCTGCAAGTCCATATGTGACCAGTAGCACCAGATTATTTAGAGAAAGTAGAAAAAAAATTAATGGCTGCACGGGACCTTTAACACTATTTGGATGCTGTTTTCACTGAGATACCCAGGCTGATATCCACTACCCAAAGCATCAAAATTGTTGATAATGTACAAAACTATCAACTCACAGTCTACATTAAATCAGAGACTCAGAGTTAAGAAAAGGTGATAATGGGTCTAATGAACAAAACGACTGAAGTAAAAACAAAACCAATTGCAGTTTCAATGACATTTTATGTTTTATACAAGTCATACAGGAAGCTTTATTGCCCTTTGTCCAAATTATCAAGCTACCCACAACTTAAACAGAGAAAAGAATTAAGGTTCAAATTTCAGGATTAAAAGAACTATAAATACCAATGCTAGACAGATTTTGTTCTACAACTAACTTATAAGAATAATTTAAGAGCAGTCAGTCAGAGCACACAATAAAACATTAAGCCAGTAGCAAAATATTATGGCGATATAACTCTTAAACTTTTCTTTGAGTTTAAAAAATACATTTATTCACTTTGACAATTTCAAGTAACTGAAAAACTGTTTGAAAATCTTTGATTGTCCATTCCAGAGTTCTGCTTTAGACAATATTGAGCTACAGGTCTGCCAAAAAGTAGTAAGGCAGCTAGATGAAGCATTGAATTGTGTTGATGGGGGAAGGGATGGGGGGATGTCCAGATGGGGGTAGGCTGATGGTTATCATTGCACCCTTTTGTGCTAGGAAAAAGACATATACCAGCTTACATCATGTACATGTTCTTGCTGGAATTCAAATTGTCGGTTTTTTTTGTCAGTTTGGAGTTTAACTGTATTCCATTCATCCACTTCCCCACTATTGGACATCATTCTTTTTAAAGCAGCATTGACTTCCTCATGTGCATATAATTATGTACCTGTATTTTACGGTATTTATATATATACATTAAAAAAAATAAACAAAAACCTCATTATTCAATTGTTTACATCTACTAAACTGTATGAACCTTTAAAGGAAATTGATTACATGTGTGTAGTTTCAAATATTTTCTAGTTAAATGTAAATACTGTACAACAAAATCAGTTTAAAATTATTTACCACATTCCCTTTCTTATTCCTTACTATTAGTCATAGTTAGGATTAAACTTGTTCAGAGATCTTTTCGTCGTTTAAATATTTGTAGAATACGTAATGTATGATATATATACTGTCGATCACTAAATTTTTGCCACACCTTATAATATTATTTTCACAAATCAGACATTAACTCTATATTAGCAAAACAAAGAGCAAAATCCATCTTATGCATAAGATGGCCCTCTACTTATATCAATTAATTAACTATCACCCTCTTTCCCATTTCACATATATGATATATCAAAATAAAGTAGACACTTGGTGCTTTCATTTTCTATAATAAAATTTCATTTTGAGAATCCATGTATTGGAAAACAGGTTTGAGAAATCGCAATGTTCTTGAAATTTGCAGAAAACATGCGTATTTGACTACCTTCAGCAAAGAATTAAAATATGAGCACAGCCCACGATCCAAAAAAGAAAACGTCTTTTGATCTTCAGAAACAGAGCTTTCATTATGTATTTGCATATTTTGGATCAGAGGTTGTGCTCTATATGAAATATTGAAAAAATGCTTCAACTTTAAGTCATTTTCAAAGGAATTTACAGTAAATGAGGAAAATGACGCAATTTATGACGTCATAATGCATTGACAAGATGGGAAATTACGTCACAATTAATAGATACATGGTCACCAACACTCCAAGTGATAAATACTGCATTTGCAACCTAAACTAAGCGGTTTTGATTTTTCAGAAATTCTCAGGGCCAAATAAGGCCCAAAGTGGCTCTTGCTCTTTGTTTGTGAATTTTGTTACTGCTTTATATATACTTGAGGAATACTAATAGATGCGAAATTGATTTTATGTATGCAACAGTAAAGTTCACTAAAATAAAAAAAAGGATGTACAGTAAATTTCAGACCTTGTAAAAGAAATCCTTCCTTCTGAATTTCAGTAACTACCACATACCATATATCAAATTTCTGATTTATTTCATTTCATGTAAGGAATGAAAATATGGGTGATAAAATTTTGAAAAATTGATGTTTCAGTATTGAATAAGAGTCCATGAATTTTCAAAACAGATTTTTGGAAGAAATAAAAGGAGAAGTTTATGCAGGAAAACATTTCATTTGTGACAGGAAGGACTAGTGAGAGAAATGTTAAATCAAAATAAAATGGTATTAAACTAAATCATGGGAATATTTTACTTGAGAATTGGCAGATCCACATGCATGGCATTTGTAAGCCTATTCATTTCTCAGATAAAAGCAATTTTACAAGAACATGCACATAAAAGGTACATGTATAATTGTAACTTTTGCAAGATAACAAAATCATATCACAGTGCTTGGTCCTAATGTTCCATCAAATCCTACCAACAGAACTATGCACACTTGGATAGCCTGGCACTAAAGTACCATGTGTTAATTTTTAAAGTAAAAACCCATGTCTATAAGATGAAAAATAAAGCAGTCTAGATTATCTACTTGTCATTATGTAATAAGAATGTACATGTATATTATATTACATTTATCCATGTGCATTTTTTCTATTTTAGATTCTAAGTATGGACGATGACCAGAATTGGTTCAAAGCAGAGCTAGATGGTAAAGAGGGATATGTACCAAATAACTATATAGAAATGAAACCTCATCCGTGAGTATGCCGTTACAATATATTGAAGTTCAATGAGAAAGAAGACTAATAATCTTATGAATTGAAGTTAGTCATGAATAGAATATCTTCATTGTATTGTTTTTTTGAAGTTGTACATGTAAAAAGCTAAATGCATGAGGATAGTTGTATACTATGATACATACATGATGTGGACAGTGATAAAAAGTGATACAGCATGTATTTTGTAATTAGTGAAGACTTCATGATTTATACTCTCTGTATTTACATCAAGAGGATTTATTAAAACTTTGTTTTATTTCTGCTCATAGGTGGTTTGCTGGGAAGATTCCTCGATTAGAAGCAGAAAGGCGATTATTAGAGAAAGACGGTAGAGGAAACTTCATACATCCAGACGGGGCATTTCTGCTCAGGAACAGTGAGAGTGCTCCAGGAGAATTCTCAATATCAGTAAAGTAAGTTTGTAAATACTTTCCCTTCAAATTTCACATTTGATGTAGAGATTGAAAGTGGCCTATGTTGCTGTAGAGAATCACAGATGATGAATTTTCTTTCTTCTCTCTAAAGTCAAGTCATGTACTCTTTAGAGCATTGTCCCTCAAGTTCACCTTTTTCAAAGTAATATGAGAAAATTTAGATGCCTCATGATATTATTTTAAGAAAATGGTAATCATAGTGCGCACAAAGGTTTTTTGTTTGACTCAGTCAATACCGTATAAGCAGAATTTTTAACAAGGATGTAATTTTTGCATTATTAGTACGGGTGTTGAGATAGCTAAAATTCAGTATCTCTAAAAATTAATTGCATTTTATTTGTAATAGCTTCTTAATTAAGCATTTTTAAATCACTAAAATTACTTCTCCCTAAATATAAAATATCATTTTTTAAAGGACAAATCCCTAAATTTCCATCTCGCCAAAATTTTATACAGTATTTAATCAAGGTTACTTTTGTAGTTAACAGTCAATGCCAACTTCGATTTGTGACTCTAGGAATCATAATACCCTTGCATGCTAAAGGTTCATGGCAAATACTTCGACTTGGCACCTTGTAATGTTCAAGGTATTATTAAAGAATGCAGAGCTTTTAACTGAGGCTCTTTCTTGTAGGAATGGGTTTGTTGTGAACCAAATATCTTGAATCATTTATACTTCATTCATTTTTTGAATCAGATATAATTTTTCTCAGATAAAAAAAACCTGTCTATTTGGATATACTTTTTAGTGGTAGGAATTTTATGAAGGTCATTGTCCACTTTACATTTTGAGTTTTGAACCTTGGTGTATAGCTTTATAATTTTAAAGACATTTGTCAACTTGTCTCCATTAGCAGAAATAATTCAACATATCAAGTCTATGTTTCTAAATATCTGCTGTTCAATAAAAAGCATATATCAGAGGTAACCTTCAGTTTGATAATATATGTAATACTTTATGACAGTAATGTTAAATTTTTATCAAATAATATTACCCTATTTCTAATTCTACAATTCCTAATTCGATGGAAGTAGAAATGGCATGTGAAAAGTCATAATATATTTTTAAAAATGTGCGTGACTTTCGTATATTAGATTCTTCCTGTTGACCAGATTTTTATTTATTTGCACCACTAAAAAATTACTGCATCAAATAAAAATATATCTGATATCATGAAATGAAAGAATTGTTGATGATATGTATTTGCATAAAATTCACTGTTAAAAAATGAAAGAAAAATATTTGAAGAAAACCATTTAAGGTCAACAGTTCAAGCAAATTGTTGGGAAGAAAGTCTCTGCATTGGTTCAGGTTCACAGTTCTAATCCTTTCAGTTCTTGTGAAGAAAAAGTCTTTTTATAGCAGTCAGCACTTTTATATGCACTTGCCATTGTGATTTAATTAAAGAGAAGAACGTATTTGTAGAACTTTGATGAGGGTTTCATTTCCTTGATTTGTGTCAAGTATTGACGCAATAATCAGGGCACGGCCAGGAAGGTTGTTTAGTGTTAATAATGTTAATCAACCCTACATAAATATTTGTTTTCTGTGCTTGAACAAGAACATATTTTTTCCTGCAGTTTTGAGGATAATTGTTAACAAAGTGGAAAATGCTATTAATATATTTATATAAATACATTTTTGTACTATATATGATACTTATTGCATATGAAATGATTCTACCATGTCTATCTATACATTTTCTCCAAGAAGATATAAAGTTTTTCATAAAGGAAATTAAAGAAATTAATCAACTGTATCAAACCCCAAATGTAGAACCAAATTAGAAGACTAGTAGAAGCTGTTCCATTCATATCAATATAAAGTGTACTGATTTTGAAAATAATATATCTTACAATTTACATGTCAAAAACTATCATTAAAGGTTAGATTCTTGCATTTAAATCTAAAGATTTAATTTAAAAGAAAAACCTTCCTTCTTTAAAGCAGAGGGAATCAACAAATACTGGGAACTGTTTTTTTATTGATCTTCCTCAACATTATTTACCATTCCTCATAAAATTTACATTTATATTGAACTTACTCATGCTAAGAATTTATAGTCATACACATGACTTGGGCATTTTGAAACAAGGTCAGCCAGTAACTTTTTCTTTGAATTGTATGTTGTTAGGAACTGGGGTCCATCAGATTTTGGGTTTTGATTCACTGTTAATGTCCTTTGCAGTATGTCAGAATACTTGCAGTTCTAACACTAGAGCAATCATGGCAATTTTGACTTTAAAAAACTTACGTATGTGTATTTCATCTTGAGCAAAATATAGTTGTCCAAAAGTATATAGTGGCACTTTATTTATTTGGATACCAATGATCTGTTTACTTTACTTTTATGACAGTAAGGTTTTGAATGTGATTATCATTAGAATATTCAGCTTTTAAATAAGGGATATCAGGACTTTTTAATCTACTACCTTTAAAATTAGTGTTCCGAGAGGTATTAAAAATGACTTGTACTTTATTTGCACGCATTTGTTCAGCACCCAGATGAATTTTGCTAAAATAACCAACAAATCCTGGGCACCTTATCTTTCAGAGTTCGCGAGGCGGTGCAGCACTTTAAGGTCCTTCGGGACGGAGAAGGCAAATATTACCTCTGGGTTGAAAAGTACAACTCGGTCAACGAGTTAATAGAGTTTCACAAAACTTCATCTGTGGTCCGGGGACAAAATATAAAGCTCGTTGAATTGGGCCAGGTAAAAAAATATATATATGCATATTATCTCTCTTTCCTCTCTCAAAATGTGCATGCTTTTTCTCTTCCAGGTTTCAAGAAAATATCCAGCATTTTAAAGTATTAAGGGACGGAGCAGGCAAATATTTCCTATGGGTTGTCAAGTTCAACTCTATAAACGAACTGATCGAATATCATCGGATGTCATCTGTCAATCGTGGACAGACCATTGTACTCAAAGATATGGCCACTAACAGGGTTGGTAGCATCACACCCGACGCATGACCTCTAGGGTAGACGACCCCTGACGCATGACCTCTAGAGTAGTCGGTCCTGTGTTAGATCTTTGACGACAACCCACTATGGCGTTGGAGTTTGGAGTGTGATCTGTTCTGTTTTTGTTGTTTGTTGACATCTGTTCTAACTCTATAAATCGACCTCTGTTCTCTCCTCTTGACTAACTTAGTGTGCACTTTTACTATTTCCTCATCATGAGCTTTGTCTCCAGAGTTCATGTGCATGCAGTAGCATATAAGACTACCATTAGATCAAATACAGGGACTGTGCATGGGGTCTTTTTAAGTTTTTGATACAGCTACTGGTAATTTGAAAGTTGTTTTTGTGAAGAGGGTAGGTTTCATTGTTTGGAACCAGTAAACCATCATGTGGCCAATTAATGGCAATGGTAAGGATCGTTGAAAAGGGGTTTAAACAGAGTGTGTAGCTAGAATATTTTATTCATACAGTGCATATGTTTAAAAATGATACTTTTTGCCTACAATTTACATTTGTGGTTGACTTATAACAAATATTTTCACTATTTAAATCTAAAACAAGATGTGTTTGTGAAACACTATGCGCCCGGCAGCAACAAAGTTCGAAAAAAGCTATTTTTAGCATATAGGTCACAGTCAAGGTCCCAAGGTCATTGACCTTGGTGTCATTTCAAAGAACTTTATTAGTAGAATATGCATACTAAATATGAAGTCTTTTATGGTTCAAAAGTTATGGCGAAGGTTAAATTTTGCAGAAAAAAACTATTTTTAGCATATAGGCCACAGTCAAGGTCACAAGGTCATTGACCTTGGTGTCATTTGAAAGAGCTTAATTAGTGGAGTATGCATATTATGGCGAAGGTTAAAGTTTGGGGACAAACAAACAGACAGACAGACAGACAGACAGACAGGTGCATAAAAAAAAACTTCTTTTATTTTCAAATTCAACATCATGTCATCCATTATTGACATTAAATTGAAATAGTGTAAATGAGTGTGTGGCCTTAATGCAAAGTGATCTAGGCAGTGATAGATGCATATTGCTTAAATGGTGTTTTAGGGAAAACTATTGCAAAAGTAAATATTTTTTTCATATTTTCTTTTACACTCTTAAAATTTTCAAGCCATTTTCTTACACTCTAACCTCCTGCAAACATTTTTGAATTTGAAAGGCTATGTATGTTTTCTACACATTACAATTCCTGAACTGTTGAGCATTTTTTTATTTATTTATTTATTTTTTTTTTTTTATTTGTTTTATTTATTTTTTGCACCTTCATATATTTTTTCTTTCATCATTTTTTTTTTCAATCATATATTCCGTTAGATTATAAAACAATTGATTTCAAGTAAAGTTGTTTCACAATATTGAGGGAATGACCTTATAGCTTGAAACCTTTAACTAAATTTTTTTTGAAAGCTGGATCATCAATTCCACAAAAGAAAAGAAATGTCAAATTCGAGAATGAAAAGATTGTTACAAATATTTTTTATGATATACTTTTTCTAAAATTTTTATTCATTTTATACATTCCATTTTTAATAAAACTTTATTCTGTATTAAATCAGGTATTTATTTTTATTCTAGATACAATGTATTTAAATAAAAATTAACTGTAAACTTCATAACATCTAGTACCATGATACCAGTTTATCCTGTAGAGTTAACTTAAGTTTATAACCAATGCAAGCAGTATTAAAATAAATTTGTTGTAAAATATTTGAATGTTCTTAACTTTGAAGTAAGGTAAAATTATGTTCACTTTCTCAATTTTTGCAATGAAAATATATTTTGCTTCAAGTATGTTTAATCGAGACAACATCCACTATCAGGTGCTGTGTGACTATTTGCTTTGGATTTCTAATATTTTGGTTTTCTTTGCAGAAAAAGCGAGCAACAGCCCAGTACGAATTCAAAGCGGAAACAGAAGAGGAGCTGGGATTCTGTAAAGGTGATGTGATTACGATTTTAGAGGAAGTGGATAGCAACTGGTGGAAAGGCGAGTTACACGGAAGCGAGGGCCTGTTTCCTGCTGCATACGTCCGAGTTCTTGACAGCTAAAGTCCCCCCTCCCCCACCCCCCATAATCATGTACTGACTCTTGCATGTGGAAAATCAGCTTGAAATAATCGTTTGTAATATTGTCATTTTGTAAGGACAAAGTTGCTTTCCCAATCTCTTCTGGACAGATAACCATTGGTCCAAAGTGGCATATTGATGTATATGTGATAAATATTGGGGCTCATGGAAAATCTATTTCTGTCAGCCATAGAGTGCCAGCCTTATTGCATATGCCAGTCTAAGATCATGAATATCAGGCTTTTCCCCCCATTATGTTGAAAGTCTCAGAAAAGGATCTTCTTTCCAATCAAGTTATTTTTTTTCTCTCTAAAGAGATCAAATGTGTACAAATGTATTTGTATAAACTTCATTTTTCATAGATACTCATTGTACATACATTAACATTCTTAGCAGTATATGTTGCTTAATTCATTATATTTGAAAATTGTAAGAAAATTCTTTTTGTAATCAATGAATTATGAAAATAGGACAGATTTAATTGGATCTTTCCTTGATTCTCATGTTTAAGTAGGAACCAGAAAGCCAGAGACTTGAATCGTATTAGTTATAGCATGAGATTGGGGCCAGTGTACATCACTGATGTTAATTTATAATAGTATAAGGGACAGATCTGATCATGAGGTATTTTTTGTACTTTTTTTAAAAAAGAATTGAAAACAATGTTCAATGTTTAGAATCAAATAACATAAGTTCTCTGGCATATTAATAAAATATTTTTTATAATAATTTTATAATTTTAATTTAAAATTTTATTCCATGCTTAATAATGCCTCCCCTTTCTGTCACTAATTATCAGATGTCCTACATATATTTTTTTAATGCATACAAATAGTAGCTATGTGTTTTTGAGAAGGGTAGTTTGCATAATGACAGGCCAGATAAGCTGAGAATGTTCTCCATACAGTTCAGTTAACCATTTAATGTTTAGTCTTAGCTAGCAGGGACTTACTTAAATAAAAGAGAGCCTTAACTCTCTCATTGGTTATTTTGACATGTTTATGTTGCTGTTGATATATGGATATATATATTTATATACTATAACTACCTTTGTGATCTTGTTACTTTCACTTTTGATATCCAACATAAATGCACTTGGCATCAAGCTGAAAATGAAACTAGAGCCTCCTTTTTTCTGCAGGTTTGTTTGATGTAATTGTTTGTTTGATAATGATTATTATGTACTTGTTTCGTAGATGCTCTAAATTTCTGTGCTGTTACTCCAAGTACTTCCTTCAGAATGCTGGTCATGACTTCTTGCTCTGTATAAAGTGATTTATCTGGAAATTGGCACTGGTGATATATCACTTAGTTTCTGAGAAACAATATATCCTCTGCCATGTTTTATAAAATGTTAACAAAATTGTCAAGTATGTCATTCAATAAATTTTAGCAATTTTTAAAATCCTCTTTCATTTTCTTGTCTGTGTCATTTTGAGAAATTTTCAATTTAATTCAAGTTATTGATTCACCAAACATGTTGGCATATAACCATCATGAACCATGTTAAAATTTTGTGAAGATTAAGGTTCATTATTACTCTGATATGAGAGGTAACTCTACCTTAGCTACAGTACATGACTACCGTTCATTTATGAAATTGTCAAGTTTAATTTTCATTTCTGTTTACCGGTAATTTTGCTCAGCAAGGTGTACTGAAATTCTGTGCACTTAATTATAAATTTGGAAATCACAAGCATTTATTAAAAAAAGAAAGGAATAGTAAGCAGAAGAATAATGATCTACGGTGAAAATTTTTAATCTTTTCTTGCCAAAGGCATTCTAACATGCTGATTTCTGATTATCTTTGTTAATGTATCAGAGAACAAAAAAAAACTACCCATATACATATGAGGGGACTTGTAGAAAAAGCACAAAAAAGACTTCTTTTTTTAATCTCATGGTTTATTCAGTCATACTCCGACCCAATGGTGATACTGATTTCTCCGGGGTGGATGTAAGTGGCGTGGTACCACTGGTTTGTATCCAGCACGACTGCAATAAGAAGAGTATTCATCATAGCAGTTTGATCAATTGAAAAAAAATATATATATATACATCTTCGAAACGCACAAGTTTTGGCAAGATAAAAAAATGACTTTTGAAATAGAATGTGGTTCAATCAACACAATTTCAGATAAAGTGGTTTATTTAATAGAGGAATCTACATTGTTACATATTTAGGTACTTGAAAGCCTCTCAAGATGAGGTCCTTGACAAAGGACATAGGAAAGAGTGAGAGAGGATTGTTGGTTTTCTTTTCTTGTTTCGGAGGAAAAAACTTGTAATGTGGGAAAGGTTGGAGTGGCGATTAGTGTCAATTTCCGCTGTTTACTGATGTTACTCACCGAAGGCCGCTAGTCCGTTTGATTACATGTAGGCTTAAAATACATTATAAAACGTAATGGGGAAAAATTACGAGGAAGGGACGCATTCATAAACAGTGATATATATCTTAATATTGTTTTTTTTTTGTTGTTGTTGTTGTTAAATTGTAGTTATATCTTTTATATCAGGCTAAAAATACATCGTTTTTTCAAAGGAGAGAAGCAAAAAAAGGGGGAGGGGGTGTCATAACTCGAAAATTGTCTAAACTTGGATATCCTTTTTTGTTGGGGATGGATGGGGATGTAAGATTCCATTTTTTTTACAAAAAAATACATAAATAATTAAATGCGATAATTTGCTAGAAAGGATTTGACTTTAAAACAAAGAAATTAACAGTAAAACGATTGGAGAAAGGGTGACTGGGACCCCCCCCCCAATAATTGACCGATACTTCGTCCCTGTGTATTACAGGAAAATCCATTGCTGTATTTCTATGCACAAGTACTATTGTGGTTACTATAGCCAGTGATTGCTATTGTCATAGGGTGTAACTTTCTTATAAGTCACAATACGTGAATTCGTATTTCTCCAAAACACAAACAGCTCAGATAAATTGTTCAATTATATTTTAATAATGATTCATCACTTCAAGTAGTATTATATGGCAATATGGTATGGTATATATCATCAATGGTGGTCATGTAGACAGAATTTAACACTCCTATTTATATAAGCATAGGTTACATACGATGTAAGTCAGTAGTAACGTCTGTCTCTGAGAGGGTTTTCATACGAAGTCATAAAAATATTATTTCATGCAAGGGTTAATAAAATTCGCGCCAGCCATGCGCAGTGACTGGAAAAACCAGTCAAACACACCCATACACATTCCATACTCACCGTATGACATCAGAGGTCATGAACTTACAAACCATGAATGTGTGAATGAATGAAATGACGCATGCGCAAATTAAACCATAGTAAATAGTAAATAATGATCCTGTGACACTATCAATATTGAAGGTAATGACCGCCAAGAATTTGTGCAAACAGATTTTTTATTGAAGAAAATAGCAGAATCCCGCCTACATGGGTTATTCATCCCCCCTCCCTCCCCTTGCAATGACCTTTACAAATGAAGTACTCTTTACTTTTGCTATCAGAATTTGTCATGCAATTAAGATGTTATACCCCTACTGATATACATTAAATCTGTCGTACTGAAAACATTTATTGATATTTTGTTGACATTGCTCATTCTTGAAACTCATTTTTGTACTTACTGATAAAGTACCTGCTTCGAGTGTTACATTTTAATACTGTTAAAATCTCGTAAGTGATAACCAGTTCCTGCAATGCTTTCACTTAAATAACTTATTTTTCCTTATTGATAGTATAACGTATAATTAAGTCGCTTTACACCTGTTGACTGATACTTACTGATGTCCCCTTTACTGACTGTGACGTTTAGTTCAGTACACACGTCCTCGCACTCAGGGGTCGGGATCAAAGTCCACGTCTTCTGTCCAGAAATCTGGGCCTGCCAGGATGGGCGCTGAACGTAGTCTAACTGCAAATATGTAGGAATATGTTAGACCAATCAATATGTCATGGGTGTGACGAATTAATAAATAACTGACGTTCAATAACACAATGTCATCGGTTTACAATCTGAAAAAAGCAAAAGACGCTTTTTAATGATTTAGTCTTCATGATTTGACTTATTAATCTCTTTTGATTAAAATAGATGTCCGTTAAAGTTTTTATTTAATTTCTGATTGTATTTAAAACACATTTTTGGGATGACCCTTAGTATAGGAAAAAAGCAGATCCAATGATTTCCTGGACTTGTTTTTATCTTTCTGAAAGGTATTTTTCATGTTAGGAAATAGAAACAAGTCAAAAGGTAAAAGATCTAGCAAATATTGTTGATGTGAAAAAATATTAACTTTCTTTTTATCTAGAAAACCTCTTTAATCTTGAAGTGTGTGAGGGACGGACTCCATTAGCTCATGAAGAAATGTAATGTAGTGGATTCCTGATTCTAGGTTCTTCCTCTAATAAACCTTTCGATTTTTTTGCAAAAAGAATGCTTTCTAGACTTCTTTAAAAATTACTGTCTCCCCGAATACGAAATTGAACAAAAGTGCCACTAATATTTAAGAAAATTGCATATAAATCTGTCTTTGTGTTCTAAAATTACCTTTGCTCTTGTTGGACCATTGCTGCTTATATATATATATATATATATATATATATATATATATATATATATATATATATATATATATATATATATATCTGTTTGAATATGAAACAAACTTGGATAACTACAGTTACTGATATTTTAAAATAATTGTTAAGACATGCCTACACGCTGTCGTTTTCACTAAACATTTTTCAAAATATTCGATGTTTGAGTACCAAGCTTTTTTACTGTCAAACGTTTCTTAAAAACATTGTATACTACTCCCGATATGATGTATATCAAATTTGCTATTTGTCTTAAAGTCAGTCATACATCAACAGATATTATTTGTTGAAATTGGGCAAATAGCACATAAGTTGTTATAATTTTTGTTGGCAAGGACGGTACCCATTTTTGATGCCCATTATATAATTTTTTATTATTTAAATCCACCTGCTCATTTGTCTAGAAAACAGGCATTGGTTGCTGTAAATGTCACATATTTCAGTGAAAATTTCTTTGGGATTTTTAACACGTTTTACAGCAGCTTTAATGAAGCTTTTATTGTCACTCTAGTTTACTGATTCTTTACCATTCATTTATAATGCAGTGTCTCGAGTAGCCCTTGTTTCCCAGCTTCTCACGGTTAAACTATGTGATGAAAAGTGGTCACATAAACTATTATCAATTCATTAAAGATTCAAAAATGAGAGAAAGTCTAGCTTAATGTCATATGATTTCTATGTTATATGTCATCGAGCTAATGACATTATTTATTGAACGCCCCTCGTAACTGACCAAGGGAACACACTTTTCGTTTACAATCTTTTTAATACCTGCATAGTTGTACATAGTTAGCGTGTGGTCATTTTTTCAAACTTTTTATAAAATAATTCATGTAGTTAAGTTAATAGGTCTATAGTGATGTTAAATTGAATTGATGGAGAGAGGGGAATATCAAAACCGCTAGGAACGCAATATGTGTTTCACTATATTCTACATTTTGGCATCATTGTACTAGTATATTAACATACACATCTAACGCATTCAAGTGAGTCTAATCACGTATAAATATTGTAAATTAGCAGACAAAATCGTGATTTCCGAGTTCTAGATATAATCCACTGACTTCCTGTTGAAGTGTTTGATAGGACGGACTCCATTAGCTATAGAGGAAGTAACATCAACGTCTGTGCTCGCCCGACTTCCTGGAAAAGCGTGATTTGAAATTATGGCAAGCGCCCTCATCGGAGATGCTGGATTTTTTCCTTTATTGTAAATGCCACTTCTTTGAAAATTATTCGAACGATGAAAAAAATGCTCGTGGTAATTTGGATAGGAACAAAATACTAATCTTTTGGGTTGCTTAAAATTATTTCTGTCACTTGCAGGAATCTCGATACTATATATAGTGTTATAATTATATGGAGAATAAACTCGGGGAAAAGTTATAAATATTCGAGGTTTTGTGACAAATGTCAGTCTAGGCCTACTATTTTTTTTAATTGCACGTAAACACATCAAATAATTCCATGTTCTTACAAAGATCACACAATGCTATGATAATGTGTGAGTTTGAGGGGCATATTGCACAACTGCTACTTGTAAAGACTGAAAATAAGCAGTTCTTCACGATGGAAAGCACTTTTACATTTAGAGCTGTTAATGCGCCATCCCCCGAAAGATAAATCCGCTAAGATGGAGATAATGGACGGGAATGTCCTTTTACAATTCCATTATCCCTCGTCCTTTTCCTTTTTTTCACAGAGGGGATTTGTTTCTTCCGCGATAAAGCATGAATGGGCATCAAAAGTACATTGAAAATGATACTGACTGTCACATCTTACAAGTATGTTTGCTTTAATACTTGCATACTCGTGATAATTTAGAACTGTTTGCTATACCTGCATACATGAAAATTTTCGCCCTGTTTAATTTGTGTCCATTTTGCCCCTGGACAGCTTAAATAGGCGAATTTAGGGGGACAAATTTAAAGAAAACAGTAGAAATGTATCTGAGCCAATTTGTTTGCAAGTATAACATAACCCTGTATCACAATATTTCATAGAAATTTGACGACTTTAAGAATTGTAAGTTGCGGATGTTTTGACCTTTCTCCTATACAGAAGGATGTTGCAGAGCTAGCAATAAGGATTTAGAGAAATGTTCTAGGAATTCAGATATGTTTCTAGGAATCAAGGCAACTAGATTACGTAAATGGCATCTTCACTCAACACAAACTTTAACTTTTACACGATGGAATAATCCTTGATTTTATTTTATTTTTATAGTATCAGCAATTTTATATATTTTGAAATAGAGATTATTATGGAAATCTTTTTCATTTTAATATAATGAAAATGAAAGCGATCAAAATTTATCACAAAAGTGAATACTTATTATTTGCTTTACATGTATCTATAAAAAAATTTAAGATACAACACGTACAGTACTTTAATAGTAATAAAATAAATAAACATTTAATTTAATAATTACAGTCTTATGAAATTATAAATCTATGTACAGTAATGAAAGTGTTTTTTGTAAATTACTATCATAGGCCTTATTAGCTTAGCTGCAGAACTGTAGCTCTCCCGGCGAAAAAATATATATGGATTGACCGGAGTCCGGTCTATCAATATACATGTATTTTTTTCGGAGAGCTACAGTTCTGCAGCTATCATTAGCTTAGATGCAAATGGTTCCAAGTTCGATATCGCTAAACTTTTATATCTAATCTATGCAGTAAAATCAAACTTGTTCATAATACAAAAAGTGTCTCTGTCTCTTATTTCCAAGTTTTCCATGTGCTGATCTAGAGACAAGAGAGGGTGGGGGCCTTGGAATATGCAAAGTTATCAAATGTATATACTAAAGCAGCTAAAAGTGCCTTGGACCCCCTAAAAAGCGCGGATCCCCCTTGGAAAGGCGAATCTATGTTAAGTTGACACCTATGGAAAGTCAAACAAAATGTAGGTATAAAGAAGCCTCCTCCCCATCTCACCCCGAAATAGGTTTTTAATTTTTTTTCAACATTTTTTTTGCTTGTTAAGAAATGTCTGGTGGTTTTTAATTTGGGGGGGGGGGGGGGGTGTGGACCTCCTGGAAAAAAAATCCTGTATCCGTGCTTGTTTCTTTTTTTGAGAGGAGGGGATCATGTTCACAAGAATCTGTGGTGCATTTTAATTAATTCATTAACTTTATTTGACAATATGGTATTTTATTTCATATTTCATGTTCTAAAAGAAACCGTTCACACTCACGTGGACAAATGCTCCGAGTCCGGGTCCGCCCATAAACATCCAGTCCACCGAACTGGATTCGGAGTCAGCCGGAAGAAAGTATGGCCGGTTGTAGTGCTGACGTAATATGGCGGACACTTCCGAATGACAATTACTCCTGGGAATGAATAAAAAATGTGTCAACTTCATTAAAATCATCATGCGACTAAACTTGAGTTTAAACACATACTCATGAATTTTAAGTGGTTATGTCTGTTGTTTTGAAATGCAGCATTTTTAAGGAGCCAAATGTTTATATAGCCTTGCAAAAGTCTTGAAAATTCTGATAGATCAAAACATTTTCTTACAAAATTGCTTTTTAAAAGTTTAGTAAATTTTAATTGGTTATCTACAAACGTTCCATGTAGCATTTTCTAACAGTTATATGTAAACAATTGTTTTAAAAAAATTCTTGATAGAAGTATAAATGCATGCTCAAACTGCTGTTCAGGTCCAGTTATGAAAGGGAAGTTGCTAATACTAGTTATGATTGTTCACTTGACATTAAGAAAACAAAAGGAATGAGAAAGTACATTGTAAATATGAATTAAGATTTGGCTCAATTAAGTAAAGTTAACAATTTGCCCTTATTATAACAGGAACTGAAACTTTTTTCATACCCATGTACCATATGGCAATCATACCTGGACGTCTATATAATTTACATATAATTATATATAGTTTACAGTATCTATATGACCGATCGAGGGGATATTGATATTTTACTTGGTTTGTTTTACAATTAACAATCAACAAAAGCACGCTGTCGTATTAATCATTCGGACCAGCAGCAACATATGTGGAAGACTTGTATCAGGTATTGAGTGTCATTATATAAGGATATTGACTAAAACCTGTTGCATCAATTTGAGTAAAACTTTAAATTTTTATTATGATGGATTACATGTTTTCGTCAGGATGACTGCTCTAGCTTTTTGTTTCAGTCGAAGTAGAGATGAAATATAAGTATTTTTCCCCCAAGTAAACGAATTCGTCCATACATTAAGCAGGTTTAAGTCATTTGGACATATTAACTTATTATATTGAATACATCTTTCATGTATATGGACTTGGATAAATATAAATGTGGCGAAATAAAACAAAATTAAAATTGGTCAGCTCAGATAGTCACAGGCCAAGGACGATGCTGGAAAAACATCCTGCGTTGAAAAAAAGCAGTCTTCACACAAAAATGCCAAGAATTCATTTTCTTTCTCGTGAATCATATTTATTTTTTAAATATCATTTTCTTTATTAAAACTATAAAATCAAAATCAATGTAATGTATTGTTTATTTCTTTTTTTTTTCAAGAAGTGATTCACTTATCGTTCGGGACGGAGGCGTCCTGGATAGCAAGGCACCACTGTACTTAGTCATGGTCATTTTGGCAGAATTCTTTCTTTCAGAGAATTGAACCCTTGAATAATCCTTTTGTATATATCAACCGCTGCACTGATGGCTGTATACTAAGATATGATAGACATAGGCGTCGGAAGCAAATTGAAAGGGGGGGGGCTAATTGAAATGGGGGCTAAACCAACAAAAAAGGTAAACCCCAATTTTCAATGCCTATATAATGTAAATATTTGCAAAAAAAGCGGGGGGCTAAGACCCCGTAGCCCCCCCCCTCCCCCCTCCCGGTTCCGACGCCTATGATTGATATTGAAATATCAACATAGATATATCAATGCTTTTACTTAGATTTAGAGCTTTTTGGTCGTATGAAAAATAAATCTTTCTATAAACTACTGCTACAAAAAAAAAAAAATCATGCAGATTTTGGGTATGAAATAATATATTCCTTGTGATAGAAACGATGAAGAGATACTGGGAGCACAAGAGCTGTTGATTATTTTTTTTTTTTTTTACTGTTTAATATATGGATTATGTACGGTTACATGTATAAACATTACACGACAACGTACTAAATTCTGCGAGATTAAAATAAGATATTGAAACATATTTCTACATTTTATCGTCTGTAAAGTGCGCAATATTGAAACATCTTACTATTATGAGATCTACATTTTTTAAATCAATCTGAAAGGGTTTGTGATAACGCAAGTTGAAGACCTTTGGAAAACCCAACTCAGTACAGTAATTAATATTTGTCAGAAAACTAATTAACAGAGTTGTCGTTCTTCTTCTATGATAAAGTGGAGTGAACATGCTGGTTTTCCCCACATTTTCGCAAAATTATATACATTTTAGAGCCAGCTATTTTCTAGAGTGTCATTAAATTCGTTTAGATCATTCTGGACAGACCTACGAATTTATGAGAGAAAAAAAACCCTTTCAAATTCTTTAGATAAGTACAATGGAACAGCTAATTTTTTTTTGTTTTTATTTTCTTGCATCAAAATCAGAGAAGAGAGAGAGAGAGAGAGAGAGAGAGAGAGAGAGAACATTTTACAAGTTTCGGTTGCATGCTCGCCACGAAATGGTTTAAGTACTTCTTATATTTACTATATTAAACTTTTCGAACTTTTTTTTTTTAATTTGTTTGTTTGTTTTTGCTTTCTCCTTAACATTTAAATAATTCTAACTTGGAAAACATTTTTTTTTAAAAATGCAAAATGACACATGGTTCAGTGCTGTTAAAATATCTATGTCAAACTAGAGTCAGTTTTAATGTTGTGGGCAATAAATTAATTTTACTGTTTTCTTGCTTATGAAAAATTGAAAATAGTGTCTTATATGATAAATTAACCTCAAGGTATGTTTTTGACTTGTAATGTTCATGAGTATATTTCGTATCAACGCTAGGAGAATTTTTTTTTTTTTAATTGATGCCAAATATAAAAGCCATCGAAGTCTGACACAATTTGCATTAAGATTTCATCGGTTCAGGTAATGTATTTTAATACCTAAAATGTACATTAAATATTGACAATAAAGTCCTAAAAAATATGTTAAGCTTATAGACGTACCATCCAATGTACCAAGGTTTTTCTCCCGCTGTAAAATTGGCTCTCTCTGCAGACATGTTAAATACTTCGCCCAGAGTCTCAAATTCTGTTTTATATGGAAAAAATTGGCATTCTTCATCAATAGTCGTCAAGGCGCCTTTTGTTTTCGTATATACATTTTTGAAGAAATCAAAACTAAAGTTGGTCATAGCTGTCCAGTTATGAGTTGCGTCTTTGATAAGAACAGGCACAGCGGTATAGGCATATTTCTTCACAAAGTCCTCGGGGGTAATGTTTCTTTCTACGGGAAACTCTTTAAGATTCCTGCAACAGTCACAATTTGTCAGGGGACGAGCAACTTCAATCGTAAATCCCCCATTTTCAACAATACAGCGAGATTCAGCAATTAATTCGTATAGTTCCTCGTCTAACCCAAAAAATTTCAAAGCAATTCCACCACAGGTCATGACCCCTGCCGTTATGATCACAGATAAGGTCAAGGCCATTGTTATAGTTTTGAACCATGAGTTATTCTCTTGAGCTTGGATTTTCAAAGTTCCCCGTGATTTGAACACATGAGCTACTAAGTCCTGTCCGATGCCCCTCCCCCGGGCCTGGTCTCTTAATTCACACAATCTCGAGTAAAACTTTTGTCGACATTCAGGTCCCTCGTTGTTATTTACATTCTTTTCATCGGATTGCACACTCTTCTCCTTTCTGTTCTTCATCTTTCTCTCTTACCTACGATAACTTCCACTGCCTAGCGTGTATACGTAAATGTCCCTAAATCCTTTAATGGTATTACCGTTTCATTAATAAAACAATACGACATTCGTCGGTAAACTTGTAGTCAATGTTTTTCAGGGTATTTCAACATTCACTGCCATGTGTTTACACCGTTTGACAAGGAACTAAAATCCTGTCAACCATGTATAACCCTTGACCCTGTATTACGAGAGAGTCACCAGCCGTTTTTAAACGATAAGGATTTTAAAGTTGTTGGAGATTATTTATAGATAATGCAATATTTAGTCTCGATAGGCGGATCAATAACAGTCAGCCTGTATGTCAGGTATTTAAACATCCCAGGAGAAAGTTTCAAGTCTGCACATGAAAAAGTTGACTTCTATAGAAAGCCACATTTATCGTTTGTAAAGATATTTAATAATATCCGTGCACTAAATATATAGATTTTTAGTGGTGTGTGAGTTTGACTTTTTAAAATGGTAGGGGTCTGCAAGACGACATGGCCATTTAGCCAGTGATTTCAGGGTATAGTAAGGGGGGGGGGGGGGGTAGAAGATCTAGCGTAAAATGGTTGAACGGGCATACGAAGGGACAGGCTAATATTAAACTAGATATATAAATCCAACATAACTTCTATAAGGCTAGCTGTTATGGTGTTTTGACATGGCTTGAATGTGATTTCAGGGAAAGCTTTCCTTCTTTATTTTATTTTGAGAAATGCTAATTTACGTTTTATATTTGTAATTTATTTTTATGAGGGAAAATATTAATACTGACGTTACCTATTTTTCTAATGAGAAATATATTAGGTGTGGGGTAATTGTTTTTATATACAAGAAAAATAAGTAAGAGGTGCCTCTTATATATTCAGGTGTGCAAGAAAAAAAGTAACGTCAGGTGCCTGTGCATGAAAAATAAGTAACTCCAAATGCTTGTTCAAGAAAAATAAGTATAAATGTCAAGTGCCTGTGTAGCTGCAGGTCTGTAGCTCTCCGAAAAAAATATATTGGTAATGTCAGATGCCGAAAAAAATATATGATAGAAATATAAAAAAAATGCAAAAAATGGCATACTAGTACGTGTAATAAATACAATAAGTAAATTGTTTACTGTTTTATTTTACTTCGAAGCAACAGAACAGTGAAAGCATTGTTTCAATCGGTCACAAAAACTTTAACCTTGCCCATAACTTTTGAGTTAGTGGAGCTATGACTTTCATATTTCACATGTGTATTCTTTGTGACAAGACCTTTTTTTCAAATTTGACCTTGGAGTTTGACCCACTTTTAAACAAAAATTCCAAACTTTTACTTTGGCCATAACTTTTGAATGATAGAAACTAGGACTCTCATATTTCACATATGTAGTCTTTGTGGCAAGACCTTTCATTGGATACCAACAACTTTGACATTTTTTGTGTATTTATAAGCATAAAAACAAAATTTTCATATATGTAATTCGAGAAAACCATTCATTGTATTTTTTGTTGTATTTTTAAAATTTTTAAAAACGTTGACAAATATATGCGCTTTCATATTTCAAAATCTTTTGAGAAGACCTTTCATTGGATACCAAGAACTTTGACTTTGGCTTTGGAGTTTGTCCTACTTTTCAAAAACTTTGACCTTGGGCAAACGGAAATAAAGGACTTTAGACCTTTTATTTGATGTCAACAAACTTTTAAAAGGTAAAACACTTTAACCTTGTCCATAATTTTAAAAATTCACATATGTAATTCTTGTGAGATGACCTTTCATTGGATACCAAGAACTTTAACTCTTGACTTTGACCTTAGAGTTTGACCTTTTTTTTAAACTTTGACCTTGGCCATAACTTTTGAACGGTTAGGGTAAGGGTTCACAAATGATTTATAAACCTAAGAAAATTAACCCTTTAGATTATTTCAAAAAATGTTATTTCATGAGGGAATGAAATCGTATTTCTTGAGAGAAAACCCTTCTTTGGGTAATAATATATTTAATTTGCATTTAAGAGAAAATTAATCTTCGTTATGTTGCCATACGGGGTCACCAGTGTTCCACAAACACATTCTGTTCCTTATATTGAGAAGAGAAAACATATGCATTACCTGTAAAAAAAAATTATGCAAGACCTTATCTTTAAAAAAAAATCAAGTTCAGTGATAATTTCTAAATAAATGACATGATAGGATGTTCATATTAGACACAATATGTCACAAAAATGACACCTCACCCACAAAGACACCGAAAGCGGGGGACCACAATTCTTTGAATTTGCTTGTTTCTATTTTGACTCGTGAAGAAGCTTAGTGATTAAATGCTCTCTCTCTCTCTCTCTCTCTCTCTCCACAAAATTATGCACTTGAAAAACTTAAACACAACCTTGTTATTTATCAATGTGCATTTGTTTATGCATATTGCATATCAGTGCACAAATTAATTAATGTACGTCATAAAACGTCCATTCTTGACATTTAAGGGTTTTACCACAGTTGTTCTACCGTTAGTTTTTACAAAATTCAGTTTAATTCTGTGCCAGATGGCATATGCATAATTCCAAGGATCACAATTCGGTAAATATCGCAAAAATGATGCAACAAATATGAAGGTGGAAATTTTATTTCTTTATAATTATTAAATTTCCCTTGATATTTCATCTAACATTAAAGTATGCTTAAAGTATAATATCAACAGTTTGCCAATTTTTTTTTTTTACTGAAATCGAAATTATTTGCCTTTCAAATAGCATACACACCAAAGAGTTAAAAAAAAAAATCATTCTCTCATACTTTAACATATTTTTTCCCCATATGAATGGGTCTTCGCTCCAGTTGTATGTCTCCGTAATAAAAAATTCGGGAACGTATAGTATTTGCCCTGTCCGTTTGTCTGTCTGTTTGTCCGCAAAAACTTTAACCTTGCCCATTTACCTTTAAACTTCTATTTGGTTGGAGCCATGGTTTTCACATACTGGATGCCAACTTTTATTTGCGACAACTTTCATTTCGCGATTAACCGGGGAGGGACGATTGATTTTTGCGATCAAACCTTTTTTTAATTTGTTGTTTATCAGAGACGACGATTAATCGAGAAAATGATATCCGCGACGAAGAGGCTCTCGATAAACTGGCGAAAATTTCTCGCACGCGAATAAAATTAAACCAACTTTTATTCGCGTACGAGAATTTTTGGCGAGTGGAATGACGGAGGGCAGAAAGGTTGAACATGTGTATTCATTGTGAAGAGACTTTCCTTTGAGTACCAGCATATTTTACCTCTTGACCTTGAAGTTTGACCCACTTTTGAAAGAAAATTACCCAACTTTGACCTTGGCCATAACATTCAGACTGTTGGTGCTAGGGCTTTCATGTTTCATATGTGTATTTATTGTGACAGGACCTTTCAATGGATGTGAATATTTTTGATTTTTACAACTTTTGATCAGGAGCTGTGTAGATTGTTAGTTTAATACCAGCAATTTTACCTCTTAATACCCAGTACTTTTGAGAAATTTACCCAACTTTTACCCCCATAACTTTCAGACAAAAGTGAAGGGACATGTTTCAATGTGTATCATGTCAGGACATTTCAATGGATGTAAATACTTTTGATTTTTATCACTTTTAAGCAGGAGCTGTGTAGCGTAGTGGTAGCGTGTCATATTTCGAAAGCATGTACATTACCTGCGAGAAAGATCTTTTTAAATATTAAATAACGATTTTTCACAAAACTTTTAACTTTTGAATGGGAAGAGATGGGGCTTTCATATTTCTCATGTACATTACCTGCGACAAGATCTTTTTAAATATTAAACTACGATTTTTGACAATGTGACCTTGAAGTTTAACCTACTTTTGAAAAAAATTAACGTTAATTTAAATCGGTCATAACTTTTGACAGAGAAAAGATAGGGCTTTCATACTAAACATGTTAATATCCTTTATGAGACCTTTCTAACTACACTGTACTTAGTATTCTATGATTTTTGACCTTGTCACCTTGAAGTTTGACTTAATTTTCCAAAACTTTATATCTATTTTATTATTTCTTTTGATTGAGAAGAGATAGTGTTTTCATATTTGACATGTGTATTACCTGTGACAAGATTTTTCCACGTTAGCTGCAATAATGTAGCCCTCTCCGATTTTTTTCCCCTTTGACCATCATGTTTGACTTATTTCCAAAATTTTTATTTTTGCGAATACTTTTGAATGACATGTGAAAGGGTTTTTCTTATGGACACAATCTGCCATAAGTCATGCCATACTCTCACTAAGACACCGAAAGCGGGTACCACATTTCTCTGAATTTGCTTATCGATATTACTAACTACGATATCAGTACCGGGGCATACTCTTTGCATTGATTCGTAACACCTGAATATTTTATCTTTGTTTACCTTTTATTGCAAACAGTTAAAAGTATTTGTGTTTGTTTGCAATACTGCACTGACTTGTGCAACTGTTGTAAATTTCTTTGTTATCTTACTCTCCTGCATTAGAAGCATATATTTATTTTTTGTCGCTACCGAGTGCTGTTTCACACCGGTGATTACACCGATTAGTGACTAAGGTTTTATATAATGGCCCTCGGATATAGCGAGGGACCAATCGAATATGGCGGAGAAATTCCTTTTACGAACCATGTTCAGCTTTGATGACAGTCAATACCTAAATGAACCTTCACAAATTTGTAATTTTTGATCACCAAAATTCATGGCCAGGTAAAACCATTAAAATGACGAGAACTAAAAATAAATAAATGAAACCACAATAATTATTTCTAGGAAATTGCTAATTTCTCAGAAGACACCCTACGGTCAAAAGGAAAATTTTAATTGGCGATAACTCAGTATCAGTTGTTATAATACATAAAGCATCTAAATTCAAATTACTGTGACGATAAAATATAAAAATCCAGGCACATTCATGTCCTGAAGGCCTAGAACTTGAAATTTCATTACCGGCAACAGACAACGAGAATCCCATTAGCTTTCAACACCACAGGTATAAACGCAGGTAAATGCACGTGCATGGCTGTGTCGTGATGCCAGCGACAGAAACAATATCCGGGCAATGAATTTTTATACCAAACCATGCGTCATCTGGTTCGAAGTATCCGGGAAAAGGTGTGAAAAATACAAGAATACCGGAGCATTAATTATTACCAGGATTTGATGCCAAACATTATGCTATCATTTGTGGCGTAATGACAATGAGGGGGTTATAGAACGCGCGCTTTAATCCAACGAACTTGTTTTGTACAGTAAATGCAAATTAAGACCAACATTCTCTGATGGGCGCAATAAATAATATGTTTTGCAATTAGTTTACATAATTGGAATAAATGTGCCTCTCCTAATTTTTATCTTCGTTTCAAAGTCGTAACTTTCAAAAGCGATTCATTTGAGCTTTGATTCCAGGTATCCATTTTTACCCATTTATTGATTATCTTCTAGAAAAAAGATATATTTGCCAAAGGTTAATGCATTTCTGAGCACTTGATAACAGTCACTGATGACTTCGTGTCGTGTATCAGGCTTTTCATTATTTGTTCCCAGACTCTGATATCGTATGTCTTGAAATCTCACTAGTTTTTCTGCCTTTGACTCCCCCTTGTCGCCTGAAGACATATGCTTTTCGCAGAATATTGAATGCTGTATTCCAGACTGCACGATTAATTTGAAGTTCGTGTGAATGAATCGCATAAGGCAACAGAATCCTTTTGTACGATTGGCCATTAAAGGCTGATATGGCTTCTTAGCACTTAACTACTACAAAGCATTGAACTATATATTCCACATGATTTTGCAACATAAGCAGCTCGGCCAGTTGGTTATAGAATTCTCCATGCATTGAAGTGCGTTTATTTAAGAACTATGGCAAAGTTTATTATTTAATTATTTAATACATAAATCAACCGATATTCTTATAGAATTAAATTAAAAACTTATTTACTTATTGTTATGTCTTTTTTTCTGAACATTGTAATACAAAATTGCTTTAAAAACACAACCGACAACCATCTTTCCCCTCCCCCTGATTAACAAGGCCTGAACCTTTTCAGAAGCACACACACACACATACTAGTCCCGCAATCCTTATACGAGATAAAATTCCGTACATACAGTAAATCGGTTTCGCAAGATACGTCAATGCGTAGAAAACGCTCCAAAGTATCGGAGTAAGGAACTGAGCTAACAACAACGGAAAGGGTAAAATGACGTTAATATAATGAAACAATTCGTACAACCATACTCGAATACAAAGTAGAACCATTTCCAGGTAAGCTTGGACTTTCAGTAAGGCGTGGCATTCTTGGCGCTATGTAATTGGCGTCTGTCAAATGGCAAATAGATTCTCATTGGTTAAGAAATTAATATCACCTCTTTGCCGGACGAGACACTGTTATTGGTTATTCGATACACAAATTGGCATTTGCCCGAATTTCTATCCCATTTCTATTTCAACATTGAAGGAAAACTGTGTAAATTTCAGAAGCTAATTAAGTAACGTCGAGAATACCACGCCTGACTGAAAGTCCAAGCTGAAATGGAAATGGAAATGAGAAAGAACAACACTTTTAACTGCAAAATCAACAGGCCCCGTTGCAAAACGAACGATTGCCGATGCAAAAGCAACAGTCACTAACGAACGCGTCTTTAAATCATGGAAAGCCTAAAGGGTCAACTCTTTTATTTCTCAAACACACATAAAGATGAATATTTATATCATATATATAGTGTACATTCAACTTATTTATCTAAACTATCCTGTGCAAAATGGAAAAGAAAATTATATCGATGAACAACTTTGTAATCTATAGACGTGTGATTTGTCAACTTGTGAATTAGCGCAGATCTGTAGTTCGCTGGTCTGAAAAATTGGGATGGATGACAGACAGTCAGAAGAAGTTAAGGGGTCCTGGAGTACTTGAAATTTTTTATAATGAGTATTGTCATATTCTAAATGTGCCTGTTCAATACAGTTCTTCTCATATACATGTATGTAAAATGCATCTAATTAATTTGTTTGTATTGTAACCCAATCATTGCATTCGTGAAGAATGCACTGGTCCTAATTCCAATGATTCATTTTGCTTAAATAAATAAAGCTCATGTTGGCAAAGTTCTTTGCTAAGAGATAAAATTTATACAGGGTTTGAACTTGATGCAACAATAATAAAACAAGAAGAAAAAGCAATACAGTTCATTTTCAGCATTTATTACTGCATGTATAAATGATACTTTCCCAATTTAATCAGTAAGAAAATGGACGGCACCAGATTGATACAGAACTATTGAAATATTATTTAATTACAACATACAGTCTTACATGACTGTTACATTACAAGATACAGTCTTACACTCGATCACATGATCTGATGTCATAGGTCATGTGATCAGCACTAGATCCACATTGGAGACTTGTACTCACACTAACACACCATTAAGAGACTGTCAGACATTGTCCCATATAAATAACTTATCACAACACTAACAAAGATGCTGACAGGGTCAATAAATAGATAATTAACAACCTAGCTTCTACCAAAAAAAAAAAATCATAAAAAAAAATCATCTGTACAACATAAAACAGTGAACACTTCCAAAAATATGAATGGAAATCTTAAAATCATGAAAATGAGTTACTTGCTTGGCCAATATAGCCTTTCTGGTACAGGATATTGTAAGGATATTGTATCTTTCATTTGGAATTTTAAATTGACTAAGTGGCAAAATTTGGAAATACAGTTAAACTAATGAATTTAATTTTATTCAACTATAGATTAAAGAGGTAGATTGTAGCTTATTCTCTACTTGAATCTTGACATGTCATTATAACCTCAAAATTCAGCTTATTTGATATAAAAAGCATTTAAATTATTCAATCTGCTTGTCATTAGAGAATTTTTATCTGATTTTTTTTCTTCAGGGAATTAAATTTTAAATGGGGATAGGGTCCTTTTACAGGACCTGGATGGAATAGACATAAGTTCTGACTTGACACTGAAAACTATAGTAGCATTTCTCATCACCTTCAATGTTGAAGGGCGGTCATATATCAAAAACCAATCAGCAGACAAAAGAGGCAGGAAATAAAACAAAAAAAATTACGAATACACAACCAGAAATGTGAATTGATAAAGAATGCGCAATTCAAAAATAATCCCAAGAAGAAAAACAAAAGAAATTCTAGCATAAATCACCTCCGTTAGTTGCATGATTATCTGGTGAAATATGCTTCTCAAATGACAGAAAAAATCAAAGAAAACTCATAACAAGTCATTTTTCTCAGATCATCCTAATAAATATTTATAACTAGATTACAGAATTCAATTTAAAATCTTCTACAGGGATTGTAAAAGTTTCGTTTTAACCCATCTTTCAATATAAGTGAGTTCTTTATAATCAAGTTATACTATAATCACTGATCAGTGCAGTAAATATTTAAAAATGCCCCATATGCAATTCAATTTCCTGATTTTTCAAATTATCATAGCATTCAGAAATCATCAAAGAACCTTTTTTTTCCCCAAAATATTTCAACAAAAGTTTTTTTTCCACTTGGCAGTGTGCATGTGATAGTTCAATGAGTCTGCAAGGTCAGGATTCGCAACACAAATGTACATCAGTATTTAACAAATTTTATAGGATTCATATTACAAAATATTCATTTTAAAAGAGAGAACTCAGTTCAATTCTCTTTTTGACCAAATAAGGTACAATGCACTAAGATAATGTCATATGATGTATACATCAAAACAAAATGCCACAAATTAAAAAAAAAAAAAACATATAAATAATTAAAACAGACACTGGGGCTCAATAAAGAAAAAGAACGAACAACTTTTACAGATATGTTTTTAAAAAAAATCAGGAATAAGAAATATCATAATTTGAAAATATAAAGATCTTTTTACAAAACATTATTGGGCGGAAAATCAGATCTTGAAGAAACTGAAGGTGGGTGTTCTTAAAGCTAGCTATGAGGTGAATTGCCATGGCAACAGATAAACACAGCTGTATCACAACACAAGTAGGAGTATCACAGTAGTCAGATGGAATGGAGACGTCTCAGATCCACACATCATTCTCAGGAGATCAGACTTCATCGTGTCCGTAAATGTTGTCGACCTCCTCTTCTACAATCTCTCCATCTTCTTCATCCATAACTCCATTCATCTTGCCTCTATTCAAGTCCCCCATTGGAATGTCCAAAGCACGATACACTGCCTCCACAGTCCGCATATTGACATAATAACCTATGTTTACATTGGGTATTCTACTCTTCATTTCTTCTATCGCAGCATGTGCCTGTAAATTAAAGAAAATTACACATTATCTTTCTCATATCAACTCTACAATAAAGGGTTGTAGTTCTACAGCAACTTATATGTGAACAACATTCATTCTAAGAGATCCATATTAAACATGACAATTTATCATAAATCATCATTTTAACTTGAAATTACTAGTACATGGTTTCTGCTGTTACCCACAGCATAATTTTGAGTTTTCATACTTTAACTGAGTTGCATCCTTTCTTGAACAAAGAACTCCTACTGAATTAGATACTTACAGCCTTCCACCGGTCTCTACGAGCATAGTACTCGATCATGATCCCGTAAACATCCCCGATACGCACTCCTGACTCTAAATCTGGTTCCTCTAACAGAATCTGACATTGTTTTATTCCCTCTTCAGGATTCTCTTCAAATGCCCTAGTAAGATAAAGATTGACATGATTTTAAAAAGATCAACATATAAAGTACACATAAATATGCATGAGCAAAATTAATGCTATATACAATTCTAGCACCAAAATTATAATTTATTTGTATTTAGCTATCCAGGGACTTGTATCCCTTTAAAAATGAAATTCTTCTTTTTTCCTACCTTCTGGCAGTGACAAACTTCTTTATCAGTGCAATTTTATTTTTCAGTTGAGCTAGTCTTTCCTCTAGTAGCATTTCATCGTTCATTTTAGCTTTAGTGAGACATTTATAAGCCTCTCCCAGAGCCCTTAGTGCCTTGTCATAGTCCTGGTACTCATCTATCTCAACCTTGAATATACAAATTAAATATTACCAACAAATGTATCATAACTTACTGCATGTAATAAAAATTTGATAAATATTCACCTATATAAATCATATTCAAAAGATGTCAAAAATAGCATCCAATACAAAAATATTTGTCTTTTATCATGTAGTTGTATTCAATTCCAAATACAGATACAATACAAAATCAAAAATTAAATAAAGAAGATAAAATCAGTTTTACCTGTGCACAAGCATCATAGAAGCCGGCTAGAGAATCCAGTGCTCTCCCTTTGGTGTAGAATCCTATGATGTTTTTCATGATCTCTGGGTCTTTTCGCCAGTCTAATGATTGTAGATAGTTAGCCGCCATTATATAAATCTCCTTCTGTCTGGACACATTGGCAAAGAAACAAATCTTCTCTGTGTCACCAGACTTCAACAGTGCTTTCATTGCCTGCAGAGTAATAAAACACAATCAAAGGCAAGCAACATCAAATGCAATTGAGAAGCTTTTTAATTCCTGTAGATCACTTTAATTTTTGTGACACCATATTTTCGCAATATAGACCTTTAATTTTTATTAGCGAGACAAAATTTTCCTGAATGCTTCTTTAATACTACTCTATATAATTTTTAAGAATGTTAATATAACCAAGAATATTTCCTCGAGCACTCTGTCTCATGTAATTACACAAAAATAAAGTTCTAGCGAATAAGAAGTGATTTACAGTACTTTGGAATTCATCGCTTACCTTGATTTTATTTCCGGCCTGTGTGAATTTCTTTGTAGCCAGGTGGTATTCTCCCTGATGCATGCACACCTCCGCAATGGCCTCCAGGATTTTCACTCTCTCCATCGTGTCGATCCCGGGGTCGTCCTTACCGGGGGTCAGTTTTTCTGCCAAGTCTTCATTAATCTCCACGGTCTGGTCCATACAGATCTTTAATGCCTCCCAGTACTAGACAATAAGGTGAAATAATATGAATATTTTACCCATACTTCCCTAAAATTGTTACTATGACTGAAGAAATTTGGTCAATTTCACAACTGGCATTAAAATTATGTTCAGAAAAAAATTCTGTAAATGTACATATTTTCAAAAAAATAAAAAGTAAAAATATTTTTACACCTTTAGTGGTATATCTTGTCTTATTCATGGACGATACATGATTACAATTAATGCATTTTCCTTTTAAAACTGCTACATAAAAGTGTTCTGATGATAATTTTCCCCATCTGACAACACTCCTACCTTTTTGCCAATAGCCAGCAGATCTACTGCCTTGTCGTATTGGCCGTTCTCCATAAAGAAATCTCCACACCGCTTCAGGAGCTCGGGATCAGCTCGCTCATCCAGCTCACCCGAAATAAGCTGTAGAGCTCCAAACTGTCGAGCTCTGAAGGACAGATCCAAAGCTTTGGAAAAGTTACCCGCCTGAAAACAAAAATGTAATGTCAGTGTCATAATATCAATCATAGGGTCTGTAGTACATGTATCTATTTAAACTTTAATAACTATTTGTTGAATTTCTAATATTTTAATTTAAGCCTTCCTGTAACTTGTTTTTTATACTTCTCATTTCTATTTATAAAAGATCTCATTTTCTATTGACTTACTTTGTGATACAACATGACAGCTTTGTCCTGAGCCCCTGGCTTTTGTTCATAATAACGAGCCGCCTCTATCATGTCTTCAGGTCGACCCATCAGAGCCAGATTCATCAACTGATCTTCCATACCATGTTCCTATTCAAATACAATCAAAAAAATACAGAAAACAAAATACTTTAATCAAAATATGAATAAATGATTGCTCAAATTTAATACGCTACAAGTCCTAATTAAAATAAATAATCTTAAGCAATTCAAACTTGAGGTGTTTATAAATATGAGAAAGGAGAGTACTGGTAGAACTTACTTTACAGAGCCTGATGGCATTGAAGTAAGCCTGAGCCCTTGTAAAGAAATGAATGGCTTCCTTAATCTGATCCTGATTTTCATACTGACGACCTAAGTGATAGCAGGCTGCCCGATCACCTGTGTTGTTACAAATCTCAGCAGCCTAAAATATACAAAACACAGAGAACTTTAGAATACACCCCATCTCAGGCTTTAAAAAAACAGAAAAAGAAAAGGAAATAACAGAATTTACCTTGTCCATCTGTCCACAGTAACAGTAGACTCTGACTAAGGAGAGATAATCCTGGGCGTTCTCGTAATACTGTAGAGCAGTCTCCATGTCTCCTGTACTCTCCATATACTGCGCCCACCACTTGTGTAAAGCCCTGAAAATCACAGAAAGTTTGTGTACCATTTCACATGCACTGACTTAATTTTATTCTCATAAAATTGAGTGATCCTACAATTTTTTTTTTAAATTGCTATGCATTTCAGTTAGAAAGGAGACTTAAATGGTCATTATCAATATCTACTACAAATATTTTTACTCACTTGTCTTTGTGCATACTGATGTAATGTTCCAAAGCTTCAGGCTCATCAAATAACATCCTTGGGACCTCAAATCTGTGTGTGTCTGACTTCTCATAACTGTGAAAATTCAAATTAAGTTTGAAATATAAATAAATAATTAAGACTGAAATTTAAGCAACACTTAATTAAACCATTTTATTTTCTACTCTGTGCATCTTGAAAACAAATGAAATCAAACTGTTAAGTTCAAAGAAAATTAAATGATAATTAAAAGCATACATTTCATATGCATCATAATTATTCTCTTGGCTTACTTTGGAATAGCCTCTGAGTAGTCTCCCTTCATTTCTAAATGCTTGGCAAAGTTAAAGTATGTCGTCCTAAGGTGAATGCGGTCATACATTTCTGCTGTTTCCAAAGCTTTCTTCCACTCTCCAACAGATTGGTAAAATTCATTCAGTAAGTCATACCTCTTACAATTTTTCAGTAATCTCTCAGCATCTTCCTATAAAAGATTTTAAAGAAACATTAAAACCAGAAGTCTCTGTCGAGACTGTAGCTCTACTGGTTTGTACTTATCAAAAACCATTGCACTATTTTATGTATCTTTGTGTAGTCTACTTGTGTGCCAACTTATTTTGAAATCAAACTAAAACTGTAGAAGGAGTAGCGTTTTAAAGGAATTTCACAGAAAATTCTATTTCTAGTAACCATGGTAACACCGTTCATCGAAATCAAAAACCGATGCACTATTCTATGTATCTTAGTGTAGTCTACTTGTGTGCCAAGTTATACTGAAATCAGACCAAAACTGTAGAAGGAGAAGTGTTTTAAGGGAATTTCACAGAAAATTCTACTTTTAGTAACCATGGCAACACCGTTCATTGAAATCAAAAACCGATGCACTATTCTATGTATCTTAGTGTAGCCTACTTGTGTGTCAAGTTATATTGAAATCAAACTAAAACTGTAGAAGGAGTAGCGTTTTAAAGGAATTTCACAGAAAATTCTATTTCTAGTAACCATGGCAAAATCGATCACCCAAATCAAAAACCGATGCACTGTTCCATGTATCTTAGTGTAGTCTACTTGTGTGCCAAGTAATATTGAAAACTGACAAAAATTGTAGAAGGAGTAGCGTTTTAAAGGAATTTCACAGAAAAATATATTTTTAGTTATCATGGCAACACCGTTCATCAAAATCAAAAACGTATGCACTATTTTATGTATCTTAGTGTAGTCTACTTGTGTGCCAAGTTATATTGAAATCAGATCAAAACTGTAGAAGGAGTAGTGTTTTAAAGGAATTTCACAGAAAATTCTATTTTTAGTAACCTTGGCTACACCGTTAATTGAAATCAAAAACCTATGCACTTTTCAATGTATCTTAGTGTAGTCTACTTGTGTGCCAAGTTATATTCAAATCAGACCAAAATTGTAGAAGGAGTAGCGTTTTAAAGGAATTTCACAGAAAATTCTATTTTTAGTAACCATGGTAACATCGTTCATCGAAATCAAAAACCGATGCACTATTTTATGTATCTTAGTGTAGTCTACTTGTTTGCCAAGTTATATTGAAATCAAACTAAAACTGTAGAAGGAGTAGCGTTTTAAAGGAATTTCACAGAAAATTCTATTTCTAGTAACCATGGCAAAATCGATCACCCAAATCAAAAACCGATGCACTATTTTATGTATCTTTGTGTAGTCTACTTGTGTGCCAAGTTATATTGAAATCAGATCAAAACTGTAGAAGGAGTAGTGTTTTAAAGGAATTTCACAGAAAATTCTATTTTTAGTAACCATGGCAACACCGTTCATCGAAATCAAAAATCGATGCACTATTTTATGTATCTTAGTGTAGTCTACTTGTGTGCCAAGTTATATTAAAATCAGATCAAAACTGTAGAAGGAGTAGTGTTTTAAAGGAATTTCACAGAAAATTCTATTTTTAGTAACCTTGGCTACACCGTTAATTGAAATCAAAAACCTAGGCACTTTTCAATGTATCTTAGTGTAGTCTACTTGTGTGCCAAGTTATATTCAAATCAGACCAAAATTGTAGAAGGAGTAGCGTTTTAAAGGAATTTCACAGAAAATTCTATTTTTAGTAACCATGGCAACACCGTTCATCGAAATCAAAAACCGATGCACTATTTTATGTATCTTAGTGTAGTCTACTTGTTTGCCAAGTTATATTGAAATCAGACCAAATCTGTAGAAGGAGTAGCGTTTTCAAGGAATTTCACAGAAAATTCTATTTTTAGTAACCATGGCAACAACGTTCATCGAAATCAAAAATCGATGCACTATTTTATGTATCTTAGTGTAGTCTACTTGTTTGCCAAGTTATATTGAAATCAAACTAAAACTGTAGAAGGAGTAGCGTTTTAAAGGAATTTCACAGAAAATTCTATTTTTAGTAACCATGGCAACACCGTTCATCGAAATCAAAAATCGATGCACTATTTTATGTATCTTAGTGTAGTCTACTTGTGTGCCAAGTTATATTAAAATCAGACCAAAACTGTAGGAGGAGTAGCGTTTTGAAAAATTGTTTACAGACAGACGGACGACGGACGCCTTACTATCGCATAAGCTCTTCTGGTCTCTGACCAGTAGAGCTAAAAATGAAATTGGATTGCCTTGTTTATTTCTTCATAATAAAACATGGCCATATGAAACAAGTATCCAAAAATTGATTCTTCTACAATATAGAAGATTTTGATCTGTCGTTCAACAAAGGCCCTGGTCATAACAATACGAAGACATTCACTACTTGGATTTATGCTCTCCTATCAGTAGAGTGTATTTGAATTCCCACAACCTACCTTGAGTCCTAACTGCATGGCTAATACAGCCACTTTCGCGTCGAGTTCGGGCTCCTTCATGGCTTCCCTCAGGGCCCGGGCTCCTCGAGCGTGGCCCATGTTACCCAGACAAACACTGGCCACATCCAGTCGGCGACTCTTCACACACATCTTAGCCATATTTTCCCACACAGACTCACTGTAATGATAAAGTAGTGTAAAATTAGAAAACATTTTCCTTAAATTTCTTTTTCAAAGACATTTGTATGTCTTACATGTATGATACATGTACATATTAAGGAAAAAAATACCAGTAATAATGAAAATGCACTTTTAATAAACTTTGAGTAGAAACTGAAAGAAAACTTAACAGTGGTAATAAATCTCTTCATAATCTATATGCAACATTTCTCCAAGGATATCATCTTTCATACCTCTTAATGAGCTTGATAGACTTGAAAGCTTCATCCATGTTGCCTATGGTAAGGTAGTAACTGAAGTTAAGCATGGCATCTTTAGTATTTTTGTCACTGTTCTCTAGCCCCACAAAATCCCTCATGGTCCGGCGAGCAACCATTCGGGGGGACGAGGATTCTGGTCTCGGACCATCCCCCTGTCCATCGTCCTCATCACCAGTGTTTTCAGACTGAAATGATAAAATAAATCAAGTATGTACGGATAATGTAAGATTCAGCTTTCATTTTCATCTCATTTGTAAAGTAAAAGATACTTTTCACATTGTGTCTAGACAAAATACCATGCCATCTAAAATTCAGATCTATTAATTTAGGAAAATTTTTTCTCTTTAATCATGTTCATGTTCTTAACAGCTATTGTGCTAATTTTGGTTTGTCTCCCATGAAAAGTGCAAAATTAAAATTTAAGCTGTACAAATTTCAGATACTATACTGATAAAACAGTTTTCTAACTTCATGCTTCAGTTTTTATCATTTTACGCAGATAATCACCTTTAAACAACCCAGATAACAACATACATACTGATAGGAATCACCCCCCCCACTAGTAGCTAATCAACCCTTTACAACATCATCTAATAGCAAACCGACCTTTTTGACGAAGTAGTGATAGGGGACCTCTATTCCTAGCAGTGTCTGGAACTGGTCGGGGAGAGGAAAACTGTCCTGAATCAGGATCCCGTTCTCCGGCGTACTGAATAACGATACAATCATCACCTCGACCTGTAAAGGTACAAATTCAGGTTTAGATAACTACAAAAAGTATACATAAAGACCATAATTTGCACATCTTTGAGTTTTCTACACTTTTTTTTTCTTTTTTGGAAGAAATAAAATCTACTTCTATATGTTAATATGATGCCAAATCAGCCATAACATCTGACCTACTTATTTGTATATGCTGAATCTATCTACTATTACATCTGAAACACTTGTTTGAATATCCTGTGATACAATCAACTTACAATGTAAATGGAAGTTGATCACATGTTCAGGATTATTTGATTTAAAATATTTTGCAAGTCAGGCATGAACAATAATACATAAATCTCCACAATGTACCACTCTCTTGTAATCCCCTTAATTACCCTAACATCAACATTATCTTTTTATTACATTGCTTTATTAGTCTTTAAGCCCTACTTCTCTTCATTTTTCTTGTACAAAACTTACCGGTCCATCATCCATTGTTTTAGACAGGGAAACAATCTTCTTTTCCTCTTTCTCCTTCTTGTTGAATGCATCAATCAGAATTCTGGCCTCACAGACAATTAATTTGGGATCATGGGCATCCCAGTAGTGCGTCATCGGATAACGACCAGCTATGTCTTTGGCAGCCTGAGTTTTACCTCTTTAAAAAAAATTAATGTTATAGCATAATAAAAACATGTTTTTATACAATGTATTCAGTTTAAGAGCGAAGGCAAAAGTTGTGCCAAGCCAATACCCAGATCTAAACCTTTAAGTACTACCTTTAAAAAACCATTGTCAGTTTTGTCATATAAAAGCTATATGAATTCAATTCAGATGATATTTACAAAACTGTGAGAGAAACAAACAAACCTCTCAGCATCATTTGTGTCCCCCTCTACCCCCTCAATCTGTTCTGGGGGAAAATCATCTTGTTCACCCCGACCCGTCTCAAAGTTGAAATAGGAGACCTGGTCCACCTCTGTGTCCCAGAAGTACATCTTTGGATCAATGTGGCCATGTGTCTGAAAATTTCAATTTTAAATTTTTAAGCATGATTGATAAAACTTCAAAATCATCTTGAACTACTGCCATATGTGTGTTTGAGAAACATCGTGCTTTGTAATGGCTATTGTTCCAGATTTTATGTTGGATGTGATTTACACAGGTACAGTAATATTGAGCTTTGACTCACTGATTTGATCAACACGCTGACTCGTGTTCCACTACAGTTACATTTACAGGAGATGATGGATCCAAAGCCAGGAATTATCTCCCCTAAGTTCCTGGGCTGACTATGGGGCTTGGCCTCTCTACAAATCAAATAAACTTTTTAAGCCACTATTCATAAGTTGATATTGTTATGCAGACAGCACAAGAACATGGACAGGCTCTTTCACCCACCTTCTGGATAAGTCATAAACTCGCACTAATCCTATGTTGGTTCCAATGACCAGGTAGGTACCACACACATCTATACTGACTGGCTGCCCCTCAAGTTCTGAGAAGTTTATAGTCTGTTTGACTGTACCCTAACATCAATAACAAATTCTGATTAGTTTTTATTAGTTTTTTCAATAAAATTTCTTTGCAGTCAATGTTGAAATGTGTAAGACTGTCCTTTTCAATATGTAAGACTGTGTGTCCTGCTTAGGCTTAATTTTACCTGATGTGTTCTGACTTGAACTTTCATGGCCTCAATACAGTAGACATTCTGTTCATACAGACACACATTCATGGTTTCTGTGGTGAATGTACCTGTAAAACAATTTTTGACTTTTATATTTCAGAAAATTGATATCAATAATAAAACACTAAATATATTTGCCTCCTTTATTTTTTAGAATCCCTTTCTTTTGTTCATGTGTACACTACTTGACAACAGTTTATGGTATCTGTTTTGTAAAACCCTTTATGCAAGAGTTACCATGTTTCAAATTGGTTACCATCCCATTTACAATAAAATCAGATTTTTTCATCTGTATTAATCAAATTCATAACTGTTGCTATATTTACCAGCAGCTTTGATAGAAGACTTGTCTGTAGAATACTCGTAAGTTATCACTCTACGTCCATTCCATACTGCTAATGCATCCTAGGAAAATATTAAAGACAATAGGTTACCTTTCTTCCCCCACAAATTAGAACTGATTCAAGATTTTTGTTATGATATTCTATTCAATGAACAAGTAATTTGTTATAACTCACTTTGGTTGTAAAAATGCCCTTGACTTGGATATCTGTCTTGAGGTCATGATGAGCCATGTTGGAGAACATTTCTATGGATAAGGAACTTGGTCCATATTGAACCACTGCAGTCTGTCATTGAAAATTACATTTTAGTTAAAATATCTTTCACAAACCTGCATTGGTAACATTTTGCCTTTAATCTCTTTATTTTAAAGACTTGAATGATTCCCTGACCTGTTCCTTAAATCCTGCACTCATCACTTGCTCATTAAGCATGAACACATTGGCAATAGTATTGACAGCAAGGAGGTGCTTGTTAGATCCCCACTGAAACATAAAAAGCTTACAGTAAACTAGCAGTATAAAATATACAAATGTGTAAATAAGAAGTTTTGTGTAAATTGCTTTCCACGTGTCTTTTTAGGAGAATCCACTTGTTCTTTTCATCAGTAGCACATGATAATTTTCTTTCATTGCTAACCAATTTTCCCCCCTTCTAAACTATACACAATGTTCCGTACCCTGATTTGTTTGATGGGTCCCTCCACTGTGGCTGGGGCTTGAAGTTTCCATTTCAGTTCCCCGTCTACCACCTTCCCTCCCAGCGGGGGAGAGTATTTCCACAGAGCCACATTTCCCATGTTTGTCCCCCCTGCCAGAGTTCCTGTCAACATAAAAATTTAAGTATTACATCAATATTTCAAATACACAGATAAGGAAACCAAATTCCAATACAATAATAGATTAATTCATGTAAGTATGGTGTAAACCATTTATATTCAAACAAACATTACCCTTTTCTGGACAGTAAGAAATACAAGTGATACTCTCGTTATGGTCGTAGCTACTGTGACCTTCCAGTGTAAGGATGTAGTTGTCCTCATGTTCTAAGTCCCACATCCTATCATGGATAGACAATTTCATATCAACAATGAATTGCTATAGTGTAATTCAATATTCAACAATCACAAATTTTACTGAATATATGATATTTTGTAATTGTTTTCTCTTTACCTGACTACTCCTTCTCCTAGAGCTGTGGCCAGGATGCCTGATCCTGCCCAAACTATGGTAGGTGATTCTCCCCTTCCACTCATTTTAACCTGTACATCAAATACATAAAACACTTTTTACTATGAATAAATTACAGACGAAAAACACTGCTACTCCCCCTCCTTTTCTCTACACCCTTAATAAATCCTTAAAACCAAACTGTAATACTTATAGCTGAAAAAGTTATGGAAGAAAAAAAAAATCATAATAATAAAGCCTACCTTCATGACCTCCCTTGCCTCTCCCTCTGGTGTGATAAAGTGCTGAGTCAGCAACATGTTTTCTGTTACTGTGATCAGCAGATTCTTCTCATCGTAGTGCAATAAGGTCATCACAGGTCCATCCGCATTAAAGATCTGGGAGCACTGGCCAGCATCATTAACATAGTACACACCACCTTAAAGAGTTCAGAAATCAAGCATAGTGATGAGAAATATTTTGCTTTTAACTGTATTTTTATACATAATTAGAATACATGACAAGTCTTTTTTTCACAGCTTGAATAACTCTTACAGTTCAGAAGTTTACAAGTCAAACTGGCAAGTAGATGTAACTTAGAAGTTCCAGAACTGTTCATAGCTTAGCTTTTTTGATATAAACTACATGATATAAAACTTTGTTCTGACATATTACATGTTTTCAACTTTAATTAAATAATATTATAGAAAGTTAACTTGTTATTTCAGAAAACAGACCATCTTCGCTAGCCAAGGGTTTCTGATACGCTACTCTCCTCATACACCCTTGGCCTACAGTGTTCATAAAAATCAGGATTTTTTTCCAGAGTTCTGATTGGATTTCAGTACACCCAGGTCGACCAATCAGCGATTGTTTTTTGTAAATGACGGTATTTGCGTTCGGGATACATCTTTCCTGTTTAATCTCGGAAATGAAAAACGCAAGTAAACAACGATCCGTAAGATAACATTCAATTCTATGAATAGCCATGGTGTCATCCAATATCTTCTAAATATGTGATTAAGGATCTATATTGAAGCTTCAGATTTGTTCTATAAATAATGAATAAACATAACTCAATAATTTCTTCTTAATTATTCTTGAAAAAACGTTGATTTAATTTTTTTTTTAACACGTGTCTTTATTTCTGGCGATGACGCAATCTGTGCGTACCTGATAGATTCGAGATCACGTGACGGAAAACAATCCCGTCTTTTGACTTCACCGTATGCCAAGGGTTTATGAGGAGAGGAGCGTATCAGAAACCCTTGGCTAGCGAAGATGAAAACAGTCAATCTCTGCATTATTCATCAGTCAAGGAGTCAGAATTAAATTAAGATTTAACAGATATGATTTTTACCATGAACAAAGGGCATATTCATAAGCCCAGGGGTAAGGATTCTCTGAACACCTAACAGAAATTATTTTACCATGAATACAGGGCAAAACTGAAGTACATCCACTTTCATACTTGAAATAATGCAATAATACAGATCATATCAATTCATTCACTACAACAACCACTCATTCATAAAGTCATTTTCATATCAATTGCCAAATCTTTGATCACATTTGATGGTAATACAAAGCTTTATGTGCACTTGAAAATAACTTGCATTTTTACAAGCAGATTCACAACATTGTTGTTGGAAAACTCATGCTTGACATTTTACTATTTTTCACAATTATGATACAGAAGATTTTAATTTCATGATTTTTTTTTTTAATGGATGATAGATAAAGCATGCAGTTCTTTTGAACAAACAGATTTATTCTTCAAATAAAAAGGAATGACTTCAATATTATTGAAGAAAGTATAATTAAAAACAGATTATAAGTTACAGATGCTAAACATGGAGTTTTTAGGTGTAAGTTAAAAGCCATAAAAACCCAGCTGCTTGAAGAAGAAACATTTCTTTTCAAAAGTTAAAAAAAAACTTTAAAAAAACTTTATATGTAAAAAAAATGATTTTATAAAACACAAAGAGTAACATACCAGTGGCTCCACCAACAAAAAACGTCAGAGCCTCCTGAGATCCGAAGGATGCTCCACCTCTTGCGTTGTTTTTGCCCCTTTTCCAGTTGAACATATCTAAAGCACTCTCATCCCCACTGACAGCAGCTCTAGCAAGCTGGGCAATATCACTGAAAAAAATTACAATCTTTATCTCCTTATACTGATAATTTATAGTAAATTTTAATGAAATATCTTTTGTTCCATGGAAAATACCAAGTTTCTTAACATTTCATCAATTAATGCCAAAGCAGGTTTTTAGATTTTTTCCCCCGTTTCCATGGTTTCTAAAGAATATATATATGTTTTAAAAATAAACTAACTCAAAAAATTTGAACTGGTAAACATTTTTTTTTTATTTTAATTTGTAAATTACTATTTCACTGAAGTCTCATTTCACATTAAAAAAAAGTCACAAATAACAGAGAAGGAAAAAGGGTTGTAGCCCTATTCCTAAATCATTGGATTTTAAGCATGCTAGTTATTTTCCCCTGATGATTGACCTACTTGTTGGGGTCTGGAGGGGGTACAGGCCTATACAACATAATCTTCAGCGGTTCCTGTATGTGGTGCTGATGAAGAGGATTCTGTTGAAGTCGACCTTTGGCATCAGCTTTCCACACCATCAATACACCAGACTACAGTAAAAATTTTATTAATTACACTATCAGACACTAAACTTTAGCAGTTACTTTTAAATAAACTAATCTGAAAAGTCTGCTGATAATGGTGGTTTACATATCCAACATTTATCAAAGTTGAACAGAAATTTGAAAGGTATACTTTCAGGTGATTTTATTTTAGACATTGATAAGAATGTTTAATTTATATATATCATCTATACAAATTAAATAGAGATATTTTGGTTACCTCCACCAATGTCATCACTGTATGTGTTCTGCCACATTCTCAACCTTAATTCTCCTGAGGACAGCCATTTTTGCTATGCTTAATGTTTCTTAAAATCTGGAAAAAAAATTAACTAAAATAAATTCACTCAGCCAAACTGAAATAGGACAGATTTTAATGCTGGTCTTGTGACAAAGGGGAGAGATTACACATTTTTGGAGAAATCAACCATTTTGTACTGCTTATTCGTGTCACCATTCATATCAACATCTAAAATGTTCATTCCAAAAGACCAGCAGCTCTCACATTGTAAACCCACCCTACAGCCAGACAAAAGATCTGTCTTTGCTAAAACAAAGAGAACAGGGAATAAAATATTTAATTATCTCCTGTTGTTTTATTTTATTACCAACTTACCAAAGATGCTAAAAACAGGCCATAGAAGTGGCCTGACAAGTACGAGTCAGTGTAACATTTAGCAGCTTTTCTCCCTAAAATGAAGACACCAATTTTTCAAATCATGAATCTGACATCTCTTAATATTTCTACCTGTAGAACTTATATTTTAGGTTCTAACCATATCATCAATAACTTTTTATTGAAGAATTTCAGAGATGATTTTGGTTACCTCATCAAGAAAAAGATTAACCGATCCACCCGTGTCATCACTGTATGTGTTAACTGCCAAGATAGGACTGCCATCATAAACTGGAACACTGGGTGTCTACAAAAAAATGCTATATACTAAGCATACGTAGAAAAATAAACAGCCAATACACCCGGTCAGTGTCCAAACGATGATCAAAGTACACTGCCATTATTCCTAAGAAGGAATTTTATGTAGAAAGATTGCATATATTTTTTTCCATGGAGCTGACTGTATCCATACACAAAAAAAATATCCATCCTAAAAAAAATTCATAACCAAAGCCAAACTGAAATATGTACAAACCAGACGCCAACAACAACGTTATCTTTTTTCATAAGGATATTTCAATATATTTTATCGAATAGAAATGAAAAGGTCAGTAATAGGAAATCACTTGATTGACAAAGACATGAGTTACACATTAGCATAATGAACAGGAATGCTACACGTTTTTGGAGAAATCAACCATTTTGCTTTTACCCACTGCTTATTCTAAATAGCTCATCACCATTCATATCAACATTTCTCTACTAAAATTTGCTGTAAACAATTAACTGGGTGTTGTTTTGACAATAAAATTTGTCAATTTCTAATCCTTATCAGGGAAAGAACTGAACCAAACACACTTTCTGATTCATTGCACTTGGGGAAAAAAAACATTTGTTAAAAAAAATGCCTAACTTCACATTTAAAACATATTACAGTAGTTAATTAGTTAATAGAGAGGAAAAATAACCAAAACTGAAAGTCACTTTCAAATTTAGCAGAAACTGAAACATGTGAAAAGGCTTTAAAAAAAATGCACACTTATATACTACAGGTCAAAGAAATATTTATTCATTTTTAACATGTAAATTAAATCAAATTATATATGAATTTTTTTGCATAGTAAATTAAATCCTTTTTCAAAGAGGACAAATACTTTGTATATTATAATAAAATTTAATCATGGTAATTATGTTGTTTTATTTCATTACCAACTCATACCATTTTTACATGCTGGAGGTTGGCAAGTATGGTTACTGTGATGTAACAATACAGATACAGATACACCGGTAAAGTTGTTAGACATGACAAATTTCTTTTCTTAATTTCTCAATTTCAAAATGAAATTATTAAACTCTTCTCTCTCATACTGCATGGCTGATATATGATAACATAAATATGTCATGAGCTGACTGGTCAGACTGATGATAAAATAGTTTCGGAACTTTCCTAGGGTTCCATGAATTGATTGGGTCTGTTTACAATGTCTGTGAGACTGTCTCTAAAATACATTTTTAGAAATGCTGAAGTTTTTTCTCACAATTCTAAACCAGACTTCATTTAAAAACAATTTTTATTGTGACTTTTTTGTATCAAGGGCAATGCATGTATGAAACTTGTTTATACATCAAAACTAAATAAATTTTAATGAAATCGCTTGCTTGGAAACAAGAATTATAACCCCTGTTTTCCTGACCAAAAATGACATTATATAAGGCACATGTTCAAAATAGGGTTAATGATCATAAAAATAATTAAAAGTCGAGCATATATCACTTACATGCTGAAAATAAAGGAAATATTTTAGCCAGAGAGCACAACATTCATTGCTATGTGCTCCATTTTGAAACTATTTGGTTCGCAATGCATTCTGGGAAAATAGTTATATTAATGAATGTCAAACCCGATTTATATTCACTGATTGTCTGAACATGCTTACTTGTCTCAAATCCTTACACTTAAAAAAGCAATATTCTCGTGTAATCTCGTGTGTATTTTCTATTTTTAAAAGGTCAATGCATACCTTTGTTTATATACATCCCTAATTAATACACGCTATATATTTTTGTTTTTATTTTATAGAAATATGCGAAGCATGCATTTTTTACATTGGACAGTTACTTCTTGATCAATAATGGAATTTCAAAATATTTTAATTTTTAATATTTTTAAATTCACAATTCCTTCAGACATGGCGACTTTGTTATGTATTGCTTTGCTATATGAATATATATATATTTTTAATGCGGACATTTTTAATTACTTATATTCCCTTCTATGGAACTTATCAGTATTTTCTTCCACCTTACAAAATTCCCACTTTCTTTCTCCTCGGGAACTGTTATATGTACTTCAAACGTAGCGCGTCGAAAAGGAGTACGTTTTCAGGCGCAGATCCAGAATTTTTTCCAGGGGGGTCCACCCCCGTCAAAAAGAAAATCCAACCCAGAATTTCTTGACTGACAAGCAAAATACAAAAACAAAAAGAAAACAAAACCACAAGTCATTTTCCCTGTAAAAACCTATTTCGTTGGGGGAGGGAGGGAGGACTTTCAAAGCTTTCATGCTAATGACTATTCATACCATTATTACATAGATCCATCCTTCGAGGAGGGGTGTCCGTTCTCTAGGAGGGTCCAATGTCACCTTTACTTTGTTTACTATATACATTTAATAACTGCAAATTCCCCCCCCCCCCCCCCCCCCACCCCCTAGATCCGTGCATGCGTCTTGCTAAATATGCATGTATACAGATATACATTGTATTTGTTACATTAAAAGTTTAAATCTATAAACTTTAAACTTATATCTTATATCTAAAACTATCTGATAGGTATTAGATAAGTTTAAACTCAAATTTTAAACTTTGAATGTAATATATTTAAAAGTATATGAGAGTTCATGAATCTAAATCTAAATGTTCATATTTTAAAGGTGTGTTTATATTATTTGATAAACTTGAATTTTCCTGTGACTTATATATTTAAATTCTCAAAGACCATTAATTTACAATATCTAAAGATGACTCACCAATAAATAAAGGGGTTAATTTTAACAACTGCATTGATAAATGAATGTTTTAATGAACTTAATGAATTAAATATTAAATAATAAAAAAATAAACACACCAAGATCTTCTTGAAAAGGGAATTTGCACTTTCAATTCAATGAATTGCATTAAAATCCAGAACTTTCAACTTTTAGCCCCCCCCCCCCAAAAAAAAACAACAACAAGGAAATAGAAATTGAGCGTTGTACATGTATACTTGTAGATAAGAGGAACATTTATTAGTAAAAACACAACAGGAAGTTTTAAGTTCTGTTCTGCACATGAGCAAACCAATTATATTTTACTTTTAAATTCTGAATCTATTTATGCTTACCCTACATTTAAACTTGTCAGTGTACATTATAATCATGTCAAAAACAGTACTTTTTTTTTATTGTACAAGGAATTTATTTACATCGTTAAGGGTGATTTACCACTGAGACCGGTTGTCTTTCAGCCAATGCTTAAGCTACCAATGTCAGAAACAGGAAGTCTCTTAAAATGGAATGTATATGGGGATAAATAATTAAGGAACTTCAATTTTTAACGATATCATCCGACACCTATAGATGCTTTCCCTCCTATCACGATGAAGGGGTTTATCAGGAAAGTGCTCAAAATGTCCTCACTGCGGAGGATATCTCGATTTGTGATTATTAGGTCACAAGACAATCAAATGACTTAGATTAAGGTGGATCTACCCCCCTCCATCATTAAGGATTTCTTCACTATGTGGATATGGATGACCGTTGCCGCCTCATCTGTGGTTTTTCTGCAGGCCACGCCCCTGGACGATTATGTGAACCGTCCCGACCCCCATTATAAATACTCAGAGATCGGGTCCTACCGAGGACCTGAATATACAATGTATATCTTAAATATGACCTCACAAAAATGGAAAACTGGTAAGTATAGTATTCATTCATAAAATGCATTCATTAAAATTAATTAAATTGGACGTTGAAATGCCTAGTGTACTTAAAAACTGAGTCTTAATATCTCAGGACTGTTTGAATATTAATTATCTTATTTTGATAACTATCAATTTGTCAGATAACGTGAATTTATTTACAGTTCTAAGGACAGGATTCCCATTTCCTTTTTCTTCGCACCCCTTTGGCTGATTCGAATTATTTGTTGTTTTTTTTTTCATATTTGAAATATACAATTACAAGACCTTAAATGTAGTTAGAAATATACAATTACAAGACCTTCAATATAAAATGAATTTTAAAAAATATATATATATATATATATATATATATATATATATATATATATATATATATATATATATATATGTCGATTATATATGTTGTAA